CATGAAAAAAAGCTTGTAGGTTTAAAAACCGTCCTTCTGAATAACCAAAACTTAAGAACCATCTCGAATTTCAGGAATACTCCATTTTTGAGTTCAGGAATGATACGAAACTGATCAAGAGATCTTCGAAATCATCTTGAGACCATTTTTATTCACGAAATAATAATGAAAAAAAGGTATTTAGATTAAAGAAAAGTTCTCTGAAAACTCCCAAAAAACCAAATTTGTCTCGATATTCATAGCATATTCTAGAAAGGTTTAATTTTGAAGTTCAGAATGGCTTCAAAAATTATTCAGAAGTTCTTTTGCATGTTATTTAGATCATACTACTTACAAAATGCTTATAAAGAAAAATTTTTGAACAGCCCTCTTGAACCAATGTTTGCCTTAAACAAAATGCAATTTTAAGACTTTTACTTACTTACTTAGATACTTAGATGGTCCATCTTCGCTTTCGACCTTTTATTGCCTTTTAGTGCCTTTTATTGATCGAAGCGTGGACCACACGTTTTCCAGGAGGTCTTATGCAATCGGTCATCCAGTGTTATCGTCCTGGTTGACTGGTATTCTTGCGAAAAAGTTCCATCCGTGGTGTTGAACGTGTTATAGCATAATTGTGGTCTGATTATCCTTTTTGCCTTGCCAGGGCTAAAAAAGACCGCCCATTCTGTTAGCAGAAGCAAGCCGAACTGCGTGACCGGTGTACCGTTAGCCGCCATAAATGGCGTTGCCTCCCCATCACCGCGTAGAGGTGGTACTTGAAGGGGTAGATGTATAGAAACCGCTAGCATGCACCACTGAAGTGGCTACTTTCGTAAAGTTACTGGGAAAATTTTTAATGGCCACTATAGGGTTTTGACGTTTTAGTGGCCGCTATAGTAGTCAAATTAGTGGCCACTATAGAGGTCCCAGTGCTGCTACTAGACCACAAAAAATTTATTGGCCACTTTAGGGGTCATTGGATCAACATAACTGGTCCAATCTGTTTTTTTTCAAAATTATCAGAGTTACTGGAAGGAATACTTGATGAAAAACTACTCAAGTGGCCCCTAAAACAAACGATAGTGGCCACTATAGAGGTTGGTTTAGTGAACACTTTAGTGTTCTCTCCAAGTAGTCCGAGCCTCTATAGTGGCCACTAAACGTTTTCCTAGTAGGGTCTCCTATAGGGGAAGCTTCATAGGCTGCCCCTCTAGTGGTCTCTCTGGCTTTTCTTGCTAAAGAGATCGTTCCTACGAAATACTCGGAAAAAATCAAATCCAAGTCGAAAATCTTCAGTTTTCCTCAGAATCCTCCAATTCTAATACCCCAGTTGTTTCGAGACTAATGAGAAATCCTGGTCACCTCTCTAGGGACCCCTCAGGAGTTTCAAGCTTCTCATAACCCCAGAACTAATGAAAAAATCTTCTCTCTGCTCGAAAATGTCGCGAATTTCGACACATTGTCCTCAGTCCCACTCAATTATTAGTCCATATTTCGTGTCCTTCTTCTCTTTTTCTCGGAAGACGTCACACTCATCTATACAAATCTCAAGAGAAAAATCTTTTTCTCCCTCCTTTTTCAGGAGCTTAACTCCTTGGCAACCTGAAAATGAGACACGCGGCCTTGGCTCCGCCCACTTTTTCTAGCTAAATTTCTGGTTTTTAACGAAGAAAATGTCGAGATTTCGGCTTTTTTTTTTCCTTCTTTTTTAAAATTTTCATTCATTTATTCAGATTTTTAGTCGAACATTCCTTCACTTTTCGAAAATTTAATCAAAACATTATTAGAAAAAAGAATTTTTCCCACTAAAAATTCACTTTTTTACGCTTTTTGGGTGTTTTACCTACAAATTCGCTCAATATTATGAAAAAAATTCCCAGATTTTTTTCTATATTTTTTTGAGATTTTTTTATTAATTTATCGAGTATTCAGTTGAATTTCAATGTATATAAAATCAAATTGACCTTTTTTTCAAGAAAAATCCTTCTATTTCGATTTTTTTGTGCGTTTTTTTCTTATTAAATTATTGAAAAAAATCCTGGATTTTTCCCTCATTTTTCTGAGATTTTTTTATTGATTTTTTTAGTTTTTTTAGTTGAATTTTTCTTTTTAACTTTTTAAAAAAAATCTATTCGAAAAAAATGTTTCGATTTTTGAGAAAAAAAGGATTTTTCTACTAAAAAAATTAAATTTTCAACAAAGAAAAATGTTGAGATTTCAGCTTTTCGGTCCATTAATTAACTAATTTTTCTCTGAATTTTTATAACTTTTTTTGAACCTTTTTTTGAGACTTTTTTTAAAATCGAAATCCTCATTGGCAAACTATCATCAGAGAAATTTTTTTACTTTCGATTTTATTAAAAAAATAAGTATATTTCCGATATTAGATGCTTTTTTTAATCTATATTTTTTCTACTAAAAATTTTTTTAAATAACATGAATTTTTTTGTTCCTAGCGACGAAAAAAAGAACAATTTCACAACTTTCCGAATATTTTTCCCCGTTTATTAGCTTCGTTCCGTGCAAATCTGATCCTTTCAAAGGGCTCCAAGAAAATTTTTTGTTCCAAAATCTGGATTTCGAAACTCTTTGTGTACTTAAAATGGACCAGGAAAATATGAAAACGTTTCCTATTGAAGTTTCCTATTATTTTTGAACCAAAAATCAAGTTTTTTTTTTAATCAATGAAAAATCCTAAGCCACTTTCCACCTTTTTTTCATCAATATTCTTATTTTTTCCCTCAAAAACACTCTTAGGAACGCCAGAGTGGTCCCTAAAGGGGCATTTTTCGGGCTCTTTGAAGATTTCCCTCTAGGGGCCACCTCACCTTATCCTATAGGGGGCACTGAAGCTTGCAAAAGTGGCCTTTCTAGGGGATTTACTTAGTGGCCTCTCTAGGGAAGCATGCTAGTGAAACATCAAAAAAAAACAATTAATAGACCCCTATAGGGGCCACTTGAGCTTCAGTGGCCTAGGAATTAGACCATGAACCTCTATAGGGACCACTTGAGCTTTAAATGCTTAAGATTCAAACTCAGAACCACTATAGGGGCCACTAAAGCTTGTAAAAGTGATCACTCTAGGGTTTTTGATGAGGGCCTCTCTAGGGAAGTATTCTATTGATCCCTATAGGTTTTTTCTTTTGTTTTAAAATGATACCAGAAAGTCGAAAAATTCCTATAGGGATCACTTGAGCTCTAGGAGCTCGGAGGTCAAGATTTAAAGGCCTATAAGGGCCTCTTCGATTTTCAGCCCTCTAGGGACCACTTACTACGTTTCTGTTGAATTTTGTCTTTTTTTCCAAGAAAAAAATATTTTTCTTACAGAGAAAAAGATGCGTCCGGAACAAATGAACCAATTTTTAATATTTTTCGTCCTTTGCATGTTCTTCCTGTTGCTCGGCTCACTACTGATTCTGATGACCCTTCGGCCGATTTTCCAAATCAAAAATAAATATTTTCCCGGCGAGACGGAGTATGAGATCCTAGCCTGAGGTGGGTTCTTTTTATAATATTGAAATTTATGATTGAAAAAAATAACTTCTGAATAATTTCATGAAGCCGAAAAAAATCGAAAAAATTTCTAGAAAAAAATTTGGGAAAAATTCGGAAACAAGACCGTTGTGAAGTTGAACCTATCCATTTTTTTGTGAAATTTTTTTGAAAAAAATTAAAATATTTCACATAATTTTTTTACAAGTCAACTCTTGCTTGGGACGCCAGAGGGGTCCCTATAGGGTTTAGGGGAAAAAGAGCCCCTGAAGAGTAGAAAAAAGTCCTCCTTACAGGGGTAAAATTCAAGCGGTCTCTATAGGGGTTTCGAGTCGAACTGGTGCCTGAATTTCAAGGGGGCACTTTAGGGATTTTTCAATTTTTTCGTTCCGGTTGGATCACTAGGATTCTTCCCTAGAGAGGTCACTTGATAAAATATCTAAAAGGGCCACTTTTTTTCAAGCTTCAGGACTATAGGGAGAGGTGAATTGATCCCTAGAGGGGAATTTTTAAGGCTACCCCTAAAGGGACCCCTTTCGCGTTCCTAAGTATATAAATTTTTTTCAAAAAAAAATTTTTTTTCCATTTTTTTCAGATCGTCCTCTCTTCAATATGAACACAAAAAAACGGGGTTTTTTTCATTTTTTTGTAGAATAACTTTTTTTGTTGTTTTTTTGTGTATAAACTCGTTCAACTCCCAAAATTGCATCGAAAAAGTCCAAAATCTGAATTTCCGGGCCGCCAATTTGACCGCATTTCCTGCAAAACGCCTGAAAAATCTGAAAAAATATCAAATTTCGTCAAATTGACACGCAAACGTGTAAAATAATCATTCTGAATGATCAAATTCCATGAAAAAAATATGAAAATTTCATTCACAATTGAATATTTACATGTAAAAAAACGATCATTTCCCCGAGAAAATTTGAAAAAAATTAAGGCAATGGATAAAAAAATAAAAAAATAACACGTATTTAAGAATTTAACTAGAGTACATATAAGCAATGATATGAGAGATTATCACAGGAAAATTGACAAGAAATATGAAAAATCGTGGAAAATTGATGAAACGGGGATGTAATTTAAAAACTTCAAAATGAAATAAGCGAAAATATATAAAAAAAAATAGCTGAAAATGTCACTTTTAAGCTTAAAAAATTGTCCGAATTTGATGGATTTTGAAGAAAAAAATCATAAAGAGCTCGCAAAATAACTGAAAATGTCCTTTTTAAGCCATAAAATGAACATTTCGAACAAAAAAACATGGAAAATTGTCCTAATTTCGAAAAATATAATCATTAAGTAACGAACTTCAGTGAATTCAATGTGAACATAAAAATCACGAAGAATCAATCATCAAAAACTGATGAAACGGAGATGTAATTTAAAAATAAATAATATAAACTTGCCAATTTATGTAACGAAAATAATTGCATTTCTGAACGAAAAACATGAAAATCGTCCGAAATTGATGAAACGGGAAAGTGAAGTATGAAAAAAAATTGTAAATTTCCGAAAAAAAAATTTTAAGGCGGTGAAATGGGCATTGCGAGGGTTCGAAGTTTTTCCGGCGCCGAATCGTTGTAACAGTAGAAATGAGCCAGAGAACCGTCCGTATAACGTACGAATGCGCTTAAAAAATATTTTTGGATAAAAAACTCGAAAAATCGTAGAAAGTGCGTCCCAATGATAATTTCTTCTGAAATTGCGCCCTAATGATAATTTCTTCTGAAAGTGCGCCCCAATGGTAATTTATTCTGAAATTGCGCCCTAATGATAATTTCTTCTGAAAGTGCGCCCCAATGGTAATTTATTCTGAAATTGCGCCCTAATGATAATTTCTTCTGAAAGTGCGTCCCAATGATAATTTATTCAAGCCGTGTTCAAAGTGAATCCACGAAATTCAAAACGCCCGTTAGAGAAAGGAAAAGATAACTAAGTTTTGGAGAGTCAGAGATAATTCTGTATTTCGCGGAAATTACTTTGAACACGGCATCAGAAAATACGCTCCAATAATAATTTATTCTGAAAGTGCGCTCCAATGATAATTTTCATCAGAAGTTGCGCCCCCATGATAATTTCTTCAGAAAGTGCGCTCTAATGATAATTCTATCGAAAAAGGCCTTTTAAAGTGAAATATCATTTTTATTCAAGTAAACCAAGCCTCTGACTGTGAAAAAACTGAAAAATCGAAAAAAAATCAGGAAATTCTGGTGAGAAAAAACAGCCTCAATACGTTTGCTCCATTGATAAAAAACTCAAAATAACGAATTTTTCTACATTTATCGTATTTTTACCGCTGTTAAGTCATTTTAAAGCCCTAAATATCATCAAAAACCAAAAAAATCGGGTGATTTTTCCAAATTTTCCAAGTTTCCAATCAACTCCGAATGACCGTATTATCATATAAAAACCGCTCTTAGTCAGAAAACTTCTGGTCGCGTTTGGAATGGCTGATTTTTTCGTTAACCAGGCCAAATCTGCCCTCTTTTCACATCAGTCTTACTAAAATTCAGGTCAATTTTTTTTTGAACTATTAAAATCCAAGTCGACCGATCTTTTTGTACTAGATAAGTGACATGAAATTTACTTAAACAGCAAAAATTTCTGGTCGCATTTGGAATGGCTTTTCATATCAAAAACAAACCTCAAGGCGATTTTCTTGTGGCAGACTTGGCATTCGCTGGAGGTGTTCACCAGGATTTTCGTCGCCTCGGCCGCCCGTTTTTTTGCTTCTTTTTTCTCCAGGGCACAGCCGCTGACGCAACGTTGCAGGGCGCACTGAAATTGAACTCTAAAAAAAGGCCAGAGGGGTCCCTAAAGGGGTTACGGAGAAAGAGCCTAAAAAGGGGTCCCTAGAGGGGTAAAATTCAAGTTGTCCCTCTAGGAAATGGACCCTTAAGCCACTAAAACTTTTTCTTATTTGACAGTTAAAAGGATGGACCCTAAAGTGGCCACTTTTGCAAGCACCTTATACAGAAGAGCGAGTTGATCCCTAGAGGGGAACCTTCAGAAGGTTGAAGACTATTCCTTTGAACTTTTTTAAAATTACAATGCCAAGCGTCAATACCGGTTATGTCCCTTGGAGCGCACTTTCCAAATATTCTTTTCTCCTAAAGATGTCTTACCGAAGTCGCCTTATCATGGGCGGTCTGAAGAACCGCATTCAGGGCGCTGGAAACGATTCTCAGGCGAGTGTCCGAAGGGAGCATCGTCAAGGCGGAAACTGAAAAAAGAATTTTAAAAAACGAAAAAAAGACAAAATATTACTCTCAATCTGCTCGATTTTGAGATTTTGAGACGTTCAGATCAATGGTAGGATGAGAAAATCAAATAATTACACTTCTAAACTCAAGAAAAGAAGCGTAACTCCAAAATTATACAACAAAAAGGGGCAAAAAATGTTCTTCATGGCAAAAAATTCCTTATAGAAGTCAAACCTAAGAGTTCAAATTTATACACCAGCGCTAATTTTCGAGCCTAAGAAGCCGAAAAGTTCCGAAATTAATGATTCTCAAGCTACATTGGTCGGGAACTAACCAAAATCATGCCATTTTCATTCAATAGACGGTATTTATCCACATAATAATTTTCTCTACCGTATCCCTGAAAGTGGGCGGAGCCTGTAAAAACCAGGTTTTATGAGTTAAAGAGGTTCTGTAAGCAAAACGAGCTCTGAGAAACCAACTTCCAATTCTTCGCTGCAAAAACTTCCTGGATGGGGATCGAACCTTGGTTGTCAAACTGCCAGTTTAACAGATTATCCACTACACCATCGCTTATTTTTAAGCCTAGGAAGACGAAAAGTTCCGAAGTTAATGATTCTTAAGCTACAAAGGTCGAGAATAAACCAAATTTACAATTTTCAATCAATAGACAGTACTGATCCACTTAATAATTACGAACGCAGTGAAGAAAAATTAGAAAACTTACTGAAATGGCCGCACTGTTTTTTTGATGGGGGGGCGGGTAGGCCGCACCACGGGGTGGGATCCAGGCGACGTGTGGACAGTACTGATCCGCTTATTAATCACAAACCAGTATTGATCTTATCGGCATGCTTGCTCAACAGCTTGATGGCCGAATGGATGTCGGGCTGGGTCTGCGGGACATCGGCCTCGTCGATGCTCAAGTAGGCCGGCGAGTTCGAGTCCGTCGGCAGGACAAGGGCTCGGAAATAGTTCAGGTACACCTTAAAACTATCTATTTGTTCGAAATTTCAGGAAATGAATAAAAAACCAAGGGATCGAGATCGAACCAGAGTTTATTCAAAGGTTTTTAGAAAGCAAGCAAATTTTTCTTCAAGTCTCTGTAAGTCCAAAAAGCTTCTTCAGGCTCTATTTGCACTCTTTTCCAGTAAAAATGGCCTTTTTTATCATCTACTTTTTGAAAAAAACGAATCTAAAAAAGGAACCAGAAAAACATTTTTGATGAAAATAGTGCGAAAAAAAAAAACGGAAAAAAAACATCCAAAATCTCAACTATGACTAAATTATCCATGGAGCGCGATTGGAAGCAACCTCTACAGTGGTCCTTATTCTCCGGCTTTTTTTTTTGGGAAACTCAGTTTAGGAACACCAGAGTGGTCACTAGAGGGGAAACCTTATCAAATCCTCAAGGGACCACCTTACCTACCCTATGGGGGGTGCACAAGCTCGCAAAAACAAATCACTACAGGGACCACTTAAGCTATAGGGATCACATTTTGAGCTCCTACAGTGATCACCTAAATTAAGCCCTCTAGGGAGTCTATAGGGCTGTTAATCTCTCTAGTGTCTCCTCTGAAGTTGATAAGAACAAAAAAAAAGTTCGGAAACGTTTTTTCGTTCTGTGAAAAAAGATACCTGGGAGTTGACCTCATCGTGGCGATTATAATAAAGTTCGCAGTATTTTTCAGCGGCCGGCAGATTCTTCAGGATCGATGTGTAGATCATCAAAGCTTGTTCGTGTTGTTTTAGCCGACCAAGGATCAAAGCCCTTTCTTCGTAGAAGGCTGAAATCGCCTGATTTTGACCAATCAACTGGATTTATATCGACATTTTAGGGGCAAAATACAAAGAAACGTTGCAAAGGAATCGTTGAAATGTCAAAAAATGAGCTAATAAATCAAAAAGTCCCTTGAAAAGGCAAACTATTCGTCAAGTTTTACTCATTTCAGGGCCCAAAAATGAAATCGAATCTCTAGTTTTAATAAAAAAAGTTTTGCTGGAAAAGTCTGGGGTTTACTAGAGAAGTCCCAGAAGTCGAATTATGAGGTTGTGGACTCTATCCCTAGATGAAGCTCAAAGCTTATTTTTTTCCATTTGGGAAAAAGGGGGGCATTTTGTCATTTGGGGGACTTTTATCAATTTTTTTCTTCAACGCTTCCTTTTCGTCGTTGTTCGACCTACTCGGGAACGCCAGAGTTGTCCCTAGAGGGGCGACTTTGAAGGCACTTCTAGGGACCTTTATCTTCCCTATAGGTGTCATTAAAGCTTGAAAAAGTGGCCCCTCTAAAGAATTTAGTCAATGGTCACTCTAGGGAGGCATTCTAGTGTTCCCTACAGGTATTTTTTGAACTTCGAATCAGAAAAAAAAAATTTACAAGGTCCCTATAGTGGCCACTTGACCTTCAGGGTTCAGTATTCCTACTCTAAACCCCTACAGAAACCGCCTGAATTTTTTCCCCTAAAGGGAGCACTATTTGGGGTTTCAAATTTGCTTTCCCACCATGACTAGTCAACTGCAAGAGGATCGTCTGGGGGCTGTAGGCGTTGGAAAACTGCAGGAATTTGAGCAATCTTTTCCGAAAACGGCCCAAATCGCCTTCCTCGTCGCCGGCCATCGTCATGTTCTCATCTGAATTTTCATCGTTTCCAATTCAATTTTTTTCGGGAAACCGTCAGGAAACGCGTGGACATAGCATTTGAAGAGCTCGTTGACCTTGGAGACGTAATGTTCGACGAGAACTTCGTGGTAGAATGCTTCAGACTCCTCCCATTTGTAGATGATGTGTTCCTAAAAGACAAAATATTCACAGAAATGTGCTTCATTACGCATTATTTATCACTTTAGGGACCACTTGAGCTTTAGTCTACTCAAACTTGAAATTCTCAAAAACACCCGAGTGGTCACTTTAGTGGAAGCCCAAAGGTTCTTCTCAAGGGATCCCCATACATCTTCCTATGGGGGATGATTTGTAAAAGTGGCCACTCTAGAGGAACATTCTAGTGGTCCTAATAGATACGAAAAATGAAGTACGGCCAAAAATTTTTTTTAAATTTAAAAGAGCATTATCAGACCTAAAACCCTATAAGAACATCTTTTAAGAGAAACATGTTTTCCCTATAGGGAACACTTTTCGTTCAACAAAAAGGCTGTTCTTTTCTCCAAACCCCTATAGGGACCCCTTTGGCTTTCCAAAGTTATGCTCCACTTTACTTTTGGAGAGCCATCGGTAGGTTTAAAGGCGCATAAGTTGTTTCGATTAAATATTTTCAGCAAGAAATCCTTCCGAAGGTCTTCAAAATCCGTTCAGACCTTTTCAAAAGGCCGCCAACCTCTCCACCCAGTCTTCTACCTCCGGGAAGTGAAAACTTTATCTTTTTTTTTCCTGAAGTTATAACGAACAGCCGCCTTTGGCAAACTAGAAGTCCTAGCGTGTAGTTGATCGAGTTGAAAGCATGACCTTCGGTCATTCGCCTTGTTCTCCAACGCCTAGTCCATCCAGTTGCACCTCGATTAGCTCAGAATCTATCAGATCTTGTGCTGAAGCCCGTAGACCGTGCTCCAGGTGAGAGCCTCGGTAATGAGAGCGACCACTTCTAATGAAGACTTTACCCCGAACTTTTTGAAATTTTTAAAAGTCAACTCCTCCTTCCGGGCTCATCGAGCTTGCCACGTGAAGGAAAACTCTCTCTTGCCATATTCCCAGTCCTCACCAAATAGGGAATAACCGCATGAACACACTCGACCCTCAGAAAATCGACGACGGCCCTTCGATCCAAGTTCCTCGCCAATTCCGAATCGTCTCCGGTGAAGATCTTAACCAAAAAATCTCGTTTTTGATTAGGAACGCCTGAGTGATCCCTAGAGGGCTTAGGGAAAAAAGGAGCACCTTTAGAAGAGAAAATAGTGCTCCCTAGAGGGTTAACGGGGACTCTTAGGACTGACCCCAAACTTCTAAAGCTTGCAAGGCCTCTATAGGGACCACTCTGAGTTTGACTACCTAAGGAACGCCTGAGTGGTCCCTAGAGGGGTTAGGGGAGAAAATACTGTTCCCTAGAGGGTTGAACATGATCCCAATAGAGGTTTAAGTAATCTCTATAGAGACCACCCTGTGTTTGACCACTTAAGGAACGCCTGAGTGGTCCCTAGAGGGATAAGGGTAGAAAAGAGCCCCATTTAGGGGAGAAAATAGTGCTCCCCAGAGGGTTAAAAGGGACTCTTAGGACTAACCCCTAAGCCCCAAAAGCTTGAGTGGTCCCTATAGGACAAACTCTGAGTTTGACTACCTTAGGAACGCCTGAGTGGCCCCTACCGGGGTTAAGGGTAGAAAAGAGCCCGTTTAAGAGAGAAAATAGTGCTCCCTAGAGGGTTGAACATGATCCCAATAGAGGTTTGAGTAATCTCTATAGGGACCACTCTGAGTTTGACCACTTTAAGCATATCTGAGTGGTCCCTAGAGGGATTAGGAAAGAAATAGTTCTCACTAGAGGGGTGAAATTAGAGCGGTCCCAATAAAGGTTCGAAGACTGACCCATATGTCCCTAAAGCTTAAGTGGTCCCTATAGGAGCCATTCTGTGTTTGACTACCTTAGGAACGCCTAAGTGGTCCCTAGAGTGGTTAAGGGTAGAAAAGAGCCCCTTAGAGGAGAAAATGTGCTCCCTAGAGGGGTGAAACTAAAGTGGTCCCTATATGGGTTTAGGGACCAGTAAATATTGAGTGGTCCCTATAGGGGTCTTTAAATTCATTTTAATACTTGGATGTTGAAAAGACATATAAAAACCACTAGATTGCTCCCCTAAAGTGGCCTCCTTTGCAAGGTTTAGTGCCCCTATAGGGGGTGGTTAAAAGATCCCTAAAGAGGCCACTTTTGCAAGCCCTTATAGGAGGTAAAACGATCCCGACAGCGGACCTTCCAATGCCCCTCTAGGGGCGACTCTGGCCTTCGAGAATACCCTATTTTCTCAAAAACCACCCACCGAAACGCCGGCCTCCAAATCCTTGCTGAAGACCCATTTCGCGTAGCGAAAAATCAGCGGTAAGTTGGAATTTCCCAGAGATTGAAGGTACTCGACAACTTTGTCGGTACCTTCGAAGAATGGTTCGGCTTCTGGGTCCCGGGATTGTTCCATGAGAAGTTCGAGGGCTGGAAAATGGATTTTTTTTCGGCCTAAACAATTTTTTTTCCTAGTCTAAAGTGATGAGATTCCTGAAAATCTATGAAAAGTTCTGAAAACTACTTCTAGAGCTTCAAATAATCATATTTTTTCACAAAAAGTAGCAGAAAAATTCCTTTTTTTTAGTCCATTCCGTCTTAGCGGACGTAAAAAAAGGTTGGAAAAAATTTGTACTAAAGGTCCTTTCATATCAAATTTCAAACAACCGTCCAGAAGTTGAAAAAATATGAATTTAGTGTATTTTCATCAATTTCTCACCCAAATCATGCTTTTTCCTCGACTCATAAAGCGTAAAAAGCGACGAAAATCGTCGTTCTTGTTTCAAAATCGTCTCGGCGTCGTCGAAAGCACACGCGTTGTTGTGCAGTCGGATGAGGGAGTCGACGAGGGTCGGTTTCGTCTTCAAAATATGGAGTAATGATCGAAAAACCACTAGAAAGTGAGCAATTTTGACAGAGAAAAGCTGGAAAAAAGGTCAAAAATGAACAAGAAAAGCGACTTTTCAAGAACTCGGGCAAAGTCAAAATGGTGAATAATGTCCGCTAAAAGGAAGAGGCTCAGAAAGGCCGCAAAAAGACAGCAAAAAGACCGCAAAAGGGGTCCTTTTATCGAACCTCCGTTTTTTCCGTTTTTCCTTCCGTTTTTTCTGAGATTTTCAAAGGCTCAAGAAATGGTGAAAAAGGAAGAGACAGCAAAAATGGTGCATAATAGCCGAGAAAATGGCGCAAAAAGGCAGCAAAAAAGGAACATTTCTATAAAACAATTCTCCCCATTAGGTCATTAAAAGGTGCCAGAAAATGTTTTTGAAAAACTATTTTTAAGTACCTCCAAAAACCCGCCAGCTCCTCTCATTAATCCAAAAAAAGGTAATTTTTTTCTGATTTTTTTATTCGACTTTTCCTGAACAAAAATCTTTTTTTGCAACACTTTTTAAATTTTTTTGAAAGCTATTTTTCTGATTATAATGTCCAGGAATAATGCCTGGGAGGGTCTTCAAAAGGTTTTTTTCATTTTCAATGCCTAAAAAGTGTTGAAAACGCTACTTCTAAGCTCTTTTTTCTTATACCATCGGTTTTTTTATTTTTTATTTTTTGGGAAACTGAAAGAATTCTCTACTTTCCACACTTCTTAAACCGCTAAAAACGCCCTTTTTCGATGAAAAGTCATAAAAGACGATTATTTCCGAGGCTTTCTTTCAGAAAATGTTCTTTTTTCAGCAATTTTTGCATGATCCAACTTTTCCACCTTACAAATTTCTTTTTAGAGTTATTCTGTCCCAAATCCGTCGGAAACCCCTAAAAAACCTTAAGGTAGCACTTGAGAAGGGTCGTGTCGACCACCCTCAAGGTGATCATCAACTGTCGAGCTTCTTCGTCGGTCAACCTACGGTCTCCCGAAGCTTTATGCCTTTGGTCCGACTCGATTTGTTTCGCGTAGTCGGTCCTGACCTGCAAAAACTCACTCATTTTCTTTATTCTTTGTTAAAAATCTCAAACATTTTTTCTTTTTTTCTAAAATTTCGACTGAAAATAACACTGAAAACGGTTCTTCGCTTCAAAATCTTTTATTTAACTTGGGTATGCTCCTTTAAACAACACAGAATAAAATATTCTTGTTCTCTCAAGACTCAGAAGCCTTTCATTGCCAAAATTTTGCCGTTTTTTTAAAATTTTATCTAAAAAAACACTGAAAACGGCTCTTCGCTTCAAAAACCTTTATTTAACTTGGGTATGCTCCTTTAAACAACACAGAATAAATTATTCTTGTTCTCTCAAGACTCAGAAGCCTTTCATTGCCAAAATTTTGCCGTTTTTCTAAAATTTTATCTAAAAAAACACTGAAAACGGCTCTTCGCTTCAAAAACCTTTATTTAACTTGGGTATGCTCCTTTAAACACCACAGAATGATTTTTTGCGTAGAAATCTCATGAAGGCATCAAATTGGAAGGCACTACAGCATGCGAAAGTGGCCCCTTTAGGGGTTTAGTTAGGGGCCCCTTTAGGGAACGCCGTTTATTGTAGTCTACAGAAGCATTTCCACGCAGAAAATTCACTAAAAGATTTTTTTTTTGAACACAAAATAGAAAAAAATGATCGATTTTTCCATTTTGATCCGAAAATCTGAACAACTAGGGCTCTATAGGGATCACTTTAGGGGCTCAGAAGTTAGACCCTAAGCCCCTATAGTGACCACTTTTTGTCCTCATAGGGCTGTTTTGACTCTCTAGGGACCCCTCTGGCGTTCCTATGTGAAAATGAGATCAAGTGGTCCCTAGAGGGGTTTTTATTTCCAATGAGATATCGTTATCAACATTTTACTGTTGATCCTGTTTTTCTTTCCGATTTTCAAAACTCCTAAAGTGACCACTTGAGCTTTAGGGGGTCGAAGGTCAGACGCTTGACCCTATAGGGTTTTTTTTTTCATTTCTGACCCCTTTAGGGACCACTCCGGTGCTTCTAAGTTACTTCCCCTTTTCAACTTTTTTTTTTTAACTACCTGAGAATAAATAAACGCTAAACAGACGATTCACGCACAAATATCAATAAAAATTCACAATTTTTGCATAAATTGATTTTTTTTTTCCAAACCTCGACCAAGTAATTTCCCAAGGCCAACATGGCTCTCAATTTGTCGTTGGCCGCCAAATCCGGGGAAAACGTGTTCCTTCGCATTTGTTCCGGTAAAAGTTCCGGGAACAGTGAGATTATCGTGAGGACGTCTGGAAAGTCGATAATAACCAATAGAATGTTTTATTTGGACCAAAAATGCCTTAGATGGGATTTTCAGTGAGAAATATTCAATCTTCCATTCAAAATAAAATTAATAACGGCTCTTGCTTGCTTACAATGAAGGTCATTTTACTTTGCGGTTGGGATTTTCCTGAAAATTGGCCAGGATACTCCCTGACGTATCAGAAGAAGATTCTGAAAGTTTCACTCTGCACAACTTCCTGGTTTTTGAGAAAAGACGCCTCGAAGTCTTAAAATCCATAAAAATAGGCTATTTTGGACCCTTATTTCTCAAAAACTAGGAAATTTTTCTGGCTAAGATCAATAAGCGTTCTGGCCAAATTTCAGGAAACTCTCAACCGCAAAGTAAAATGACCTCCCCTGCCCTGTTAGGATCAAAAAGCCCCCCTCACTCCCCCTTAAAGAGCCCCCTCAAGCTTGCCTAAGTGACCACTCTAGGGAAGCTTTTTAGTAGTTTATACATCAAGATAGAACTATTTCAGTGCTTTTTTTTTTGATTTTTTCAGGATCGCTCCTTTTTTGAACAGAGACATAGGCAAAGTCGGAAGAACCCTCCGAGGGTCCATAAAGGACCATAGAAATGTTCCTTTTAAGGTGATGAAGGCTCTCTTTTTGCTGCCTTTTTGCACCATTTTCTCAGCCCTTATGCACCATTTTTGCTGCCTCTCCCTTTCTCCACCATTTCTCGAGCCTTTAAAATCCCAGAAAAATGGAAGGCTCGATAAAGGGAGTCTCTTTGCTGCCTTTTTGCTGCCTGTCTGCGGCCTTTTTTGAGCCTCTCCCTTTTAGCAGCCATTATACACCATTCCGACTTTGCCCGAGGATTTTTTTTGAAAAAGTGGAAAAATTTTGGACTGTCATCTAGAGGACCAAAAAACATTACAATTTTTGTTTGTTCCGTGGAATTTAAGGGAGAATTTTATTTTTTTAAAAAAATTTGAAAGTATTTGGGAGAAAAAAACCTAATGGAAAATGAACAAAAAAACGAAAAATTCCTGCATTTTTTTGACTATTTTTTTGAAGCAAATTTTAAATAAAATGCTTAATTTCATGAGTTTCTTCCAAATTTTCAACATATAAGGTGAATGCTCATAGTGGATAAGCTACATTTCTGCAAGAAAAAAAATTAAATTAGGCTAAAAATATGAAGAAAAATTAGCCCATTTTTTTTTCGCAAAAAGTCTCATTTTACCTGTATAAAATGGATCCCTAAAGGGGTAACTTCGAAAAATTCCAATTTTCCTCGATTTTCCCTCAAAAACCCACCAGTTTTGATTTCCGAGTAGAGGGCGAACGATTCCTCGAACTTTTTCTGATTGAATAAATTCAGGGCCGCCTGTCTTTTGATTTCGACCTTGTTATCTTCCGTGAAGACGTTGGAAGAGTCCTGGAAACCCAAATTTCCTTGTTGAATTTTTTTCAAAACGGACAGCCAATTGGATGGCGAGCTCGAATTCGCGGTCCGAAATGAGTTGTTGGACGTTTTTGCGTAGATTTATCGAAGTGTCCAGCTGCCAGATGTCGAAAGCTGAGCCGACGTAGACGTGGCCACTGGAAAAAGAATTCTCCAAAGGTCTCTTGGGGACATCAGAGTGGTCCCTATAAGGGCGAAAATAAAGCCCTTGAAGAGGCTCCTCTATGAACCACTATGGTTACCCTAAAAGGAGGCACTGAAGCTTGCAAAAGTGGTCCCTACAGGGGTTTAGTTTTTCCTGTACTTAGGAGTTCCAGAGTGGTCCCTACAGGGATTCAGGAAACAAAGAGCCCCTATAGGGGATCAAAAAGAGGTCCCTATAGGGGTTTAGGGTATGACTCCTTAGCCTTTAATGCTCAAGTGGTCCCTATAGGGGTCTATTTTCTGATCTCTGAGCCCTTAAAGCTCAAGTGGTCCCTATAGGGGTCTATTTTCTGATCTCTGAGCCTCTAAAGCTTGAGTGGTCCCTATAGGGGTCTATTTTCTGATCTCTGAGCCTCTAAAGCTTGAGTGGTCCCTATAGTGTCTACTTTCTGATCTCTGAGCACCTAAGTTTAAGTATTCCCTGTAAAGGTCAAGGGTCTAGGCCTTTAATGCTCAAGTGGTCCCTATAGGGGTCTGTTTTCTGATCTCTGAGCCCCTAAAGCTCAAGTGGTCCCTCTAGGGGTTTAGGGTATGACTTCTTAGTCTTTAAAGCTCAAGTGGTCCCTCTAGGGGTCTTTCAACTTTATTCAAAAGACAATTATTCATTTTTCCGCATGGAAATGCTTCCAGGACCACTTTTGCAAGGTCTTCTGGCCCCTATAGGGACCACTCTCGGGTTCCGAAGTACCTATGGCCATTGACGATAGTCATGGCTTTGTTCAGAGCCATCGTCTGGATCCGAGTGTTGTTGAGTGCGGAGCGGACCTCGACGCGGCCTTTCGCCAAAAGAGCCACCAAATAAGGAGCGTCGTATACTAAAAAGGATCTCCTTAAAATCAAAAAAGAGAGAAAAATCAATGATATGAACAAAAAATCCGGGAAAAGGGAGCTTTTTCGAAGGAAAACGTCAAATTTTCCTTGATTTTTAACGTTCCTATAACGAAAATATGATGTTATATATAAAAATAGAAAGTTTTTTTTTTCAATTTTTTGTGTGTTTCAACATGAATTAACCCTCTAATGTACATAGGGACAATAAAAACTAGAAATTTTCTTGACGAAATGATAGAAATCGCTGATTTTTAATTCGCACAAGGGAAACTAAACATAAAAAATCCAGAGGACAACGAATAAAAATTTCACAAACACCCTCAATAAGTACGAAACTTGAAACTGTAAAATGCGTGAAAGTCAGAAATTTCACGAGAAATTCAAAAAATTTCAAATTTCGAACTTTCAAAACCCAATTTTCCTTGAATTTCTAAAACTTTGAGGTTTTTCGGAAAACCAATTTTTGAAAAAAGCTGCTAAATTCAAAAATTTTTCAAATTTTAAATTTTTTCTTTCATCATCTTTTTCTAGGATACTAAACGTGAACAATTAGAGGACACCGAATCAAAAATTTCGCGAACACGTCAAAATAAGAACCAATCTTGAAACCGTAAAATGAGTTAAAATCAAAAGTTTTATGATAGATTCGATAGATCAACGGCTACATGAAGAGACGTCAGAGAAATGAGATTTGTCTAGCTTCTCTGGCGTCTCTTCAAGTTCTTTAATCTATCGTTTGGATTTATCAGTCTCAAAACTCAGCTTGAAGCATTAAATTGAAGAAGTAAACTCTTGGAAAAACCCACCTAAGTCCAAAAGAGCTTCAGAAAACTTGAATTCTTTGCATTTCGGGGTCCTTTCCCCTTCGAAATTCGTCGTCACAACTATGTCATTTCGAACGAAAGCGATAAGTTGTCGATCCAGCATTGGGACCACTGAAGGGACCCCTTGGAAGGACATCAGGCGGCGAATCGTCGAGTTCCAGGACTGGAAAAAGTGGGTTTTCGAGTGGGAACAGCGCCGATGAGGAAAAAAGAAAGCCCCAGTGATCCCTAGAGGGTTTAGGGAGAAATAAGCCGCAAAAAAAAGACATAAAAGTGCTGCCTCAAGGGATAAAATAGAAGAGATCCTTTTAGGGTTTTTTCGATTTTTTTTCCAGCATTTAAAAATTAAAAACCACTAGCCTGCTTCCCTAAAGTGGCCACTATTTGAAATCCCTTCAGGGACTACTTTTTCCTTTCAGGGCCCTATAGGGACCACTGGAACTTTTTAAAAATATTCCATTTTTCGACAAAAATAAACAAATTATTCGATTCTGCCCACTCAAAAGAATAACTACTGGATAAAAAAGACCTAATTTATAAATTTTTCGAAACCGAAACCTCATTTTCATCATCGACGGCGCTGATTTTTTCCAAAGTCATCAGAAAATATTCGTCTCGAGCCGCCAGAAACATGGTATCATTGACGCAACTGAAAGGAAATTCCTTTATTTTTAGTGGCCACTATAGTAGTCGAAAAAGTGGTCACTTAAGGGGCTAAAATTTATTGGCCTTCTTAGAAGCCCAAATGGTAGTACTAGAACACTAAAAATTACTATAGTGGCCACTAAAACGCAATATATTGGCCTTTATAAAGATTTTTTCAGTGGCCACTATAGTGTTCTCTCCGAAAAATGCTTGAGGACCCCTTAAGTGGCCACTAGAGTTTCTCCCAGTTGATATTTTGGTGGTATGAAAAGAACACCAGCGAAAATTCAAACGGCGACTTTTCCGATTTTTTCAATTCGCTAGGGAACTTTCCGACGGCCACCTTTCCGCCGAATCTTTTTCCGACTTTTTTTCTCGATAAAATCTTCGTTTTAAATCTTCCTATATGAAGTAGGTAGTTGGTTCATGATTAAAAACACAAAGAAATAGGAAAAAAATGTAAATAGATGTCTTATGAACAGAAAAAAATATAAGGGAAAAAAGTCGGAAAAAAAGATTCGGCGGAAAGGTGGCCGTCGGAAAGTTCCCTAGCGATTTGAAAAAATCGGAAAAGTCGCCGTTTGAATTTTCGCTGGTGTTTTTTTCATACCACCGATATTTTGTATTAGAAAACGGTAATTTATTGATTTTTTCAAATAGAAATGTTTCCCTAGAACTAAAACTCTTATAAGGGAGCTGAGAAGGTTTTGAGGGGCCACTTAAGAGTTTTGAGGTTCTAAGGGCCACTATAGTAGTCTAATTAGCGGCCACTTAAGCGTCTAAACTTCGGTAACTTTTTAGAACTATAAGTGGTACTGCAAGACAATAAAAACTACTAAAGTGACCACTCAGACGCAAAATAGTGGCTTCTATAGAGGTTTTTCTAGTGGCCACTATACTATCCTCTCCAATTAGTCCTTGAGGAACCCCTTGAGTGACCACTAAAGTTTTGCCCTTCTAGAAAACACTTCCCTAGAGGGACCACTAACTGACGACCCTATAGAGCCCCCTTAAAGAACCTCTCAAGTGGCCACTAGAGTATATAAGGAAAAAATACCGAATACAAGTTGGATTGTCCAAAAAGGTGTGCTCATAATTCAGCTGAACTTCCAAAAACTCTTTCTGGCCGTCTTTCAGACCCCATTTAAATAAATAAAGCCGTTTTTTCGATGAAACTAGTAGGTAGATTTCACTGGAACCCTGAAAATTAAATTAAAACAATTTTTTTTTGATTTCTGAGCGAACCTTGGGTACAAATTGAGTATAAGTATGGACCGATTTGACCTTATGAAGCAAAGTTTCGACCTCAAAGAGGTTGTCGTGAAGTCGGTGGGCGGCTAGCTGAAAAATTCCCAATTTTTGTACCTTTTTATAAAGTTTCCAATACCTGCCCATCAGAAACACACAGCAAAATGTCCTCTTTCTCGCAAATCGATATTTCTGTCACCGGTTTTTTCGATCTTTCAAAGGTTTTACAGACATTAGCTAGTTTAAACCCCTTCCGATCTGTAAATTGAATTTTTTTAAAACTTCAAAAAACGAAAAATTACTCGGATTGGCCGTGTAGACGCAGAGATGGCCGGATTTCCCGCCGGCCAGGATACTTTGGGTGGATTCTGAAGATTCACGATTATTAAAATGATTGAATTACTCACTCTGATAGGAAATACATGTGATTTCCAGAGGTAGCCGTAGAGCTACCTCACTTGGCGCGTAGGCGTCGAACATTGGAGAAAATATTTATTTTTATCACAGGATCATAATTTTTAACCTGAAAAATCGAAAATATAGTAGTTTCATTTCAAAAAACCGTATGTTATGAAACAAACTTCTCACAATCTCTATATAAAACTCAGAAAAAAACTTTTGAAACTTACGCTTTTTGGTTATTTTAGCAAGAGATATATAGCTATTCCTGGAAATTTTGAGCAGGACATTCAGAAAAACAATCTGTTTTACATCTTATGTAGGAATTATCGAGGAAAAAGCTTTAAAAAAATTGAAAAAAGAAAAGAAAAAAGAAAATAAAAACACTTTCAGAATATTTACGAGTAAACAGCGCACGAATTGCATGATAACCATGCCGGGGGTGCAAATAGTGAAATCTTCCAAAAAAGTTTTGCACGTTCAGAAAAAAAAAATGTTTCCAGGGTTGAAAATTGCCGAAAACAACTTTTGAGATAGATTTCTTCATCGATTTAATTTTTCAGTTAAAAAACCTCAACGAAACATTTTTTGAACACATTCATTTCTGAAAACTCAGTTCGAAATCAATGTAATCATTTTAAAAATTTAATTTTCAATGAATCAAGTTCCCCCTAAGCGGAAAAAGCCACTGATAATTTCCTAATTCAGAAATCAGGCTTGCGCCATTTCCCATCCACACGCAACTGATGACGCCACAACGGGTTTCGAAGATTCTGAAACAATTGGAAATCGTCGGCTTTTCCTTCCCATAAGGCGTTTTCGCGGCCTTTTTTTCGCCTCAATGAAGATATCGCCGATTTTGACGGGTTTCAAATTCGGAGATGCTGGGAAATTTGCAGTGAATCGTTAAAAATGTCGTTTTTGGCTTTGATTTTCGAATAGAACTGCAAATTGTGGATAAATTTCTTTAAAATGAGGCTTATCGTTTTCTTTATGAAGACTGGTTGTTGGAAAACTGTTCATAAAATACCTTTAAAGGGAAATTTTTCAGTTGAAAGTTTTTTTCTTCATTGTGGGACCTGTTTTACGCTTATAGAGGCCCCTAAAGGAACTGCTTTTTCCCCTGAGCCCTATAGGGGCCACTCTGGCGGTCCTGAGCCATCCAATGCACTTCAACATTGGAAGGAGAAAAATTTTAAAAAAAAGCCGAAAATGGTCAGTTTCGAAATTCCGCTGCCGCACTTGGAATGGCTCAGGAGGTTACGGTCGTCTTAAAAAAACAGCTTTTTCAGGTTTTTTTTTTGCCTTTTTTTCTCATTCATCCAAAGCAAAGTTCATTTGTCAGAACTTGCAGAAGTCTGACCTGTCTGCGCTCTCTTATCCTTCGTTGGTGAGGCCAGAAAACTTGAAAACAGCATGTAAAACCTAGAGGGTACAGAGAAACAAAGTTTAACGTATTTAGGAACGCCAGAGTGGTTCCTAAAGTCGCCCCTTTAGGGACCAAGTCAACCTCTCCCTATAGGGGCCACTAAATATTGCAAAAGCGCTCACTTTAGGGGACCATGCTAGTCTCTATACGTCTTCTAACTTTCAAACCGGGGTAAAAAAATTAAAATACCCCTATAGGGACTCCTTAAGCTTCAGGGGATCAAGGGTCCGACTAACAACCCCTATAGGGCCGCTTTTTTTGATTTTTTTATAACTTATATAAGCTATAAGGTTTTTTTATGCCCTTTAAAAGAACCTCTGGCGTTCCTGAGTAGATTATTATGGACTTTTTTTTCTATTCTGTTTCGATATCTTTACTTAATTTTCTACTCGATGTTTCCGCCATCTCTCAACTTCTCTACGATAAAGTCAACATCCGAGATCCGGAAGTTCAGAAAAAAAAGAAGAAGAAAAAGAGATGGCAGATCAAATACCGCGTCATTCGACTCGCACTTGACTCGGGCGGCAGAAGGGGGGCGTGGCCTTTTTGTCTCATTTACCCTCGGGGCCTATTCTCAGACCGTCTCACGTCTATTCTCACTATTTTTGGTCGCTTGAGAAGCTTTTAGAAGGGAAATTCTGAGGCTTCCAGCTCTACCTGACATTGGTTGAGGTTCTGGAAGCTTCCAGTTCGAATTTCTGTATTTTTATTAGTTTTTCATCGAGTTGGACCTTGTCCAGCTCCACTTGATCATTGATTGGGCTTTTAAAAGTCTCCGGGCAGAAGTTTGAGGACTTTGAACTGTTCCAGCTTCATTTTTGCTCGATTCAACTCGTTTTGAAGGCTCCAGCTCCAACTTTAAGCTTCAAAAAGCCTTCCGAAGCTTTTCTGATCTTCTATTCCAAAAGAAGACCTGCTAGGTATACCTGAACTTTTTCGAGCTCATCCTGAAGACTCCAGCTCCACCTTCAAGCTTTCCGAAGACCCCCTGATCCATTATTCCAAAAGAAGACCAGCTCCAGCTATCCCTGAAGTTTTATTGAATTTTCTGCATTGATTCTGAAAAAAAAACCCTTTTTTTCATCCCCTGACATATTTTTCAAATTTTCATTCGATTCTACAATATTCTATGCCCTAATCCCACACTATGTGGACCTTCAACCGACCAGCCAAAGGCCGCGAAATCTTGGAATCCTGTCAGCAGGATTGCCAGCCACCTTCCCGACTTTTCACCAAGAATCCTGAGAGAGCGGAACAGGTTAGTCACTTCAAATTTGAAAAAAAAAAAAACAAAAAGAGGAAAAATAGGTTACTGTACGTGGAATTTTTGTAAGCCCTGTGAGAAATATTAATTGCGGACTTTATGATACAGTATCTCTCTTTCTTTTAAAATAATTTTTCAACCTTTTTTCTTGGTTTCTTTTATTTTTTTTTCCTTCGATTTAGGTTGAACTTTTTGTTAACTTGTTGAAAACCCCTGGCGAGACTTGAAGATAAAAAAATTTAATGGATTTTCGCTTTTTTGAATGTGAAAATTTCCAATGGAATTTTCGAAGCAGAAAGTCGTTTTCTGCATTATTTTCAGTCTTCTCAAACTATTCAAGAATGATTTTTGAGCAGCAAAGAACATTTTATTTTGTAAATATAGTGCTTTTGCTTCTTTCAATTTTGACTCTCTTTTTTTCAGGACTTTTTCTTGTTTCATGACTATTTTCTCATATTTCCTGGTTTCCGTTCTGTTTCTCTTCCCTGAAACTGCATCCTTATCGCGTTTCGATCCCATACATGGCAAAACCATGACTTATTAGCCAATACCGACACCGATTAGTCACTGGTTTCCCAAAGAACAGACGAACTTTCGATTCCATTTCTCTTTCCAAAAAAAGCTTTTACTTTCAAACACGCCTGTACTTGCCATTGTTTATGAAAGGAAGGTCTCGAGAAAGGCATCGAATTGCGATTAGAAAGCAAAAAAAAAAAAGAACAAGTATTTGGCGCGGAAGGGGGCAAATTGAAAGGGAAACGCAAGTGTGAGGCAAAAGATTCTTTTTGAAATCGTTAGGAAATACGGCCAAAAACGAATTAAAGTCGTTGGCGATAACGGTTGGGCGCGTGAAACGCGACGATTTAGCCGGTTTATTGAGGGGATTCTCATCTTTTTATCGTGCATTTTATGGCAAAACATGGGTTCTGATTGATGTCTTTATTTGAATTCAGCATCTGCGATTCACCTGTCCAGGCGACTTATTCAGAAAAAGAGGAAAAAGTGGAAAAGTGGAAATTTTCGGTGAAAAATTTTCCTATTGAACACTTTTCGAATATGAATCAAAGACCGAGTAAAGGTTAAATTTTTCGAACTTAAAAAAACCAATTTTGTAGCAGCAATTGGGCTCAAAAAAACTATGAAAGTTGTTTAATAGAAATAAAAAGACTTTTTCTTGAATTTATTATGAAAAATTTTTTTGTGGCGCAGACGGACTTCCTAAAGATTTAGAACCAAACACCCGTTTTTGAGCTAATTTTTGAAGATTTCTGCATTTTCAAACACTTTAAGATTTTTTTAACAGAAAATGAATTGAAAAAAAGTTCCAGTTTTTAAAATGTGTTGACTTTGGAGAGCGATTTTTGCAACTTTTTCCGCGCCCGCATTGCAAATTTCAAACTTTTTTTACGCGCGCACCCGCCAATTATTTTTTTCTTTCGTTTTTTTATTTTTCTTTTTTTGTTTTTCTTTTTCATTAATTACCTTTTTTTAATTTGTAGAAATGGCAAGTAACGATCGCAAGCGTAAGCATACCCGCTGGAACAATAAGTTTGTCGATTCATCTGCGGTTTTTTCAAAGTAAGATTTAGAGTGAAGCAAAAATCGGTCGAGGCCGGTGTTTCTGGACTATTTTTCACTTGTGACGGTCGCGAAAAGGACGCCCTTCACGAAGCGTATTGTATTATCGATGAGCTCTTGGAAAACACTTCTAATGGTTCAAAAATTTTCCGGAAATTATTGTCGAAAGAGTCTTTTTCAAGGAATCTCAACCGAAAAAGAAGAGGTTAAGGAGGAAAATTCGGGTGATGAATCTGAAGAAGATATCGCCGACGCTCTGAAAAAAGCCTGCGACGACGAGAGAACCGCAAAAACGCCTGGGAACAAGAAGGAAAGGAGGTTTTGAAGCGATTTTCGATGTCGAGCCGGTTTTTAACATTTTTAGGTGCAAGCAAAGGCCAACCGGTGTCAAAAATTGTCTTTTTATCGCTGTTAAAGGTTGAAAAATCGTTGAAATCTTGGAAAAATCAAAAAATACAGACGCCGACGCGATATTACTAGCCGAAAAAATGGTGGATTTGACTCAAAAATCGCCAAGATGTCGGCATTTGCAAGTGAATTTTGGTATTTTTATCAAGTTACTTATATTTTTAGCGAGTTCTTCCCGTTGAAAGCACGGCTGAGATCGATTTGCAGAAATTGAACGACCTTGTTGCCGCGGTTTTTCGATGATTTTTCCGTTTTACTTGAAATTTTTAGGCCATTTCAAAATATTTGGTGAAGAAGAGCGACGATTCCTGGCCGACTTATTCTTTGGAGTTCAAGGTTTCTTTTTTCACTAAATTAGAAGGTGCCTGGAACTTGTGAGAGTATTTTTAAGGTTAAATTTTGGAAATTTATTTGAGTTTTTTGGACTTTTTTGGAAATTTCGGCCGGTTTTTATTTTTTAGAAGTATTTCATTATTTAAAAAAATCGTCAAGCCGAAATTTTTGGGCTCAAAAATGAAATTTGAATCTTTCAAGCTTTAAAATTAGTCTTTTTTTGAAGTTTTTTTAAAGCTTGAATATGTTCTTAAAATTCATCTCAAAACCTAAAAAAAACATTTTTCGAAGTATTTTTTTCATAAATTTCCACTAATTAGGCCCGAAACAACGATTCCATATCCAAAGGCGCCGTCCTTGAAATGCTCGACGATGCGATTCTTGCCTTTGCCCCTGGAGCGAAATGCAGCCTTAGCGGTGGGGCGAATTTACCCAAAAATGACGTCATATTTTGAATTTTTCCCGATTTTTAGGAGCCGAAGTGACTCTCTTCGTGCAAGTTGTTCGCACGACGATGATGGTCGGAGTTTGCAGGGATTTCTATGGCCGACGGAAGTACAGTATGCGGCCGGCGGGTCCTGACACGAAAAATGAATAGGAATATTGTTTTTTTTAAGGAAAAATGAAGAAAAAGAAACACTTTTTTTCTGAAAAATGCTAAACTTTCTTTGTTAAACGTTCATTTTTCACTCTAAAATGTTTGAATATGTTAATTTCCGTCGAATTTGCTCATTATTCCTTAAATTGTTAAATTTTCTTATCTTACATTTTTCCCGGCACGCAAAACTTCCCACCCGCGAGCCTCTATGTTCACAAATGCGCCCATCCGTCAGCGTCGCCTCATTGGCTCAGTGGCAGAGCGTCTGTCTAGTAAACAGAAGGTCGCTGGTTCGATTCCAGCATGAGGCACCACACATTTTTGCCGTTTTGCTCCTTGTTGTTTTTGGTTGTTAATAAACTGGTTATCAATATTTTTTCTTCCTTTTTTCGTTTTCATGGTTTAAACCATGCTCTTATCGATTTCTTACCGTGTTTTGTTCTGAACGGATTTTTTCGAGAGACACGGAAAAAACAACAGGAAGCACTCGATCCCAAAGCAAATATTAGCTTTTTTTGCTCCGTTTCGCGCGCAAATTTCGTCTCTCTTCATCCTTTTCACTTCTTTCACCGTTCCTATGAAACTATCTTTGAAGAATAGGTAGTCAAAAGGATACTTTTATCATTGGTTGTTGGATTATTGACAACGGGGATGCACTCGTGTTGTTTGCAAATCATTCATAAGCACTTGTCGAGTACCTTTGACGCGACCTTTCTTCTTCTTCTTATTGTTATTCGTTTTTGCGGCTTCTTGGAATGTTTATAAGACTTTGACTTGGTTGGGGAAGTGATTTTGCTTTCCTCGATTTTGCTTTTTTCTAAAAACTTGTCAGAATATTCCTTGGGGTACCAGAAGAAGCTTCTGAAAGTCTCAACCTGCACATCTTACTATTTTTTGAGAAAAATGGCTCAAAATGGGCTTGTTTTAAGGGGGGCGCCTTTTTATACTTTCCAACTAGTTTTACAACTTCATTTTCAAAAAAAGATTTTCAAAACTTTTTTCTAGTTTTTAGTACTTTCACGGTCTTGATGTGATAGATTTCAAGAACAAAATATCGAAAATTTTGGTTTTTTTTGAATTGCAATAGAACATTTTCATTACAAAGCTTGTGCAAGTTTATCAGAACTCGTTATTTTTCGAATTATTATTTTAATTTGTAAATATCTCACGAATTTCTGTTTTGTGCAGATTTTCAAATACTTTTGTTGCTCTGAATCAGTGGAAAAAAACTACAAAATTGGTAAAAAAATTTGACTTTTTTTCCACTTTTTAACTCAATTTTAACAATTTCTTTTTCAAAGCTTTTTGATTAAATTTTTAGAAGGTTCTAAACATTATGAATGAAAATAAATAACGAAATTGGGTCCACAGCTTATCAGAATTATTCAAGGAGGAGTCAAAACTTCCAAGACGATATTTTCAAAAGTCCCACTTCATTTTTCCAGCTTTGAATTCCCTCCAAATTTTATTTTCTTCACAAAAATGTTCCTGATTTCGTTTCCTGATCATCTGGAAACCGTGCCAGGGGCATTCTTGATTGATTTTAAAGGACTTTTCGGCAAATTTATGGGAAAAATCAAAGAAAAATCATTGAAAAATAGGAAAATATGAAGTTTATTTTGGAATCTCGGTGAATTTCAAGTTCAAAAACTAACTTTAATATAATTTTCAAAGTGATTCCGAAAAGTCCAAAATATTCGTCAGAGAACGAAAAAGATAACTGGATTCTGGAGGGTCAGGGATAATTTTGAAACTCCTGGAAGTTACTCTGAACATGGTATAACTTGATTTTTAACGCCTTCCTTTTTTCTTTTTTATTTTTTCTTTGTTTCTAGTCCAACACGTAGGCCTCGTGTTTGTGGACCATGTTTGTTTTATAGTCCGGTTTTCATGTAAGTGAGTCTTTTTCTGCGTTTTTTCTCGTCCTCAGTGAAGCTTTTCATTTTTTTTTTGTCTTTCAAAAATGAAATTTGAAAGTTTAGGGGATTTTTTTTCGATTTTTTTTTTAGTCTCTGCTGATTTTTTAGCAGTTAGAATTACTAAAAAGTTTTTTAGTGGCCTTTTCTAGGTTTTTGACGTTCTAGTGGCCACTATAGTAGTCGAGCTAGTGGCCACTTAAGTGATTAAAATTCAGTGACCACTTCAGAAGTCTAAACGGTACTACTAGACCACTAAAAACTACTATAGTGACCACTAAGACGCAAAATAGAGTTGGTTTTAGTGACCACTTTAGTGTCCTCTCCAAATAGTCCTCAAGGAACCTCTTAAGCGGCCACTAGAGCTTTTCCCAGTAGAATTCAATTTTTTTAAAAAGTTTGCCTTATAAGTTTTTACATGATTTAATTGATTCAAATCAAGCTTCATTCCATTTTTTTTATGACAAATGCTTTCCAAATTATTTTTCGTGAGATCTTCAAGTTCTTCAAATTCCATAAATGGCTATTTGGTTTATGGACAATTGGAAAATTCAATGGAACCGTATTAAATCAAATATGATTTTAGTTCCCTCATGAATGTGTCGTGAAACGTATTTTCACTTAGTTTTGAGTTTGGAAGTTTTAAGGTCATTTCATGAAGGAAATATTTTCCTACACTCTTTCAAACTATAACAAGAAATTCAAAAACCCCTATAAGGACCACTGAAGCCTTAGTGACTGGGGGCTGTTTAATCTTTTTTTGGGGGGTTTTTTTCCTAGCCCTTTAGGGATCCTTAGCAAGTTTTCAAGTTGAAAAATACATGGAACGAAACGTTTCAAAACGCCACAAAATCGCTTCAAAATGAGCAGCTTTTGGCGCCCCAATGAGAACTTTTTCTGTATTTTTGAAATTGATAAGGTCGAAAATTGAACAGAAATTAATGAATAATCGGTAATATTTGTTCAACTTTCGGTTTCCCTCTCTGATTGCCAAAAATAAATCCAATAAAAAGGCAGGAAACAACCTCGTTATACGGCTGTTAAATGAATCGAAGTTAATGAAGAGGAGGCCCAAATTGTAGCTTTTTCCCTTGTTGAGAACGTCGAGAGGAGGGTGAATTATGCAAGGCAAAAGGCTTAGGGCTTTAGTATCGAATTCGTTTTCTTTGCTTTTTCGCCTCTTCCTCGTCTTCTTCTTCTTTTCTCTTTCCGCTATTTCGCGCCCGATAATTTTGAGTCGAAAGTATTTTTTAGGTTGGAATTGAGTTAAAATTCCATCCATTTTGATTTTTTCCAAATTTTCTAACCCATTTTGTGGAAAAAAGGTCAATTTTTGGTCTTTTATGAACCTTTTTTTGAGTCGAGATCTATTTTTTTTAAAGTCTAAATGAGTGAAAATTCCATCATTTTAAACTTTTTCCCACTTTTTAAAGCTCTTTCTTGAGTTGAGAGCCACTTTTTAAGGTTTTAATGAATGAAAATTGTGTCGTTTTTGACTTTTTTCCACTTTTTGAAGCTCTTTTTGGCTTTTAAATGAGTAAAAAAATTGTGTCATTCAACTGTTTTTCCACTCATTCTGACCCTTTCTGAGTCATTTTTTTCGGCCCTCTTTGAACCATTTTTTTGAGTTTAGAGCATTTTTTTAGATTTTTTTCTAAAAAAAGTTTTCTTCGTTTTCAAATCTTTTTGAACCATTTGGGTAAGAAAACTTCAGTTTTTTTGGGCTTTTTGAAGCCCTTTTTTTGGGTCGAAAGCCATTTTTTTGAGTTTTTAAAAAAATGAGTGAAAAATTTTTATTAATTTCAACTTTTTTTCTGAACCATTTTGTTAGGAAATTCATTTTTTTGGCTTTGTTGAGCTTTTTTTGCTTTGAGAGCCGTTTTTTTAAGGTTGAAAATCAATAGAAGTTCCATCAATTTCAATTTTTTTGCACTTTTTTTGAATCTTTTTTATAAAGGAAAAATTCAATTTTTCGGTTTTTTTCTTGAGCTCTTTTTTTGAGTTGAGAGCCGTTTTTTGGGTTGATGTGAATGAGTAAAGAAAAGTGAAAATCCCTTCGTTTGCAATTTTTTTGTCATGAATTGGTTTTTTTTCCGTTTTTTGAAGGAAATTTCAATTTTTGGCCCTTCTTGAGCTTTTTTTGTACTTTCCTTTTGGCTTTTAGTTCATTTTTTGTTGTTTCAAAGATTTGTTACGATTTTGGCGACAAAGGGCCCGGTTTTAAGGGTTTTGAGAGGTTTTTCGTGAAATTATATTTTTTAAGGCTTGAATCGACTTTTGAAGCCTAGAAAAGCTACCAAAATCTTGAAAAATCAGTTTATTCGTCGGTAAAAGTCCCGGATATTTTTTCAAACTACCTCCGATTTTTCCAAGTATGACTTTCCCAGCTTTCCCTCCCATAAATACTTTTTCTTGGGCTATTCCAAGGCTTTTAAGGGGCCCATTATCCTCCACGCACTGGAGTTATGAAGTGAACCCAAAGGGCTACTTTTATGGCTGAGAAAATCGGGGCGAAAAACGAAGAATTCCCAGTGTTTCCGTATCGATCCGGGGCACCCCCAAAAATGAGTGCAAAATGCTGTTTTTTTTTTTGATTGCTCACCAAACGCTCACTGAAATTTTTGATTAAATCGACTTTTTGAAATCATTTCGAAACGTATTGTTTCGAGCTGAAAATGTTCATTTTGAAGTTTTTTGCTGGTTTTTCACGTGGATTGGTTTGGAATTTTCTATAATTTCGCTCAAAAAATCTTTGATGTAATAGGAATCGATCCCCTATAGCCGCTATCTGCGCAAAATTTTCCTTTTGGAGATATGACTTTTCAAAGTTTTTGTCCTTAACCATGTGACGCCGTTTGGAAGGAATCTCTACGCGCAACTAACCACTGCATGGCAGCTAGAAGAGTGGCGCAGTGGCTAGCGTGTTAGCCTGCGGAGCGCATGATGAAGGTTCGAATCCTTTTGCCACCAACTTTTTTTTTGCCATTATGGTTTTGACCGATTTTAATGAAAATATCGATATTTAATGATCAAAATGGCCATTTTCTTCCAAAATTACTTTTTTCACCGAGTCTTTCCAAACGGTGTCACGTGTTTACGGGCGAAAACTTAAAAAAAATTCACATCTTCAAAAAGAAAAAATTGCCCAGATAGTGACTATCGGGGATCGCTTCCTAGTCCATCAAAAGGATTATTTGAGCAAATTTATAGGTAATCCAAAAAGCAAACGCAATATCGATCTTCCAAATGGATAAAAATTCATCTCGTTAAGCATTTATTCCTTAATTTCAAACGGGAAAATCCCAACAGAGGCCAAATTTTCGGAAAAACAAGCCCCTCAACTCAATTATTCATTATTTCCCGTTCAGTATTTGACGTTTTCCATCTCAAAAGTTGCTCCGAAACCGTCAATTTTTGTTTTTTTTTTTGTTTTATTCTGTCATATGAATGTCTTTTTCAACTTGAAAAGCTCGTTTCTCTAAAATTTTCAGCTTTCCCGGTAGAATTCCGTGAAAATTCCACTTAAAAACTTGTTTTGGAACGCCAGAGTGGTCCCTATAGGAGTTAGGGGTATGATACTTTTGAAGTTTAAGTGGTCCCTTTAGGGGTTTTCAAACTAAAAAGGCAAGCTCGATCAATTTCTGTTGTTATTTTCCATTAAAAAATGCTGATTTATTGAGTTTTTCACATGCAAATGCTACCCTAGAGTAGGCACTACCGAAACCCCTAGAGTGGCCACTTTTGCGAATTTTAGTGCCCCTTATTGGGAGAGGTAAGGTGATCTCTTCCCTGAACCCTCCAGGGACCACTCTGGAGTTCCTAAGTGCATCATTTTTCCTTAACTCTAATCATTTGAAATAAATTTTGTTTCTTCCGGAAAATTCCGTAGAAAATTCGCCCAATCAACCCGATTTTCGTACACTAAACGAGTGGCATCAGTCCCATCCATTCATTTTTTTTTTCCTTGCCACCAATGTGTTGTTTTTTCGCCCCAAACGCCTTTATTTTCCATTTTTCCTCTTCTGTTTAGCTGATTTTTCTCATTTTGTGGGCTTTTCGCTATTTTCAAAACTTCCTGTTTGGACTTGAGACCGGAAAAATTAGGAAAAATCGATTTTTCCATGAGAAAAAGGGGATTTAGCAGTTTTCTAATGTCAAATTTGAATGAAAATACATTATTTCTGACCAAATTTTCTGTATTTTTCATTTTTTCCTCTTCTAATTGGCTGATTTTTCTCATTTTGTGGGCTTTTTGCTCCCTTCAGAACTTCCTGTTTGGACTTGAGACCAAAAAAATTAGGTAAAATCGATTTTTCCACAAAAAAAAGAGAATTTAGCAGTTTTTCTAATGTCAAATTTGAATGGAAATCCATGATTTTTGGTCAAATTTTCTGTATTTTTCATTTCTTCCTTCGAATTTGTATCGTTTTAGGCTTAAATTTGAGGATTTTCTGATTTGTTCTAGTTGATTTTAGTACGATTTTTTTCTAATTTTTTTCGATTCTTTGAGGACAATGTTTGGGATAATTTTTGAAAAAAATCAGCCTTTTAAATTTTTTTTCAAGCTTCACTGCCTTTTCCAATGAAAGATTTTTCAGCCCAAAAAAACCCTCCGAAAATCTGAAAATCAGAAAATTTCTTTTTTTGAAAATAAATGCCGTGCTAATGATTCCATAAAAAAATTCAATTTTTTTCGTGAAAATTTTTCAATTTTTTTCAGAATTCTCCCGGATTTTTTCTTCTTCCAGTTCTCAGGCCCAAGTTCCCGTCATAGCCAGGGGCATTTTTTTGGTTGGTTTTTAAAGGATTTTTTTCAACAAATCTATAGGAAAAAAATCAAAGAGAAATTGAGTTTTCTTTGGGAATTTTGGCGCATTTCAAGTTAAAAAAATAAATTTAATATAATTTTTCGAAGCGATTCCACAAAGTCTAAAATGACCTTCAGAGAAAGAAAAAAAGATAACTAAATTTTTGGAGGGTCAGAGATAATTTTGAACTCCGTGGAAGTCACTTTGAACACGGCATAAATAATAAATCATCCACGCAATTTTTTTAAGTCGATTTCCTGTTTCAGAGATTTTTTTATTAAACTCGTGAATCAATCACAAATTTAATATTTGTGGTCTATGACGATAATAATTCAATTTAGAAAAATTTTTCGAGTTCGAAATGTTTTTGAAAGAAAACCCTGAAGTGGTCACTCTGACAGCGCAAAACTCTCAAGGGGCCACTTGAGAAACGTAAAACCCGCTTTGACACCAGAAACTTGGTCCTGAAGCGATCACTTAGTAATCAGTACAATATTAAGAATTCTAGCCCCTAAAGTGGTCACTTGAGAAATGAGTTCGACTCGGTAAATATGAAAGAAAACCCTGAAGTGGTACAAACGCAAAGCTCCCAAGTGGTCCCTTGAAAATCGGCTATATTCGGCCCCTTAAGTGATCCCTTATGGACCAGTAAAATATTGAGAGATTTGGCCCCTTAAGTGGTCACGTTGACAACGTAAAACTCTCAAGTGGCTCCTCGAAAATCGGCTAAATTTGGCCCCTTAAGTGGTTACTTATGTACCAGTACAATATTATGAATTCTGGCCCCTAAAGTGGTCACTCTGACAACACAAAACTCTCAAGTGGTCCTTCGAAAATCGACCATAAATGGCCCCTAAAGTGATCACTTATGGACCAGTACAATATTATGAAGATAGGTCCCTGAAGGGGCCACTCTGACAACCCAAAACTCTCAAGTGGTTTCTTGAAAAGCGACCACATTTGGCCCCTAAAGTGGTCCCTTATGGACCAGTAAAATTTTGAGAGATTTGGCCCCTAAAGTGGTCACTCTGACAACGCAAAACTCTCAAGCGGCTGTTTGAAAATCGACCATATTTGGCCTCTAAAGTTGTCCCTTATGGACCAGTCCAATATTATGAATTCTGGCCCCTGAAGTGGTCACTTCCACAGGGAGCAACTTATGCCGTATCCGAAGTAATTTTCGCGAAATTCAAAATTATCTCTGACCCTCCAAAATCTAGTTATCTTTTTCTTTCTCTGACGGTCATTTTTAATTTATTTCATTTCCAGGAAGTTTTCCAACAATTGAGCCCCGGGAAGTGGAAAGAGCCACGCCGGCGACCGTCCTCCCCTGGCAACCCATGAACAAACTCAACATTGTCGTTTCTGGCCCAGGTTATAATCAAAAATGAGAGAAAATTATTTTTCGTACGCAACGTATAGTGACAAAATGATGGGAAAATGAAGATTTTTTTCAAAAAAATTTTTTGAAATATTTTTCTGTCCAAGTTTTGACAAAAAAATAGTGAAATATTGAAAAAAAGCTGTCATTCTCAGAATTTTTTTGACCTTTTTTTGAAGTATTTTTTTGATGGAAAAAAATATAAAATAATAACGGACTATTTTTGATGAAAAAAATGGGTTTAAATTTGGAATTTCGGTTGTTTTTTTCTGTATTTTTTTGAAATTTCTCAATCCTTTTTTCAAGAAAAACATTTTTCTATTGAAATTGAAAATTAAAATGTTCGAATAAAAAAAGAAAAATAAGCCTCAAAAAAATTGATAAAAAAATAGTGATAAAATCGTGGAAAAATGGGTTGAAATTTTTTTGAAAACCAGGAATTTTTCTCTATTTTTCTGAGCATTTTAAGGGTCTTTAAAAAAAGGAAATTTTTTTCTGACGGGTGTGAAAAATCGAAAAAGAGAATAATATATATACTTGACAAAGATAAAAAAATATGGAAAAAAATGGAGCAATTTTGGTGAAAAAAATTGGTTAAAAAAATTTGATTTTTTTCTTTATTTTTTTGAGGTTTTTCAAGGGATTTCAAGGCATTAAAAACAACTTCCGAGGGAAGCTAAAAATAAAAATAGTTAAAAAAGAGAGAATAATCTTCAAAATTGATAGAAAATAGTGGAAAACTAGAGCAATTTTGATGAAAAATGCGTTAAAATTTAGAATTTCTGTAACTTTTTGCATTTTTTTTTAAGCTTCTGGTAGTTTGAACTTGCAAAAAAAAAGTGAGGAAACCTTCTAAGAAGCCTTCGAAATGGCCTAAATGATATGAAGCCTTAAAAGTAACTTTAAAAAAAAAGTACATTGTATGGAAAAAATGACTAGATGAAGGGTTTCTTGAGCTTTCTTATAGTTTTTTTAATCGAAAAAAATCTTTTTCGTTGGAAATCGATTTTTTTGGTTTTTTTCATCTCAGTTAGGCTTAAATGAGTATTTAAAAAAATATTTTTTTCCATTTCTATTTTTTTGCCAATTTTTCATAATTTTTCCCGAGATTCCCGTTTCAAACCATGTTTAAATATGATGAAAATTCATCCTTTTTTATTCAAACGACATTGTCAGGAAAATATTTTTGCATCAAAATAGAATTTCGAAATTATTTCAAATTCAAGACGAATCAATGGACGTCGAAATGTGTTGTGCGTCGTCCTCAACATCAAATCCGGGCAATATCGAGGAAAAAATCGGGATCAAAAGCCCGAGGGCCGCATTTTCGGCCTTCGAAGCACTTCATGGGATTGAAGGTCCATTTTTCCCGAAAAAAATTTGAGGAAGGAGCGATTTTTTCTAGACTTTCCGTGCTCTGATGCGACTTCGTTTTTGGATTATTCCAATTCGAATGTCGCCTTGGAAATGTTGAACGAAATGAATATTATGCGGCAGGATCTGAAGTTGTGCGACGTTGAGATTGAGGTGAGGAGAAATGAAAAAAGAAAAAAACACTACGAAAATTTTTGGCCACTATAGAGGCTCGCCAAGGACTACTTGGAGAGGACACTTAAGTGGTCACTATTCTCCGTTTTAGTGGCCACTTCAGTAGTTTTTCATCCGGTATTCCTTCCAGTAACTCTGATAATTTTGAAACAAACGGATTGGAACAGTTATGTTGATCCATTGACCCCTAAAGTGGCCACTAAAATTTTTTGTGATCTAGTAGTAGCACTGAGACCTCTATAGTGACCACTTATTTTTGACCCCTTGAGTGGCCACTAATTTGACTACTATAGTGGCCACCGAAACGTCAAAACCCTATAGTGACCACTAATTTGACTACCACACTAAACGTTTTCCCTGAAAGTAAGGGTATTACTTTATCTGGGAACCGTTTTAGTGGCCACTTCAGGGCTCTAGGTTTCAGACGTTCTAGTGGCCACTATAGTGGTGAAACAAGCGGTTTTTAAAATTCAACGGGTACTGCTAAACCACTAAAAACTACTATAGTGGCCACTAAGACTCCAAATAGTTGTTTCTATAGAGATGGCTTTAGTGGCCACTTTAGTGTCCTCTCCAAATAGTCTTCAATGAACATCTTAAGTGGCCACTAGAGTTTTCCCCAGATTCAAAAAAAGTATGAGAATGAGAAAAATCAGGTCGAGTAAGAGTGCTCCATTGAGAATACGAAAAAACGGTCAGATTTTTTATGAGTCTACGCCAGAGTGGTCCCTAGAGGGGCAATCTTAGAGGCACTTGTAGGCACTTGCCAAATTGACCGCTCTAGGGGTTTAGTTGGTGGTCACTTTAGGGGAGCATGCTAGTGGTCTCTATACTTCTTTTTAGTTTTTAAATCTGCCAAAAATATTTTAAAAAATCACATAGGAACCCCTCGAGGTTTAGGGGGTCAGGGAACAGAATCTAAACCCCTATAGGGACCACTTGAGCTTTAAGGGGCTTAGAATCAGACCCTGAAGCCCGATAGGGACCACCTAAATTTTAGCCCTCTAGGGAACACTTTTTGTCCCCTATAGGGCCATTTTTCCTCCTAACCCCTATAGGGACCACTCTGTCGTTCTTAAGACTTATTTGGGAATATTATTTGTGTCGATTTACTCATTTTTTCCTCTGAAAAATGACTGATTCTCAAAAAATTGAACAAAATTCGATTCCAGGTCGAAAACCAGAAACTCTATGCTCATCGGTACCTTCTGGCGGCCGTTTCCCCATATTTCCGAGCCATGTTCACAAATGGAATGATTGAGACGACGAAATCGAAGATTGTCATGAGGGTGAGTTTTTTGAGGGGTTCCAGGGGTTTTTGGGCTTTTCAAGAGCTCAAGGGGTCTTTAGGGGATTTTTTAGGGATTTTTTTGAGGGATTTTTTTAAGGAATTTTTTTAGGGATTTTCAAAGGAAACTTTAGGGATTTTTCGAAATATTTTTAGAATTTCTCAAGGTTTTTGTAGAAATCCATCGTCTAAAAATTCGCCTAGGAACTTGATTTTTTTGACTTTTTGCTTGACAAAAATCCCGTATATAATAATAATTGAGCTTGGCACTTATTTTTCGTTTTTTTATTGGTCGCATTTGGAATGGCTGAAAGCGTTTATTCCTGGCGCGACCGACCTAAAACGGCTTGCGCCGATAGGTAGCCGAAAACCTTGACCGCTCCGCTCTGAGCCATTCCAAGTGCGGTCATTGTACTTTTCCATTTTTTTTTTTTTGAAAAAATCTTCGAATGAAGCTTCCCACCAGTTTTTTATGTCTTAAAAGGCCGCATTTGAAATGGCTAAAAGCGTTGATTTGTGGCGCGACCGACCTGAAACGGCTCGCGCTATAGGCTTCCCAAAAATTGATTGATGACCGCGCCGCTCTGAGCCATTCCAAGTGCGGCCACGACATTTTCTCTTGATTTTTTTCAACTTTTATCGTTCAGGACGTGACCAAAGAGTCATTAGAACTGTTAATCGACTACATTTACACGACAAAAATTCGGATAACCGGCTCAAACGTCATGTCTTTACTCTTTACCGCCTCGATTTTACAGGTTTTTCTTTAAAATTCGAACATTTTTTTGAGAAAATACAATTTTTAGATGGACAATATTGTCGGCGAATGTCAGAAGTACCTGACCACGGTTATTACCTTGGAAAAATTGCCTCAAATTGTTCCATTTTGCCGAAAGTTACAATTGTACCCATCTTCTCAAGGCTTCCGACGCGTTTATCATCGACAATTTTTTTGGTTTGTTTCAGGAAAAAGAAAATTTGAAGATTTTTACTAGGTACATCGACTTTTCAAGCAAAAAATTATGAAGAAAAGAAAAAAATAGCAATTTTTAGAAAGTGAAAAGATTCTGCTACGATTTTAGGCACTTTGCAAAGCGCGCGCACTTTTTCTGCAAGTGCCGCACGGTTTCATTTTTTCGACCGTGAGGTGATTTGTGCGCTCCATGGCTAATTGAATTTAGAAACTTTTGAAAACGCATTTTTAGGCTTGGAAAATTTCTTTTAGCCTCAATTATCACTGAATTTTGACCTTGATTTTTGGAAGAAAAAGGAAAAATTTGGTCTTTTCAGAAAATCCGGAAATCGGAAGAGTTCTACACGTTGTCCTTCAAAGATATTGAGTCGATTTTGAAACGATCCGAATTGCATGTGCAAAGTGAGGAACAGGTAAAGATTGGTTATTTTTCACACAGGTAGGACAGGAAAAATGAGAAAAAATGTATTTTATATACTATTCTCAGAATAATTTCATCAAAAGTCAGAAAAAAATTATGAAAAGTCGATTTTTTATGCAAATTGGTAAGCATTTTCGAGCTTCTCTGACCTGTCTGCGCCCTCTTTTCTCTCACCGTAGAGGTTATGGAAAGAGGGAAATAGTGTGTAGGAGCGAGAGGGCGCAGAGAAATCAAACTTTTTTAAGCACTGTAGATAGATACTCGATTTTTCATGACTTCTGACTCTCTGACCTGTCTGCGCCCTCTTCTCCCTCATCTGCGAGGTCAGAGAAAGAGGGAAATAGCGCTCAGAAACGAGAGGGCGCAGAGAAAAACAGGACTTTTTCCAAATTTTGTCAAGAGATGCTTGGTTTTTCATGACTTTAAACTGTCTGACCTGTCTGCGCTCTCTTCTCCCTCATCTGTGATGTCAGAGAAAGAAGAAAAGAGTGCATAAAAACGAGAGGGCGTCCAGAGATTGAAGAAAGAGAAAAATAGCGTGTAAGAACGAGAGGGCGCAGAGAAATCGGATTTTTCCAAATTTTGTCAAGAGATGCTTGGTTTTTCATGACTTTAAACTGTCTGACCTGTCTGCGCTCTCTTCTCCCTCATCTGTGATGTCAGAGAAAGAGGAAAATAGTGCGTGAGAACGAGAGAGCGCAGAAAAAAACGGGACTTTTTGAAGTTTCGACGATAAATACTTGTTTCGCCATGACTTTGAACTGTCTAGCATGTCTGCGCTCTCTTCTCTCTCATCTGTGATGTCAGAGAAAGAGGAAAATAGTGCGTGAGAACGAGAGAGCGCAGAAAAAAACGGGACTTTTTGAAGTTTCGACGATAAATACTTGTTTCGCCATGACTTTGAACTGTCTAGCATGTCTGCGCTCTCTTCTCTCTCATCTGTGATGTCAGAGAAAGAGGAAAATAGTGCGTGAGAACGAGAGAGCGCAGAAAAAAACGGGACTTTTTCAAGTTTCGACGATAAATACTTGTTTCGCCATGACTTTGAACTGTCTAGCATGTCTTCGCTCTCTTCTCTCTCATCTGTGAGATCAGAGAAAGAGGAAAGAGTGCATAAAAATGAGAGGGCGCAGAGAAAATGAGACTTTTTCCAAATTTTGTCGAGAGATGCTTGGTTTTTCATGAATTTAAACTGTCTGACCTGTCTGCGCTCTCTTCTCCCTCATCTGTGATGTCAGAGAAAGAGGAAAATAGCGTGTAAGAACGAGAGGGCACAGCGAAATCGGATTTTTCCAAATTTTTTCTATAAATAATTGATTTTTCATGACTTTTCCCAGTCTGACATGTCTGCGCTCTCTTTTCTCTCACCGGAGAGGTCAGAGAAGGAGAAAAATAGCATGTAGAAACGAGAGAGCGCAGAGAAAAAGCCTTTTCAATCAATAAATTATCGATTTCTCCAGGTTTTCGAAACCCTACTCGATTGGGTTGAGTATGACTGTGACACCAGGAAACAGTATTTGCCCGAACTTTTGAAAACGGTAAAGTTATTTAGTGAGTTTTTTATAAATTCCAAATTTTCAGGTCCGACTGGCCCTGGTCAGCATGAGATTCCTGTGTGACGTCATGAATGAACACCCTTTTGTCAAGGTTTTTTTTTGAGTTTTATTGATTTTTTTGACTTCTCAAGAAGAAATTCGAAGGGTTTCATCAAGTTTTTCGTGAAAAAAACGGAAAAATTGATGGTTTTTGAGTTTTTCATGTGTATTCGTTTCGGAAAAAAATGACTTTTCTTGTTATTTTTTTAGAGAGATTTTTAGTTTGATTTACTGTTTCTAGGAATGTATTTTTTGGAACCCTTACAATCCTGCAATTATTAATGGTCGGAAAAATTTTGAGTTTTTGAATTTTAACTTTCAAAAAAAAATATTTTTTTGATTTTTCCAGCTTTTTTTCGATTTTTTTCTAGACAATTTTTTTGGTGAATAAAAAAATTTTTGAGTCTTTTTTTCTTTATTCATCCAGTTTTTTTCTTCACAAATGTCGCAAAAAAATGGGTCTTTTTCGAAAAAAATTTTTTTGATTTTTTTCTGTTTTTTTCCATTGATAAAAAGATTGTTAGAGAAATGTCTGTTTTTTTCGAAAAAAAAATTTTTTTCTTAAAGGCATAGAGGCAGTAAAAAACGGTGTTTCAGTTCAAAGCAGTACTTTGTAGAGCTTTTCATTGCGAATCGAACGGTGAACTTGGAAATGTATAGAAGTTCCTAGTTTCGGAGAAAAAATAATTCAAAGTCGGAGAAAGGAAAGTTTGAGTTCCCGCAAAAAGGGCGCTTTGCAGTAAAGTTGCTCTATGGACAACAGGCTTTCCCATCTTCCGGATTTTCGCTTTTTTCTTCGTTTCTTTCGGTTTTTAATTTTTTCTGTTGTCACCAAAGTTCTTTTTGTCACAAAAGCTTTCTATCCATGTATAATTTGCAAACTTTGATCGCAAAAATGCGTTTCTGGTGAAAAACGATGATTTTACACAGGTTTCGATTGGGAAAGCGATTATTTGTGTTTTCTATATTGTTAATATGTGTTTTCTGTTTTCTTAATCAATTTTTCAGAGAAGAAGTCCTTAATTTGAATCAGATATCCGGTTATTTCTCACAAAATGCGAGTCTAATGAGACGTCTGCAACATCGCGTGCACGGCTACTGTAAACATTTGTCTGCATACCGATCCAAAGCTTTTTTCAAAATTAAAGGCGGGAAAGTGAAATTGCGTTTTTCTTCTAGAATTGTCACATCTGTAATTTTTTTGAGTACACCATTCGATTCGCAAAGAAAAACTATATAAGATACTGCTTTCACCTGGAACCCCATTTTTTACTGCCCCTATGCCTTTAAGTTTTCATATTGTCTCACTTTACCATTGACTTTATTCAAAAAATATTGGAAACTATGTATTTTTTTCGAACTTTCTATTGATATTCATTCACAAAATGATAGAAAAATGAACGCCTTTCAGATTTTTTTGAAATTGATTTTTCCCTTTTTCAATATTTTATTGATTTTCTTACAAAAAATCGATAAATCGCGTCCAAATTCAAGGAATCACGGGAATGCCGCGACGTCGTCTTGCAAGCCCTTTTCGCGATTCTGACGCCTTTCCGGGCGTCGACCGGATCCCTGGCGTCGGCTCTGAGCGATTCCGGAACCGGACAGTATGCCGCCGGAGCTGAAGTTTGTTATTTTTCCAGAATTTTGACTTCAATTTTCCAAATTTCTGTCCCTTTTTGGTTGGAGTAACACTTCAGAAGTTGAAAAATGATGATTTTAGCTTGAAAATTACGGCTCCCATCCAATAGAATGAAAAAAGATGGCCGCATTTGGAATGGCTTAATTTAGAAGATCAAAACACTGAAGTTACAAATCGAATGAAACAATCGATAGGCTAGTTGAGGCGGAGAAACGATTTAAATTCAAAATTCAAAGATTTTCCTGGACCTTTTTTTCATAATGGCTCGATGTCACGTTTTTCTAACCATTCTGAGTGCTCCTTATTTTGCGCCCGACCTTGAGCGGCTTTGGTGAAACACGCAACGCTCAGAGCCATTCCGAATGCGGCCACATATTCTCATAATGGCTCAAAGTTAGGCGGTCGCTTAGCATTTTTTATATTTTCCTATGTTTGTTTCTGCGCCCGACCTGAAGCGACTTTGGTGAAAAATGCCATTAAAGCCATTCCAAATGCGGTCACAGATCATGGTTTTTTTTTTGCGTTTTCCTAAGTTTCCCTTGCAAGCTTGATTCTGCGCCCGACCTAAAGCGACTTTCGCATCAAACCCTAGAAAATACGTAACGGTTCAAGATAGCCGTTACGCGACCACAACGCGTATAGCCATTCCAAATGCGGTCACATATGGCTTGGCAAGCTTAATTCTGCGCCCGACTTAAGACGACTTTCGCATTAAACGCTAGAAAAATACGTGACGGTTCAAGATAGCCGTTACGCGACCACAACGCGTATAGCCATTCCAAATGCGGTCACAGATCCACGAATTTTCAGTTCTCCTCCATCTCGATGTACAAGGCGTTGATGGCCTGTCCGGACTACGTCTCTTCGTCGGATTTGGTTTCGACGACTTTTCCGGCCATCCAGAGGATCCCCAGAAAATCGGTGGCCGGCGTCGTTTTCTGTGCCGGCGGCAGAGGTCCTCCAGATTTTTTGAAGATTAAAAAAAATTCAAAAAAATCATTTTTGCATGCAAAATATGTGTTAAAATGAGAAATTCGAAGAAAACTCTTTTAAACTCTCTTCGCAGTTTCACAAAAAGGTTAAAAACCGAAAAATGACATTTTCTGTGATCTCTTGGTTTTCCTTATTCATTGCATCTCGAAACTGTCTGATTTCTCTGCGCTCTCTCATTTTTCTGTGCTTCCTCCTCCTCTAACTTGAGAGGTTTGGAAGAAGAGGGCGCAGAGAGGTCAGACTTTTGAGAAATGGATGACTCTGGCTTTGCAACCGACCAAAAACGGCTTGCGCTTTTTGAAGCAAATCGAATTTTAAGTACAATCGCAGCGTTTTTATGGCACAAAAGTTGGAAATTGAATTCACGCATATTATTGGTTAGAGAGTGTGGTAGACGTGGAGGCAGAAGACATCCGATTTTTGCCGGCTCTGGCTTTGCAACCGACCAAAAACGGCTTGCGCTTTTTGAATATTTGAGCCAATTTTAGTGCGACTGAGGTTTTTCAAGTGGTCATGGAGCCGAAAAATGAATGGAACGCATGTGAAAGGTTAGATAGTGTGCTTAAAGGAGAGACAGCAGACATATCGTCTCCTCTTTTTCAATGCTCTCTAATCGCGTGAAAATAGAAAATGTGAGGCGGCAGACATTTCCTTTTTTCTCTGCACCCTCCACGCTCTCTAATCGATTTAATGGCGTGTCTTTTTCTTCTGTGACAAATTGGCAGAAAGTGAATAAATCAATAAACTTCCTCATCTGAAAAAAAAAATCAATAAAAAGGTTCAGGAACGGCTGGAGACCCGTTCATGACCGTTGAGGCGTATGATTGGCGAAAAAATACCTGGTTCTATATTCCCGATATGACGACGAAAAGAAGACATGTTGGGCTGGTCAGCGCCTTGGGACGATTGTAATCTCGATTTTTTGAATAAAAGGAATTTTTCGTGATTTTAAAGGTACGCGATTGGTGGCCACAGCGGAGTTACACACCTCGATAGCGCTGAGGTTGGTTTGGAACGAAGGGCAAACCCGGGCTCGCCCCCGGGTTGACCCGGTCACAGGCTTGTGCAAGGGGTGTCCCGTCAACTTTTCCGCCCCTGAATATTCTTTAAGCACCGTTTTGAAGGTCTACGTCCAAGAAAGCAGCAAATGGGAAGCGATCGCCTCGATGCAACATCCGCGGCGGGGAATCGCCGTCGCTCCCCTGGAAACGGCGATTTATGCCGTCGGAGGCCTGGACGACAATTCCTGCTTCAAGGTTTCACCTATTCGAAAAAGTCTGATTACTCTGCGCCCTCCCTTATTTACGGGCTGTCTCCTCGTTCCGAGAAATTGGAAAGTCTGACTTCTCTGCGCCCTCTTGAATCCGCCTACTTTTCTTGTTAATTCAAAAAAAAATCGTTTACAGTGCTGTTATGACCGACTAGGCTCATATTTCAAATTGTACTTTGTCAAAGACTGTTTTCTCTGTGCCCTCCCGAAATCAAATGCTGTTTCCTCGTTTCTCTGACTTTAGGAGGAGAAAGTCTTTACAGTTTCAAAAAAAGTTCAAATCTAAAAAAATTTCCTTTGTAATGTTTTCCATGACAGTTGTTTATAGCGAATGTATCTTATCTACCGTAACCTTGAAACTGTCTGATTTCTCTGCGCTCTCTCAAATTCGAGTGCTATTTTCTCGTCACTCTGATTTTGGAACAGGAGAGGAAAGAGAGCGCAGACAGGTCGTCCTGAACGAAAAACTCAAACTTTTTCATTTCTCTGGATCTCTCTAGTTCCTGTGATGTTTTCAAGTTTTGACCCCCGCGCAGACATGTCAGACTGTTGAAATTTATGAAAAAGGAAAAATTAGTCCGATTTTATCGCGCTCTCTCTTTTTGGACGTGCTTTTTTCAAGTTTTATGATCTTAGAGAGAAGAGAGCGCAGACATGTTAGACATTTTCTGTTCATACGAAAAAGTTCAAAATAAGTCTTCAGACCGTCGAACGGTATGACATCGAATTGAACACCTGGAGCAAGGTGGCCGATATGAACCTCCAAAGAGGCGGCGTCGGAGTGGCCGCTTTAGGTAATCAACTACTTACCTGTCCAGGTAACATGATCAAATCCAGGTAAATACCTCTACGCGGTCGGCGGTAATGATGGAACGTCCTCTCTGGACTCCTGTGAACGTTTCGATCCTCTTCTGGACCGGTGGAAATATGTCAAGGCGATGAATAATCGCAGGTAACGTTTTGGGTCGCATTTGGAATGGCTCGATGCTTTTTTACGCCTCCGCGCGCAAGTCGGTTTTGGTCGGGGAGCCAGGGTTTTCTTGTGGATTTTTCAAAAATGCTCAACTTTTTCGAAATCATAAGCATAAACGTTTACGCAGCGTAAATGTGATGGTAAACTTGGAATTTTCTCATGGAATTTTGTGATTTGTAAGTGTTACCATTTATAAATTAGTAGGGTACCTTCTAAAAATCCGTTTACGGCTGCTTGTTTACGTTGCGTAAACGTAAATACGATGACAAACTTGAAATTTTCTTACGGGTATTGGTTTATTGTGACCTGGACGTGTTATACTATCAGAATAAGTAAAAAAAAATCCGTTTACGCTTGCCTATTTACGCTCCGTAAGCGTTCAAGATGGTTTCTAATTTCGATTACCCCGTTTTTCGATATTCCAATAAGTTTCATGGGTTTTTGTGACTTTCTGGAAGAATTTACTCAAAAAAATGTATTTTTCGTTTCGAGATTGTAAACATGAACGTTTACGCAGCGTAAAAAGGATGGTAAACTTGAAATTTTCTCATGGAATTTTGTGATTTGGAAGTGTTACTTTTGAAAAGTTGATAGGCTCTGAAAATCCATTTACGGTTGCCTATTTACGCTCCGTAAACGTAAATCTGATAGTAAACTCGAAATTTTCTCACGGGTACTGGTTTATTGTGGCCTGGACATGTTATTATTCCAAAATGAATAGGTTCACATCTCAAGAATCCGTTTACGCATGCCTATTTACGCTGCGTAAATGTGCTCGTAAACTTAAAAATTTAATACGGATACGGAAGTCGTGAGACCTAGAAGTATTGTCACGTCAGAATTAATAATTTTACTTCTGAAAATCCATTTACGGTAGCTTATTTACGCTGCATAAATTTGCTCGTAAACTCAAAAATTTCCTACGGATACGGAAAACTTGAAACCTGGACATGTTATCTGAAAAAATTGATAGGTTCACATCTCAAGATTCCGTTTACGCATGCCTATTCACGCTTCGTAAATGTGCTCGTAAACTTGAAATTTTCCTACGGATACGGGAATCATGCGACCTAGAAGTATTATCACGTTAAAATGAATAGTTTTACTTCTGAAAATCCATTTACGGTAGCTTATTTACGCTGCATAAATGTGCTCGTAAACTTGAAATTATCTTACAGATCCTGGATTTGTGAGTTTGAAGTTATTTTCTGCCAAAATAAATAGGTACTCTTCCGAAATTTTGTTTACGCCCTCGCATTTACGCTCCGTAAACGTTGAAGATTGAAGAAAGGAAGAATAATGTTCAGAGCCGGCGCCGGCGTCTGCGTCCTCGACGGCTGCGTTTACGCGATCGGCGGCTTCGACGACAACGCGCCGTTAGCGACGTGCGAACGTTACGATCCCGCGGCGGACGTCTGGACCGCCATCGCGAGCATGAAGAGCGCCCGCGGAGGCGTCGGCGTCGCCTCGATGGGCGGTCGCGTCTACGCGATCGGCGGCCACAACGGCACGCGATACCTGAACACGGTGGAGAGCTACGACCCGGCGACAGATACGTGGTCGCTCGTCGCCAACATCAAGGAGTGTCGCGCCGGGGCTGGCGTCGCCTGGGCCGATTGCAGGTGAGAATGACGGTCTGACTCGTCTGCGCTCTCTTCTCTCTCGCCTAGGGACATAACGTAAGAGAGCGCAGAGAAGTCAGACGCTTTCGATGCGTCATTCGCAACAGTATGACTTGTCTGCGTTCTCTTCTCTCTCGCCTAAGGTCATGCTTCGAGAGAGCGCAGAAAAGTCAGACGTTTTCGATGCGTCATTCGCAACAGTATGACTTGTCTGCGTTCTCTTCTCTCTCGCCTAAGGTCATGCTTCGAGAGAGCGCAGAGAAGTCAGACGTTTTTGATACGTCATTCGCAACAGTATGACTTGTCTGCGCCCTCTTCTCTCTCGCATAAGGTCATAACACAATAAAGATAATCTGTGTCTGCGTCTCTCTGTTCTCTCGCCGAAAAGGTCAGAGAAACGTGAAAAAAGCACGTCAACAAGAGAGAGTCAACGAGAGACAAGGAGGGCGCAGAGAATCGATCTCAATTCGCCAAAACAGACAGGAGAGAGCGCAGAGAAGTCAGACGCTTTTATAACGTCATTCGCAACAGTCTGACTTGTCTACTAGACTGTTGCGAATGACGTAATGAAAGCGTCTGACTTGTCTGCGCTCTGTTTTCTCTCGCCTGAGGATACCCCATAATAAAATAGCAAGGAAACAAGAGAGAGTGCAGAGAAGTCAGACGTTTTTATTACGTCATTCGAAACGTTCTGACCCGTCTGCCTTCTCTTTTCTCTCGCTTAAGGATACCCCGTAGCACGTCAACAAGAGAGAGCGCAGAAAAGTTAGAGGCACCAAAATATTCTGCTTCTCTGCTACCTCTCCTTTTTACAAGTTCTCTAGCTCTATAAGCCATTTTTCGAGTTCTGACCATTTTTGGACCAAAATCCTCAATTTTATGGAAATTCAATCGATAAAAATCATCTTCAGGGTCGATCAATTAACAATGTGTACCGTACAAGACAGCGGCTGTGCGCCAACTACCGGAACTCCATGCGTTTGAAAATCGATATTTTCAATTGTAAATTTTTCTTTTCTCTCTCTGTACTCTCTATTTTTAAACCCTCTCTGTTCAATATTTTCCCCCCTAACCTCTCTCGAATCTCAATGATGACTCACTTCACTCTCTCAAGAGAGCATAGTCACTCGTTTAGACCTGATTTTTTTCATTGCCGGTATTTTTCGAATCGTCGATTTTTTTGCATTTTTTTAATTTTTTTATTATAAAGATTTTTGTGAATCTACACGGATTTATAAGGCAATGTCGTTGGCTTGAAATAATGGAAAATCGATAAAATTATGACTTAAAAAAAATATTTTCAAGTTTCCTAACTATACAACTTCACAAGAAAATCTACAAATATACACGAAAAATTCAAAAAAAATACAAAAAGGCCTTTTTTTCAAGGCTTTCTCGCTCCATTGATAAAATATTGCTCATGTTAGAGTTTGAATCGATTGACAGCCTCCTCAGTGATCATTTGAGCAATGGCGAGACTGCTTGTAGCCGCGGGTGATGGAGCATTCCTCACGTGAAGGATTCTTGGCGCCAACTGGAAAATTTCGAATTTTTCAAATTATCGATCGATGACGTCACTCTGACCTTTCCAGTTCCGCTGTCGAAAACGAAGTCGTCGACCAATTGACCTTGGGAGTCCATGGCTTGGGCTCGGACCCCAGAGGGACCTCTTGAAATGGAAAATCTCACAAAAATAGCTTGAAAAACTTTTGTTCCCTTAAGTGGTCACTCGAGGGTTTCTTCAACTCGTTACATATGTAAAACACCCTGAAGTGGTCCCTCAATCTCATTTTGGGCGAAAAACACTTGAGTGGCCTCTGTGAAATCATTACACTTCCCCTCAAGCTTTTCCTTACTGATCAGTAGAGTATTATGACAGGTGGCCTCTAGAGTGGTCACTTGAGGGATGAGTTCCACTTGTTAAAGATGAAGGAAACCCTGAAGTGGTCAATCTCCGAAAAAAAAACTCTTGGTCTCTTGGAAATCAGCTTTGATATCGTTACTCGGCCCCTCAAGCAGTCACTTACTGACCAGTACAGTATTATGAATGTGGTCACTTGAGGGAAGACTTAAACTAGTTATTTATGAAAAAACCCTGGAGTGGTCACTTCGACAACGCTAAACTCTTAAATCCCTTAAAAATCAACTATATTCGGCCCCTTAAGTTTTCCCTTACTGACCAGTAAAATATTATGAAGTTAGGCCCCTGGTCACTTGAGGAATGACTTCAACTTGTTAATTACGAACGAAAACTCTGAAGTGGTCCCTAAATCTTATTTTGGGCGAAAAACACTTGAGTGGCCTCTTGAAAATCAGCTTCGCTAGCAATACTCGGGCCACTGACAAGATTCAAAATCGCCGTCAGAGAAAGAAAAAGATAACTAAATTTTGGAGGGTCAGAGAAAATTTCACGGAAATAACTTTGGACACGGCATTAGTAGCACTACTTCCGATCGATAAAAATTAAAATAAAATGTATTTATCTACCTTCCGAAACGGCAAAGTCATGGAACATTTCAAATTTTCAAGTCATGGGTCAAAAATGTCGATTTTTTTTTTATCCTACTAAAGATCTTTGGATAGCTACTGGGTAAATTTCTAGTGGACACTTAAGAGGCAGGTCAAGGACACTAAAGTGGCCACTAAAAGGCTGACTTCAACTAGTTACAGAAGCCACTACCTCTTCCTTAGTGGCTCGACCCAAAAAAAAAAAATTAAAAACCCTAAAGTGGCGCCTAAACATTTTCAAAGTCTTGGCGTTCAAGTGGTCACTATAGTAGTAGGATAAGTGGCCACTTAAGCAGTTATAATGTAAGCCCGAAAAAGCCGTTTTTATATCAAAACCGGCAAAGTCACGATCGATTTTTTAAGTTTTAAGGGACAAAAAAGTCAATTTTTTTCGGTTTTCCCTATCCCAAGCCCCTAAAAAGGCCCAACCTCGTAACGTCGGAGAGTTTGAGCTCAGGGATGAACCTTTGGAGCTGTTTGACCTGGGCGTTGATCCAGACGCCGCGATAAAGTTCATTCATCCCGAACGTAAAGTATTTACCCATCAACTTTCTCATACCACTGAAAAAAATCCTTAAGACTGATTTTTTTCAAGTTTTTAGAGGTCAACAATGACCATTTTTTTCGATTTTTTTATAATTTTTAAGCCCAAAAACGTATTTTTACACTATGAAAAAAACGGAAAAAAATCAAGAATTCAGATTGATTTTTTTCAACTTTAAGGGATCAAAAAAACGCGATTTTTTTATCGATTTTTTTATGATCTTAACCTAAAAAAAAGCGTATTTTTACATGATGAAAAAAACGAAAAAAATATGAATTTAGATTGATTTTTTTCAAGTTTTTAGTGATCAAAAAAACGACCATTTTTCCCTATCCAAAACTAAAAAGGTATTTTTCCACCAGCAACAAGAAAAAAAGTCATTAAATACGGCTCAGATTTCAATTTTTTTCAAGTCCTAGAGATAAAAAAATCGATTTTTTTCGTGTAAAACAAGCTTTTTTTCAAACTCCTGAGAGGCTTTCTTCTGAAAAAAATTCCAAAAAAATTCCAGATTTTTTTATGAATATTCTTTTTGAATTTGACTATCTGACCGTGAAAAAAATTTTTAATTTTAGTCTTTTTTTCCACAGTTTGGAACAAAAAAATGGCCAAAAAAATCCGTGTTCAAAACTTGATTTTTTTGACTTTTCCAGCGATTCTTAACTAGAAAAAAAGTCAAGTACTTCATTCAGAAAATCTGTATTTTCCAGAAAAGATCAGTAAAATTCGATCAGAACCCAAACTGAGCTTTAAAAAATTCAATTTCAGCCAGTTTCGAAACGAAAAAAGGCGAAAATTCGCAAGAAATATCATTTTTTGACCAAAAACAAGCTTTCTCAACATATTTTTGATATACCTAAAGCCATTTGGAAACTTTTTGAAACGGGAAATGATAAAAATTCAGAAAATCCTCTTTTTTTCGACTTTCGGTAGATTTTTTACAATGTATCCCAAGCCATTTGGAACGTTTTAAAACGAAAAATGACATACTTTCCAAAAATTCTCTTTTCTTTGTTCTCCAATAGTTTTTTACAATGTATCCGAAGCTATTTCGGGTCGAAAATCCCGAAAAATCATGTTTTTCTGACTTTCTAAGCATTTTTACACCTTAAAACACCTGAAATTAGGAACAAAATTCCATAGAAACTCTAAAAAAAACCCACGAATAGCTGAGCGATTCGAAAAGATCTTTGGGCGACACATCAAAATAGGAATATCCCTCTCTTTTGTAGGCCAGAACGGCGTTTGGCCCAAGCCAAATGTCCCCATTCATTCGGGGCGTGAAATGGACGCCCAGAAACGGGAACCGAGGGTCCGGTACCTCAAAAATCTCTTTTTTTTTGAACTGAACTCAGTTTTAGGGATCCCAGAGTGGTCCCTAAAGGGGATAGGGGGGAAAAAGCTCTATAGAAGCCGAAGAAGTGATCCCTATAGGGGTTTGGGGGTCTGACTCCTCAGTCCCTAAAGCTCAAGTGGACCCTATAGGGGTCTCATTTTATTCAAAAACGCTTATTTATTTCATTTTTTCCCATGGAAACGCTTCTTCATATCTATTCTCGACTAATATGTCCCCTAGAGGGTCCACTAACTAGAAACCCTATAGGGACCGCTTTTTCAAGCTTAAGTGGTCCCTATAGGGGGTGGCAAAGCCCTTATAGGCACCACTCTGAAGTTTCTGAGGTGGGCGTGGCTAAATGCAATGGCGGCGCGGCTTTATTGCAATCTGGGCGCGACCGATTCAAGTGGATTTACTGGATGGAAAAATGGGGTTAAATAATGTTTTTCAAGGCTTTTTTAAATTTTTAAAATTATCAAACGCAGAATGAACCTATCAAAAAGGGGATATGAATGGAATCTCTTCTGGAAAACGATTTATTGCAGGAAATTTTGAAAGCCCGTGATAATATTTCGCTGACCGATAAATTTAACGACAATTTCTTTTTTGACTTTAATAAGAAGATGGATTGAAACGTACAACTATTTGTTCCTTATAAGCTCCAATTAATGAAAAAATTTTACTGTTAAAATTCGCTCAAAATCCTTCAAAATGGTTCCAAAATACAAGAAAATGTCTCTTGATTCATACAAAAATTCCAATTTTTGTTCAGAATCGAGTTCAAAAAACCCCCCTTTTTCCCCATTTTATAGTTCTATTACTACCAATTTTAAATCCGAAAAAAAAAATCTCAAACCGGATAAATATTGGTATGGACCAAGTATCTCTTATCGGGCTTCAGAAGGAGATATTCGCCCCGGAAAGGGACAATTTTCGGGTCCGGAGACCCGCCGGACAAGCCCGCCACACGGTCCGATTGCAGTCCGGCGCACGTTATCAGGTTTTTCGTCTCGAATTCGGCCTGAAATTGCAAATTTGGGCCATTTCGGAAGGCTTCGAAATCAAAATGGGCTGATCAGATTTTGAATCTCAAGTATACTCCTTTTTTCTCTGCACCCTCTCATTTTTAAGTTTCTCTGACCTCGCCGGTGAGAGATCAGAGACGCAGACTGGCAGACAGTTCTAAGAAAATGACGTCATTGCTCTCTGGATGGCTCGCTCTGTGATTGGTTTATCGCGTCATTAGGGGCGGAGCTTCAGCCATGACATTATTGGGGAAATTTTTAGTGGTCACTTTAGGGTTCTTAAGTTCTAGTGGCCACTGTAGTAGTCGGATTAGTGGTCACTTAAGTGGCTGAACTTTGATCTCCGATTTTTCAAGTTTTAGAGGTTAAGAGTGCCGATTTTGACATTTTAGTGGCCGCTTTAGGGTTTTGAAGTTCCAGTGGCCACTATAGCAGTCGAATGAGTGGTCACTTAAGTGGCTGAACATTAGGGGCCTCTCTGGAAGCCTAAATGGTACGACTAGAACACTAAAAACTACTATAGTGACCACTAAGACGCAGGCTTCTGTACAGGCGGTTTTAGTGGTCACTTTAGTGTCCTCTTCAATTATTTCTTGAGAAACCACTTGAGTGTTCTTTAGAGACAGACAGAGAGTTTCAAGTCGTGGCCTAAATGACGTCATTACTCTGTGGATGGCTCGCTCTCTGATTGGTTTATCGAGCCATTAGGGAGCGGAGCTTGAGCCTTGACTTCTCTGGGGAAATTTTCAGTGGTCACTTTAGGGTTTTGACTTTCTAGTGGTCATTATGGTATTGGAAGCAGTCAGATTAGTGGCCACTTAAGTGGCTAACTTTGATTTCAGAATTTTCGAATTAAAATATTCCCTATCCTACTGGAGAAGTGGCCACTTTAGGGTTTTTAAGTTCTAGTGGCCACTATTGTAGTCGAAAGAGTGGTCACTCAAGTGGCTAAATGGTACGACTAGAACACAAAAAATTACTATAGTGACCACTAAAACGCAGGCTTCTGTAGAGGCGGTTTTAGTGGTCACTTTAGTGTTCTCTTCAATTATTTCTTGAGAAACCACTTAAGTGTTCTTTAGAGACAGGCAGACAGTTTCAAGGCGAAAATGACGTCATTCGGAAAGGCTTTGTGGATGGCTCGCTCTCTGATTGGTTTATCAAGGCATGAGGGGCGGAGCTTGAGCCATCACTTCTCTGTGGCAATTTTTAGTGACCTCTTTAGGGTTTTGAAGTTCCAGTGGCCACTATAGCAGTCGAATGAATGGTCACTTAAGTGGCTGAACATTAAGGGCCTCTCTAGAAGCCTAAATGGTACTACTAGAACACTAAAAACTACTATAGTGACCACTAAGGGTTCGTAGAGGCGGTTTTAGTGGTCACTTCAGTGTCCTTGAGGAACCTCTTAAGTGGCCACTAACAATTTTCCCAATGATATTCAAAACCTGACCAGCCTATAAACCTACATTGGCAGCTCCAGTGAGCACCCGGATAGGATAAGTTGAATCACTACCGTCTTTGATTCCGGTCAGGGGACATCTTACGAAGATCTGAAACAGTAATAGTGGGATTTTTAGCAAAAATTTCAGAAATAAACAATTTTTCATTAAAAAAATGGACCTAAACTCGAAAAATCTCCATTTTACGGTAGGAAAATCAAATTTTAACTGTCTGCGCCTTTAATGGCAGACAAAACCACAAATTTCACTTTCATATCATCGGAAAAAGACCGAAAATGAGTGATTTCAAAGCTTTCAGTGAAGTTAAAGTTTAATTTTTGACAAAAGAAAGAGATTTTTTTCAAGAAAAAAATTGTGAAAAAAATGAGATTTTCCCGTAAAATTTTTGAACAGAAAAACTATTATTTTGAGTCAAAAAAATCCATAAATGTTTCAAAATAATTGAATTAGACTCTATGCGCCTTTAATAAGAACCTCAAACCTTTCCGCCCCTTTTTTCAAAATCCTTCCCAAATCTTTTCGTAACATATCCCCAATCGACTATTCCTGTATGTGGCGACCAAATCGCTCGTTGTCCCTTTAAAAATTTCTTGAAAATATTTTTATTTTTAAAGGCGCATACCACACAATATGGCTCAACGGCGCGAATCTCCTCGGGACCAATTAATTTGATGTCACGGACACCGTTGAGTTTTGCCCGTTCAAAAAGAGCCTAAAAATATTTTTTCCATTGAAAATTTTAACGAAAACCTCAAGCCGCTCGACTTCTAATTTATCCCTGGCCACAATTAATTTCCCAGTCTTTTTATAGGGCACCTTGTACTCGTCGAAAAACTTGTAGGCAAGATCCAATCCTAAAAAAAACACACAGGATCAACAAAAGATACAGTATTATCACCTGCAACGCATAATTTCGCTTTAAGAGATCCGGGAGTATAATAAATTCCGGCGTGGATCACACCACTATTGCGGCCACTCTGGTGGAAAGCTATAAACTTGAAAATAATCAATTTTCTTCTTGAAATGATACCCAAATCCGATTCTTTTTCGATTAAAGCGATTTGAAGATTCGGTTTTGCGATTAATAATTGTCTTGCCGTTGCGCAACCGACAATTCCGCCCCCAACGATCACTAAATCGTATTTTGGAAGCTTTCTGAAGTTTATTTTTTTTTTTTTCTCAAAAAGAGAGGAAACTACGTTGATTTCGGCGGTGGACCCGAAATACACCGCACGGCTTGAAAGCCCCAAAAACGTGTACTTGAATGGGCTAGCATCTGAAAAATAATACAAATATTGAACTAAATGACCTGAAAAATGTGAGGAAAAAACGACAAACAAGGGATGCCTACGTGATTTTCACGATGATAGGATGGAAAACCGGTTCTTAGGGCGCTTTATTGCGTTCTTAACAACAAAAAAGACATCTTCAAAAGCGTGAAGATATCTTAATCAAACATGAACCTTATTTAACATCTCAAAAAGAAAAAGTTTTTTTAAAAGCTTTGAAGAAAGTAACAGCGCACTTTTTCGAATTCATTCAAATTTTTCTATTTCACTCCTTCTTCGAAGCCTTCAAAAAACACAAATACCTTCTCAAGGACGCTCTAAAGCTTCAAAAAGCAATAAAATTGAAAAAAATAAACAAAAAAATAAACAAAAAAATATTTTTTTGTAAAAAGTGTGCTCAGCCGCCAAATACGCAGGCACAGCCGCCCATTTTTCCCACAAACTATCGATTTTTTTCTGCCAGATCGCGAAAAGTTTCAATTTTTCCAGTTGATTTTTTTCAAGTTTAAAGTGTTATTTTTTTATCTTTAATCTTCATTATAATGATAACGATCTGTAATAAGCCTTTCTGACGTGTTAGTTTTATGATTTTGCATTTTAATTTTTTTGAAAAGAAAATATTTTTTTAAAGACCGCGCTTTCAGAAATCAGTTGAAGGAGCTTTGAAATGGGGCTATGCAAGTGTCCAAAGAAGAAAGTGACGAATTTGTTCTGTTTCGAGCACCGGGTCAACGTATGCGAGTACTGCCTCGTTGACAATCATTCAAATGTTGGTTTTCTCGAAAAAATGTTCGTAGTTTATGGATTCAGTGTGTGGTTCAAAGTTATTTGCAATGGCTGACCGATTCGGATTACGATCCAAATTGTGCGCTTTGCCAACATCCGTTAACCGACGGGGAAACGATACGACTTCAGTGTCTACGTTAGTTTGGCAGTTTTTGTTCGAATTTTCATGTTTTTTGAAGATTTTTTCATGATTTTCACTATTTTTGAGATTTTTTCAACTTTAAAAAGTTTATTTCAGACGTTATCCACTGGAAATGTTTCGATGACTGGGCCAGCCATTTTCCGGCCACCACAGCTCCCGCCGGTTATCGTTGCCCGTGTTGCGAGTAATTTTTCGTTCAAATTTCACAAAATTCATGATTTTTATTGCAGAGAGGCTGTTTTTCCGGATTTGAACCATGTTTCTCCATTAATTGAGAAACTTCGAGAACAATTAAAACAGTCAAATTGGGCCCGGGCCGCTTTGGGACTTCCTGTGGTAAGTTTTGATGGATTTTTGGTTTTGAGAAGGTTTTGAATGTATAAAATTGTCTTTTAAAGCTGAGATGGAACTTTATTTTCGAAAAGAAAGCTTGGAAAAGGTGAATTTTTAAATTTTGAGTTCTTTTTTTTCATGTTTTACGCCCAAATTTTTGTTTTTTTTTTTGACTTCGCCCAGGTTTTTGTGGTTTATTATACATTTTTTAGCGTTAAATTTCACAGTAAAATCAATTTTATACATTAAAAACGCCTAAAATTCGAATTTTCCAGCTTCCCGAGCTGAACCGCGCCCAAAATCAGCCGAAACACAACCCGCCCTCCTTCCAACATCGCCAAATTCAACAGCAAGACGTTCAGCAAACCCAAAGTTCAATTCAACAAAATAATTTCGAAACCCCAACTCATCAGCCACCGCCGCCACATAATCCTAGTTATCGGTGAATTTTTACCAGGTTTTTTTTTCTTACGGTCGATTTTTCAAAGATTTTTGTTGATTTAGAAGTTTGAAAATATTGATTTAACTCCAAGTTTTCATGCAAAAAATTTTTTTTTTAAATTTTTCAGCTAACCAAAAATAGATTATTAGCGGTTGCAGGAGCACTAGGAAATATTTTGAAAATTGAATAAACTTATTTCGAAACTGTAATATAATAAAAAAAGAACCAGGAAACCCCGCGCTTGCCCGCTCTAAGCCTGAGAATCTTGTTCTTATAGTTTTTTGCATTTCAGTCAATTTTAACATTTTATTATAGCCCATTCCCCACCTTTTCACGGTTTTTGCCTCCCCCCAAGCTACAAAACCCTACCAAGAAGCTTCCCTTCGAAACGCGCGGCCTGTCTCTGTGTATGCGCCTTTAATTAGGCTCAGATATTGTGTCATATTAAAGGCGCATACGAAAGGACAGACCAAAAGCTTCACTTTAATGTCTGTCTCTGTCCATGCGCCTTTAATTTGGCCGAAAATTTCCGTTTTATTAAAGGCGCATGCTCAGAGACAAGCTTTTGGGCTGTCCTTTCGTATGCGCCTTTAATTAGACTTAGATAATGTGTCATATTAAAGGCGCATACAAAAGGACAGACCAAAAGCTTCACTTTAATGTCTGTCTCTGTCCATGCGCCTTTAATTTGGCCGAAAATTTCCGTTTTATTAGAGGCGCATGCTCAGAGACAAGCTTTTGGACCCGCCTTATGCATGCGCCTTTAATAAGACACAGACTTTGAGGCAAATTGAAGGCGCAGATACACATGCCGCTAGTATCTAAGGGATATATTGGTCATCGAATTTCGTTTACATTAAAGGCGCATACGCAGAGATAAGCAGCGCGCATCGAGGGGAAGATTCCCGGAAGGGTTCCGTAGCTTGTGGAGAGATAAAAATGTGACAAATTGACTTGGAATGAGCTCTAAAATATAAATTTTCAAGTTAATTAGAAATTTCAGCGCCTCAACCCCAGCAACTCACCTGGATATTGATGACGTTGGATATTCGGCCTCGAATGGTGACGTCACTTTTGGTGGGTTTTCAGGATTTGTACGAAATTTTTCAGAATAGAAAATGGTTTTTCATGATTTTTTTTGTTTAGATGGGAGTATTATAAGGAAGGTCATTTTACTTTCGGTTAGAAATTTCTTGAAAATTGGCCAGAATATTCCTTGATGTATCAGAAGAAGATCCTAAAAGTCCCAAACTGCAAAAACTCCTCTTTTCGAGAAATGAGGGCTCAAAATGGCCCATTTTAACGGTTTTCTTCGACTTTTAGGTGTCTTTTCTCTCAAAAAATAGGCATTTTTGCAGATTTTGAGCTTTTCTGGTGCTACCAAGAAGAATATAGCGAATTTTCCGAGAATTTTTCAATTGAAATGACTTTTTTTCGGAGGTTCATTCGTTAGCAGAAGCTTGTCACGTTTTTTTCACGCCTAAAAATGGTTTAATTCTAGAGGAAAGGTCTCGAAGCGAAAATAAGTACGGTGTACTGTAGTTTTTCTAAAAATTTTGGCAATGAGACTGACGCTAGCTACTTTGTATCATTAGCATAATTATACCTCCGGATTTCTAGGAAAAACTGTAGTGGCCACTTAAAAGGTCCCTCAAGGGCAACTTGGAGAGGACCCTGAAGTGGCCACTATTTCGCATTTTAGTGGCCACTATAGTAGTTTCATTGGTCTAGTTGTACCGCTTATAGTTCTAAAAAGGTTACTTAAGTTTAACCGCTCAAGTGGCCACTAAATGGACTACTATATTGGCCACTGGAACCTGAAAACCCTGAATCCCTAAAAAGACTAAACTTGAAAACCTTAAAGTGGCCACTAAAACAGCCTCTTTAGAAGCCACTATTTTGCGTTTCAGTGGCCACTTAAGCAGTTTTATTGGTCTGGTAGTACTACTTAGACTTTTAAAAAGGTTACTAAAATTCAGACGCTTAAGTGGCCACTAAAAGGACTACTATAGTGGCCACTGGAACCTGAAAACCCTAAAGTGGCCACTAAAACCTTTTCTGTCAATTGATTTTACACTAAAAATCCATTTTTCTCCAGCCCGGAAGAAGAACTATGGCGGAGAAATGGACCAAAGGCCACTTTTGACGTCTTCCGGGGCTCCTAACGACCGGGACGTCGACCACAAGTACAAGAGACGGCCTCCGACCGAATGGCTGCGCGGCATTTGGAGGTTGGAATCGAGTTCTTTTTTTTTTTTGAAAATGCTGTAGTTTGAAAGAAATAAGTTAATTTGCCTTATTGAACCGCTTGTTATCAAATCTGTGTACTTGCTTAAGAATTTCAGAGTGATCCCTATAGGGGCCCTTGAATCTTCCCCTTTTGTGACCACTTTATCTCCACTTATAGCGGCATTAAAACTTGCAGAAGTGACCACTTTAGGGGAGTATTAACTTATAAATGAAAAAAATTAAAAATCCCCTGAAAGAAGCACTCAAGTTTTAATGGCTCAGTCGTCAGACTCTAAATTCCTATAGGGACCACTTAAATTTTAGCCCACGAGGGGCCAGTTTTCTAACCCTTTAGGGATCACTCTGACGTCATTTTTCGCGTTTTTTCTTCTTTTTTTTTTAAATATTTGTAGTTAACTTCGTCTGAACGATTTTTCCACAAGATTTTTTTGAAGATTTGAACTTTTAAATAGCTTTTTAGACCAATTTTTCAACGGCTTGCATCATTTCTTTGCCTATTTTTTTCAAGATTCATATGTATATAAATTTCGGATTGGAAGTTTTTGAAGCGTATTTTTAGATTGATTGTTAAGAAAAAATCGAAATTTCCTGTCAATTTAATCGAAAAAAAAATTTTTTATCATTTTTTCCCGTTACTGCAAGAAATTAAAACTTCACAAAATCAGTTTGAAATAATAAATCTTGACTTGCGTTGTGGAAAAAAATATTATTCAAATTGAAACTGACGAAAAATTAGTTTATAGGGATTTTTACAGTTCAAAGAGTATCTCTCAACGTTTTCAGGGCCAAATACGGGACTTCGGTGCCCTCGGACCGATTATCGGGCTGCAAAAAGGTCGTTTTCCTGATTTTCATGGTCGCTTTGATATTAATTACGGTTGGTTTTTTTATTCCTGAATTTCGGAATTTTAGACGATTTTTGAACAGAAAAAGCTTTGCGATCCCTTGAAATTCGTGTATTTTTTTTGATTTTCTGGCCTTTTTGATAAGAAAATTCATCGATTTTTCGGTTTTTTACTCGATTTTCCTATTAAAAATGGTTTGAAAAGGTTTTTTACGGAAAATTTTCATTGTAAATGCTTTAAAATTTTGATAATTTCCAGTTTTTTTATTTTTTTAAAGATGATGTACTTGAATTTTGGCGGATTTTCCCAAAAATTGGCGTTTTTTCATTCTTTATGGGATTTTACAGGAAGGAGACGTGAAAATTTCAGTTTTCAGGGCTAAATTTTACCTTTTTTGGTTATTTTTGAGGTTCAGAGTAGAGATTTTGAGGTTTAGCTTTGTTAAAAAAATGTATTTTTAATGAAGGTTAAATTTGATTTTTCTTCGATTTTTTTCCTTATTTTTCTTTGGGAAAAAGGTAGTTTTTTGTGAGTTTTTTTCAATCTTTTTTTCCTAAAGATTCGAAATTTTTCTAACTTTTTCATCGAAAATTCAACCTTTTTTTGCGAATTCTATTGATGCTGTCTCGGTGGATTTTATCAAAAAAATTAGCATTTTGAAGGATTTTTTTCTAGATTTTTTTGTGGAAATTTCATGTTTTTTTCTTGCTAAATCTTGCCTTTTTTTGGTCAAATTTGAGATTTGAAGTAGTAAATTTAAATTTAAGGGGGTTTTAAACGAAATTGAATCGAAATAATCTTCAATTCCTTCAAAATTCGACCATTTTTTGTGGAAAAGACCCTAAAATTTCAACGTTTAGTACGAAATTTCGCCTTTTTTGGTCAAATTTCATTTTTGAAATGGTAAATTTTGATTTTTAGTGGTTTTTAAACGAAACTAAGTCAATATAAAGTCAACTTTTCCCCTAAAATGGTCTATTTTTACAGGTGGTAACGGTTTTGTCGCGTTGGGGCGTGGGTCCCAGCGAAAATGACCCATTATTGGACCCCATGGCCAATCCCAACATCCGAGTCGCCGTCGAAGAAACCAATTTCTAATTAATTAAGTTAAATTCCGAAGAAATGATGAATTTCCTGTCATTCCCCTCATTTTTCGCTTGTTTCTACGCATATTTTCACTCGATTCATCGCTAATTTTCATTTAAATGGGTCCTGGAACGATTGACGAGATAGTATGTGAAAATGAGAGGTTTCTAGAGAAAATTAGCGATTTTTGGCTTGTTTCTGCGCAAATTTCACTCAAAAAAAGCTGATTTTCGAAAAAAAGGGTCTTGCAACGATTGACGAGATAGTGTGTGAAAATGAGAGGTTTCTAGAGAAAATTAGCGATTTTTGGCTTGTTTCTGCGCAAATTTCACTCAAAAAATTGCAAATTTTCAAAAAAAGAGGATTCGGGAACGATTGACGAGATAGTGTGAGGAAATGAGAGGTTTCTAGGGAAAATTAGCAATTTTTGGCTTGTTCCTGCGCATTTTTCACTCGATTTATCGCTAATTTTTATTTAAATGGGTCCTGCAACGATTGACGAGATAGTGTGGGAAAATGAGAGGTTTCTAGAGAAAATTAGCGACGAATCGAGTATTTTCCTGCTTGGCGAGGTTGTATTGAGCTGATTTTTTTCAAAAAAAAATATTTCTATCAAAAATTTTTCCGATTTTCGTTTCTCTGTGTAATTTTGTACTCACGGACGGGCTTTTTTTCTTCATTTTTTTCTTTTAAATCCTTTTTTTACCTAACAACTGTGATAGAAACTAGTTAACCATGTGTCAAAATGTGTATTATATCGATTTTTATGGACGGTTTTTTTGTTTTTCTTGTACTGTGGAGAAAAGATATTTATTTATTGGGTTATATCGATTTTTTTGTGGCTTTTTTTGTATCTGGTTGATCTTTGGCCAGGAAATGTATTTCATTTATTTTTTTCACGATTTTGTTTCAGGTATTTTTTTGACAGATTTTTTTACTTAGAAAGTGGTTATTTTTTTGAATTTGTATCAGGTTCAAATTTGGCTTATTAAAAAAATGAATTTTTGGCGTATTTTTTTAAAAGTTTTAATAGTAGTTTTTTTGGTGAATTTTTAAATGCAATTGATTAAATATTTCCGTTTTTTTGATTGAAAACAACTCGATTTTTTTGTTTTCCAATTCGATTTTTTTGCACAAAAAAAGCTTTTCGAAATCGTCAAAAAAATTACTTTTTTTCTAACATTTTTGAACCTTTCAAATTTTTCTCTTTACTCTTTTTTTCAAGCGAATTCAACTTCAAATTTTTTCAAAAAGTGGAAATTTTTCTGAATTTTTTTGTGAAGAACGTTATTTTTAAATAGAATAAGAACTTAGCTCTAAAAATTAATATTTATATGAAAAAAATTGAATTTTTTTCGAATATTTTTCACTTCAACAAGCGTTTTTTTAGTATTTATATATATAGCCCATTCCGCGTCAGTTTATTCCGTGTTGAAAATAATTTCGACGATTTTGAAATGATTCGGATTAAATAGGCAAAATTGACATTCCGAGAGCTCTTGAAAAAAAAACGGGTCCCACAACGATTAATCGAAATATATAAACTTTTCACGGTAATTTTACGCGCGAGTTTCAAATTTTTGTTAAGAATGCCTTAATTTCAAAATTTGGAGTCTCGCGCGAAAAAATTCCAGTTTCGCGTATCATTCTGAACGAAAAACGCGTCAATTTTGAAATCGCAATATTTTCCTCCAAAAATACAGAAAAAAAAGCTTTGAAATAGGCGGCCTGTTTCTTTACATGCGCCTTTAATATGACGGAAATTTTGAGGCTAAATTAAAGGCGCATACCCAGAAAAAGCCACGAGCATCGTAGGGAAAATTTGGGCTTCAAATTATCCTTACATTAAAGGCGCATGCACAGAGACAGGCATTGGAGGGAAGCTTTTGTGTATGCGCCTTTAATATGACAGAGCCTAATTAAAGGCGCATGCACAGAGACAGGCCACGCGTTTCGAAAGGAAGCTTCCCGGGAGGGTTCTGTAGCCCTGAGGAAGATTAAAACGTGACAAGCTGGCCCGAAATGGGCTATAAAAACTTTAAAAACGCGGTTCTGGGATTTAAAGTATACATTCTAATCTTTCCAGGGTTCAAAGAAGAATAAGAACCGGAAAGAATGCACAGAGTAGGTGGACAAGTGGCGAGGGCCGCCGCAAGGGCCACGCAGCAGCAACGCACGATGGCCGCAGCCGCCCCGGCGGCTCCCAAAAAAGTCGAAGTGTTCATCGACGGCAAGAAGCTGCTCTGCGACCCCGGAATGACCATTTTGCAAGTAATTTTCCGAGGAAAAAGCCAAAAATCGAGATTTATTCAAGGCCTGTTTATTGGTCGGCGTGGAAATCCCCCGATTCTGCTACCACGACCGCCTCTCCATTGCGGGAAACTGTCGGATGTGCCTCGTCGAGGTCGAGAAAAGCATCAAGGTGAGTTTTTTTAAAAAAAGCATCAGTGTTTTTTTGGGGGTTTTGGGAAAAAAAGCATCAAGGTGAGTTTTTTTGGGGGTGGGGGTACTTGGGAAAAAAATGGAAAAAAAAACATCAGTGTTTTTTTGGGGGTGCTGTGGAAGAATGGAAAAAGCATCCTTGTTTTTTTGTGCGGGGGAAGAATAGAGGGAACTTGAGAAAAAAATGGAAAAAAAGCATCAAGGTGGGTTTTTTTGGTAGGGGGAAGGGGTTTGTGGAAAAAAAAAGCATCAAGGTGGGTTTTTTGGTGGGGGAGGGGGAACTTGGGAAAAAAATAGAAAAAAAGAGCATCAAGGTGGATCTTTGGATGGAAAATAGAGAATTTTTGTGAAAAAAATAAGAAAAGGATGGAAAAAAATACAATCAAAACAGGTTTTTCGGATGGAAAAATAGGTGGATTTTAGGAAAAATGAGGAAAATTCGGTTTTTTTCAAGCTTAAAAATCGCCATTTTTTTCTGTAAAATCCTCAAAATCATACTGTTTTGTTGACGAGTTTATTGATAGTAAAGTGCGGAACTTTCCAGAATTCAATGTCATTTTTTTCTGAAAACCATAAAATCTCACTTTTCTCTATCAAAATTTCAAAAATTTAGTTCGAAAAAGTTTTTTTGATGTATAAATTCCTACACGTGGAAGATAAAATTTCAATTTTTTTAGTTTTCAAGGTTTTTCCTGTACCAAATAGAAAAAAAGTTTTCGATTTTGACGCTATGAAAAAAATGAAATTTTTCTGTTTTTTTCGCATGATGGTTCGCATTTTTCATGGTCCCACAACGGAAATATATAAAAGTTTTTTTTCGTTATTATTTCCAAAAAAAGATAAACGTAAGATTTATTATAAGTAATACCGACCAGGGAATGTTACGTTTCGCTCCAAAATTATGAGAAATGAATTTTTTCTTTTGACGATTACGTTCCTTTCTATTCGTTTGCTACTTTTAGACATATGAAAAAAAAATGGAGCTTTTTCATTTTCTCAAGTTTTTGACCTTGATTTGGGTTGTTTTCCAAGCTTTGAAAATTTATTTCTTCCGAAAAAAGCTTTAAATGATGGTATATTACATAGGCAAAGCCGGAAAGGGTGGAAAAAGCTCTGTAGAAATGTTCCTTTTAGGGTGAAAAAGGCTTCTTTTTTGCTGCCTTTTTGCGCCCTTTTTATCGGCTTTTTGCACCATTTTTTTGCTGCCTTTTTTTCCACCATTTCTCGAGCCTTCAAAATTCCCAGAAAAAAATAGAAGGCTCTTAAATGGGACTCATTTTTGCTGCCTTTTTGCTGCCCTTTTGCGGCTTTTTGCTGCCTTTTTTTGAGCCTCTCCCTTTTAGCGGCTATTTCATCCCCCATTCCGACTTTGCCGTAAAAGTTAAAAAAATTCAAAAATTTTTCGATCAAAATTTCGTCCTTTATATTTTTTTGGTCAGGCGTTTTTTCCATGTCATATTTGCATATTTTTTTCACGTAAATTACTATGAAAATAATGATCCTTTGAGGATATGAAAAAGTGGTTCGAAGCTGGCCCCTCTGCGGGGGATCCTCGAAGAAACTCCCCCCCCCCTTTCTACCTATGAAGCTACTATTACGATTTTGTTTTTTTCCACCAAAAAGTTCCAATTATTATTTTTTTATTACAAAGAAAAAAAGTGAATAATTGGCAATTTTTTTCAAGCCGGTCGCCTCGTGTGCCATGCCGGTGATGAACGGCATGAAGGTCAAAACCGACTCGGACTTTGTGAAGAAGGCCCGCGAAGGCGTCATGGAGTTCCTCCTGACCAACCATCCCCTGGATTGCCCCATCTGTGATCAGGTAAGGAAATACCGTGGAATCGCGAAAAATGGTTAAAATTAGTTAGAATATCGTTAGAAGAAGCTGAATTTTTCTAATAATAAAATCCAGAAAGTTCAATTTTTCTTGTTATGAGGTAAAAATGCATTTTTTCTAGTCTGCAATCTCTGAAATTTGCTAATTTTTATAGAAGAAACCGTTTTTCTGGTTTTTTTCGATGGTTTTTTTCTGTGAGTTTCAGGTAGGATTTCTTAGAAATATAGAAAATTTTTCCCTGGTATAATCCATTTTTTTATTGACTTGAAATTCATTTGCAACGCGGTCGCGGCGCGTTTTTTTCGATTTTTTTGAATTTTTAAGGAAAATCGTCTTCCTTCACATGATAAAAAAAATGATGCCAAAGCAACATTTTTTTGAAAATTATATCTCTTGAAAAAGAAAAAATCAAAAAAATGCGAAATTTTCTTGACCGCTTTGCATGTAGAGCTTGCGCCAATTTTCCCTCGTTTTTTTATTTTTTTTCCGCAAAAATTGGAGTAAATTTCGTTTCGAGACCCTTTTCGAAAAGAAATAACGAAAAGCCCAAAATTTGTTGATTACGGTAGCTTTTTTTCTGCTGTGTTTTCGACTGTCTCGCAAGGAGTACGGTATACAAACTGTAGCCGGCTGTTTAAAGCCAAGACATATAGTTAAAATGATCCAGAAGTTCTAGTTTGAGCATCATGAGCTTCAGGGAGGCGAATGCGATCTCCAAGACCAGGCGATGACCCACGGTAGCGACCGCGGGCGTCTCCAGTCCCGTTACGATGGAAAAAGGTCAAAAAATCGATCGGAAAAAATCAATAAAGTATCGATTTTCAGAGCCGTCGAGGACAAAAATATCGGTCCCCTTGTGAAAACCGTCATGACCCGGTGTATCCAGTGCACTCGATGTGTCCGATTCGCCAATGAGGTTTGAAGGGGTCACTTTAGGGGCACCTCGAGGGACCACCTTACAAGTTTGATGAAGGTTTGAAGGGGTCACTTTAGGGGCTCTTGTAGGTTCCCCTCTAGGGAGCTCCTTACTAGTTTGATGAAGGTTTGAAGGGGCCACTTTAGGAGTTAGTTTTAGGTTCCCCTCTAGGGACCACTCTACAAGTTTGCTGAAGGTTTGAAGGGGCCACCTTAGGGGCTCTTGTAGGTTCCCCTCTAGGGACTACCCTACAAGTTTTCTGGAGGTTTGAAGGGGTCACTTCAGGGGCTCTTGGAGGTTCCCCTCTAGGGACCACCTTACAAGTTTGCTGACGTGGTCACTTTAGGGGTGTATTTGAGTAGACCCTACACGTCTTTTTAACATTAAAACCAGAAAAAGGAAAAATTAAAAGACCCCTTTAGGGACCACTTCAGAGCTTTTTTCCGGAAACACTTCCATTGAAACGATTTACAGATTTTTGAGAATTTTTCAACACTTTACGGTTTCATAGTCTCTGTAAAAAAAGATTTATCGACAGGAGCAGATAATTTAGCATAGTCGTTGCATGCTACTCTAAATAAGTTGAGGCGCTTAAAATCATAGTTTTCTTTAAAATGCGGTCAATTTTAACGTTGGAAGTTTCAAAGTTTCGAAAATTGCCTCCATTTTGTCAGTTATCTAGACAAAATGCCAGAATTTTGGCTCGAAAAAAATTCCTCATCCAAAATTTTTGATATATTCAAAGTGATGAAGAAAATGAATGTTTCAGGTCGCCGATTTTCCGGATTTCGGAACGACCGGAAGAGGTTCCGATATGCAAATCGGAACCTACGTCGAGAAATTCTTCGCCTCGGAATTGTCCGGAAATATCATCGATATCTGCCCGGTCGGCGCCCTCACCAACAAACAATACGCGTTAGTTGATATTCTGGGGAAAGTCGGAATTGTGGAAAATGGAAAAAAAAAGGGAGAGGCTTAAAAAGAGCTGCAAAACGGCAGCAAAAAAGGCTGCAAAATGGCTGCAAAAAGGCCACAAAAAGGCAGCAAAACGGTTACAAAAAGGTCGCAAAAAGGCCGCAAAAGAGCAGCAAAAAGGCTGCAAAAATACAGCAAAAAGGTTGCAAAAAGAAAAAGTTGCAAAAAGGTCGCTAAAAGGCTACAAAAAGGCTTCAAAAAGGCGGCAAAAATGACCTCGAAAAGGCCGCAAAAAGGCGGGAAAAAAGCAGCGAAAAGGCTGCAAAAAGGCTTCAAAATGGCAGCAGAAAGGCTTCAAAAAGGCAGCAAAACGGCAGCAAAAAAGGTAGCTAAAAGGCAGCAAAAAGGTAGCAAAAAGGGAACCTTTCTGAAGCCTTTTTCCACCCTTTCCGACTTTGCCCATGATCTTTCGGAAATCGATGACTTCCCCGTTTCAGCTTCACGGCGAGACCCTGGGAAACGCGCAAAACGGAGAGCGTCGACGTCATGGACGCCGCCGGATCCAACATCGTCCTGACCCATCGAACCGGCGAACTTCTGAGGGTCATCCCCAAGATCAATGATGTTGGTGGTTTGTTGAAGCAGGAAAGTTAGCCAGAACAGCAAAAAGAAATGAAGGGAGCCTCAAAAATCAATCATTTTTAGCTTTTTTAATACTGGAAAGAACTTTCTCAATCCCGTAGACATTTCTGAGCCTCTCTAATGACCATTTTAGTGGCGTGAGCTTTATAAAGTTCTAGAGATCGCTTTAGCAACGTCAGAACTCTTAAAAAGTTCTAGGGACAACTGTAGTGGTGCCAGAACCTTTAAGTGATCCCTAGAATTTCTCAGAAATGTTTGCGATTTTTTATCGCGGTCAGAACCCTTAAGTGATCTTAGGAATCGCTCAAAACGCCCGAAAAATCAAAAAAACTAAAAAGGAGATTTTTTGGTAAGGGAGAAAATGTGATTTCAAAAAACCGAAAAGAAAGTTTAGGTTCAGCAAAAAACTGCTGAAATTTAAATTAAACTCATATTTGAGTCTCCCGTTTCACACTCATTTTGCGCCAACCATGAAAAAAAGTTCATTTTTTGAACCTTTCCAAAAAAAAAAACCAAAGTTTGTATATTTTTGTGATAACTCCAATTTTTTAACATCTGGAGATTTTGACGAAAAGTTGTTTTTCTTAAGGACATTAATGAAGAATGGATCGGAGACCAGTCCCGTTTCGCCATCGACGCTTTGAAAGTTCAGCGACTTTTGACGCCGTTTGTTCGTGGAGCTGATGGACAGTTGAAGTGAGGCGGAAAAAAAAAATCAAAAAAAAAACACCTTAAAGCCTAAAAAACGACAAAATTCGCTTTGCATCGCATTTTTTTCAGTAAAAAAAAAATGAATTTGACCCCTTTTTCACCATTTTTCACTATTCTTCCATTTGCAATGAAATTTTCTGGCCTAAAAATGGTTGAGTTTTGAAAAATCAGAATGAAAAAGATAACTGAATTTTTGAAGGGTCAGAGATAATTCCGAATTTCGAAGTTACTTTGAAAAGAGTGTAAAAAATGAACGTAAAGATGGATGGAAAAAAAAAATGGCTCACACGTTTTTTTTTCCCGTCGGTTTACTGTTTCAGAGAATGTTAATGAAACTCGTGAATGAATAAGAAATATATTCAGAATGTAGTGCCGTGTTCAAAGTAATTTCCGCGAAATGCAAAATGATCTCTGATTCTCCAAAGTTTAGTGATCTTTTCCTTTCTCTAACGGGTATTTTGCATTTCGCAGAAATTACTTTGAACACGGCATAGAAAAAATTGATTCTTTTCTGAAATCTTGATTTCGCGGGAAAAGTGATTTACGTGAAATACAAAATAGCTTTAAATTTTGACCAAAATTTCTCAGATTTTGAGGTTTTTTATAGACTTTGATCACAGCGAACAACATTTATCGAAGATTTCATGAAAAGGGCAAAATAAGAACAAAACTCGAAACCGTGAAATACGTTAAAATCAAAAAATTCACGACAAAAGCGAAAGAACAACGTCGCATGAAGAGACGCCAGAGAAATGAGGCTTTTCTAGCTTCTCTGACGTCTCTTCAGGTTCTCTAATTTATCGTCTGGATTATTTAGCCTCATAAATGAGGTTGTAACCGTTATATGAAAAAAAAAAACTCGAAAAAACCTGATTTTTCATTCGTGACACTATAAATTCTAAAGCGTTGGCGGTATTTCCAATTTTTCTAGCCTTATTGAAAAATTTTTTTATTCACCCTAAGTTTGGAAATGTGTGAAAACCGAAAATTTTACGAGAAAGCGAAAGAACAACGTCGCATGAAGAGACGCTAGAGAAATGAGGCTTTTCTCGCTTCTCTGACGTCTCTTCAGGTCCTCTAATCTATCGTCTGAATTTTTCCAATCTTGAAAAGTAAAAATTTCGTTTTCAAAGTTATTTCATGCAAAATTATCTCTGACCCTCCAAATTTTAGTTATCTTTTTCTTTCTCTGACGGCTTTTTTAAGTTTCACTGAATCGCTTTGAACACATTGAAAATTTCCCAAAAAATGGCTAGATCCTTTTTTCATGCACCAGAGGAAGATCTTCAAAGTTTCAACGTGCAAGACCTTCTAAATTTTGAAAAAAAGTCAAAGAAATCCCTCAAAAATGGGCCAATTTTGGGGTTTCGAGCCCTTATTTCTCGAAAACTAGGCTGTCGCCGCCCATGTATGAACACGGCATTCCAGCACCTTTTTTAGAGCTATTTTCTGCATATCAGAAGTCAAAAAGTTGCTCAGAACATTTCAAAATTGAAGGCCCGCCTCCTGGGAAGAAGCCCTTTTCACAGTCGCCGCGAAAATGCGAGAAACCCCCGCCGAGCTGAAAGCCGCCGTTGTTGGAGGCCTCACTGACGTCGGTAAGTTTCCGAAAAACCCCCAGAAGAACCCCAAAAAATGACGTCTTCTTCCAGAGACCATGGTCGCCCTGAAAGATCTCTTCAACCGGTTCAACAGCGAAAACGTCATGACCGAGGAGGAGTACCCCGAAACGAGCGGTGGAGCGGACTTGAGGTACTTAGAGACGCCAGAGGGGTCACTAGAGGGGTTAGGGGGGAAACAGACCTTATATGGACAAATGAGGGCTCCCTAGAGGGGCAAGACTTGAGTGGTCCTTATAGGAGCTCGCTTAAGGAGACTAGAGTGGTCACTAAAGGTTTAGGGAGAAAACAGGCCTTATATGGATAAAATAGGGCTCCCTAGAGAAGTGAAATTCAAGTGGCCTTTTCAGGAGCTTACTTAGTTGTCCCTAGAGGATTTAGGAGAGAAAATATGCCTTATAGGGACAAATGAGGGACCCTGGGAGAGGTAAGACTCAAGTGGTCCCAATAGGACCCTTAAAAGCTTCAGAGGGGTCACTAGAGGGATTAGGGAGAAAACAGCCCTTACAGGGACAAAATGAGGTTCCCTAGAGCAGTGAATATGAATTGGTCCTTATAGGAGCTCACTTAGGAACGACAGAGGGGTCCCTAGAGGGGTTAGGGAGAAAACAGACCTTATAGTGACGCATATGGGATCTTAGGATGGGTAAGACTTAGGTGGTCCCTATAGGAGTTTAGAGTCTATGACTTTAATGTTACAAACAGGATCGATGACTCCTCTGTTGATATTTTTTTCATTCTAATAATGCTAATTGCACCCCTAGAGGGACCACTTTTAGACGCTCTAGTTCCTCTATAAGGTAAATAATGTGGTGGTCCCTAGAGGGGAACCTCCAATGGTCACTAAAGGAACCACTCTAGAGCCCTTAAGGTAGAAATTTCGAACGTTTTTAAGGTCGAACTACACATTCAACGACACGATTTCCGCCGTGGAATCGTCGGATGCCCTTCTTTTGGTCGGTACGAATCCCCGTTTCGAGGCGCCCACCATCAATGCGAGAATCAGGAAAACGTCCGTCTTTTATTAACGCAAAGAGCGAGAAGAAAAAAATGGTCTGAATAGCGCCAAAAATGACCGAAAAATCGCAATTTTCGAAGCAAATTTGTATGTTTTTGTACCATTTATGGGATCTTTTGGCTCAAAATTCATTTTCATGAAAGTTTAATAACATTTTTGAGCCAATATTTGTGTTATTAATTGGAAAAAGTGCGTCTAGTGGTCCGATAAGTGAATTTCGATCCAAAAAAAACGCAACTTTTGTAGCAAATTTGAGTATTTTAGCACCTTTTTTGAAGTCTTTTTGGGTCGAAATTCGATTTGACAGGCGTTTTGATTTAAACTTGATGACTTTTTCGTTTTTTTTTTTAAATGTTGGAATGTCAGTTTCAGAATTAAAATCAAAAACACCCCAAAATACTCCACTTCTATTCCAGTTTCCTCTACTCGGACATCCAAATCGGCGTGATTGGAGCCCAGACGAACCTGACCTACGAATACGACTACCTCGGCTCGACGTCCAAGGCCATCGACGACCTTTTGGCGGGCAAAGGCGACTTCGCCAAGACGCTGAGCAACGCCAAGAACCCCATGATCATCGTCGGCGCCGAGGCTCTCCAGGGCGAAGGCGGCGCGGCTGTCCTCGCCAAGCTCCAGCAATTGGTAAGCATGGTTTTCACGGGCGCAGAGACCGGGAGAAAAAAGGGAGGTAAACGGGAATAAATCGGGCGTTTGACATCTCCACTCTCGATCTCTCGGTGTTCATGCGACGCCGCCAGGGTATGAGTAGGTATGCGGAGAGTTGGCGGGAGGTAAACGGGAACAAATCGGGAAGAAAACGGGCGCTTGCCATTTACACCCGGGGACTGTCCGACTTCTTTCGACATTTCCAGTGTTTGAGTAGGTCTTCGGGAGGCAAATGGGACGAAATCGGGCGCTGCCATCTAAACCCGCTAACTTTCCGTGCTCATGCTGCACCGCCAGTGTATGGTCTACGGAGAATTGGCGGGAGGTAAACGAGACAAAATAGGTAAAAAACCGATCTTCGCCATATAAACCCCCCGAACGGCCCCGTGTCTGAAGGCAGACTCAGCCAAAGCAAGAGTAAGTGCGCGGGCGCCGACGGGAGGTAAGCGGGAAGAAGTCGGTAAAAAAAACTGGGCGTTGTCATCTACACCCGCGGACGGTCCCACTTTCTTCTCGTGGAAAAACTCTGTCAGTGTGTATGCGTAGACTCGCGGGAAGCCCACGGGAGATAAACGGGAGGATATCGGAAGAAAGGGGCGTTCGCCATCTACAACCGCTGACAGTTCGTCGGCGTTTGAGGGCAGGCTCAGCCAATGTTAGAAAGAGTGCGCGGGAACCGACGGAAGGTAAGCGGGACGAAATCGGTAAAAAACCGGGCGTTGCCATCTAAACACGCGGACGGCCCCCTGTTCTTGCCGTTGAGAGGCCCCGTCGATGTGTAGGCGTAGGTCCGCGGAAGCCCATGGGAGGTAAACGGGATGACATCGGTAAGAAAACGGGCCTGTGCCATATAAACGCTCCGGACAGTTCCGTGTTTGATCGCAGACTCAGCCAATGAAGAGCAAGTGCGCGGGAAGTCCATGGGAAGTAAACGGGCTGAGTCCGGTAAAAAAGGGGGCGTTCTTCAGTCTGATAATCATTATAATTCTTCCATTCAGCAAAATTGGATTTCTGAATGTTGCGTTTCAGAGCACCAAGCTGTCCAAGGACAAGAATTCCAAGGTTCTGAACGTCCTCCAACGGTGGGCCGGCATGACTGGCGCCTTGGACATCGGCTACAAAGTATTGATTTTATCGATTTTTTGCAAATTTGTCTCGTTTGTAAAGGATAGTTTTCAATTTTTCGTGTTAAGCGTTCATTTCCACCTTTTCATGCTATTTTAGGTTGTCATTTTTCTGATTTTGAGCGATTTTTTTCAGTTTTTAAGGTTATTTTGAGCCTTATTTTCGATTCTTAATAACACTTTAGACCGTAATTTAAAATTTCCTCTGAATTTCCGTGTTATTTTAAGTCTTTTACAGTTTTCCATGTCATAATAGGCACTCTTTTTCGTTTTTTTCTAAAAATTGAATTTTTCGAGATTTTTACATCAATCGATAAGAAATGACGTCAGAAGTCCAAATAAGCACGTCAAAAATTCCAAAAAAAAAAATTTTTTTTCTCGATTTCTAGGAAGTTAGGACCTTTAAAACCTATTTTTTCTTGATCCCTTTGATCTTCTCTATCGATTGATACTATATTTGACCGATTTCCGAGGTTTCGATTTCCAAGTATGATAATAGCTTTGTTCCAATTTGACCTACGGATTTTTAGGTTATTTTAAGTAATCATTTTCAGATTATCATTTCATTTTGAAAATTCATTTTTCCAGGCTGGAACCGCTTCCCTGCGAAAGAAGCCGATCAAGTTCCTCTACTTGGTCGGGGCCGACGAAGGCAAAATCTCGAGATCCAATCTGGATCCGCAAGCTTTCGTCGTTTATCAAGGTACCGAAACTGATGAAAAATCAAAAGAAAAGTTGGTAATTACAGTTGTCTTACAGTAGACTTGTTAAGAAGGGGTAAAATTTGCAAAAAAATTGAATTTTTTTCAAAAAAATCTTCTGGAAGTAGTGATGGTTGAAAAACTTTGAAGAAAGAAAGTAATTTCAAAAAAATTTTCGATGTTTCCCTGAAAAATTTTTTTAATGCTTTAAAGGCACAGCTGAAAGAAAGCTACCGTAATCCCAGCCGTTTTAAAACTGAAGGGAAAATTTAAAAAATTCGAGTGAAGGAAGGTGACAAGAAAAGAAAATAATTTGAAAATTTTAAAATTATTTTTTTCCTGAAGATTCATGGTATATTTAAAGGCACAGGCTTAAGAAAATAATAAAGGGTCTCGAAGCGAAAAATTCTAGGACACCACGGAGAGAAGGGAGCCGAACTGGCTGACGTCATTTTGCCCGGAGCGGCGTACACCGAGAAGGAAGGCACCTATGTCAACACCGAAGGAAGATCGCAGAGGTTTAGAGAAAAAACGAAGTGACGTCATAAGATGAAGCGTATGACCCCTCCATCTTTTGCGCACTATTTCGCGTACCGCGTCAAGAATTTTCTCTAGTGATGAGTTTCTTGCAAGCTTGTTAAGAATAGTAGATTTTCAAGATAATGGGCCCTGACGCGATAAGAGAAGAGAGAGTGCCTGGTTAGTGGAGAGCCCAGACAGGCCACGCCCCCTTCCTAAGCTCGCCGTGAATAGCAAAAATCAACGAAATAGGGCGAAAAAAAAATTGGAATTCAGACATTTGTGAAGAGTTTTTAAGTAGATTTTTAAAAATCTGGATTATGGCCGTTTTTTCAAGATTTTTTGTCCAAATTTTAATTATCCTAAAGTTTCACCGTCTATAGAAGCGGTACAGGAAAAAAAGAGAAAAATATTGATTTTTTTGACATATTTTTTTCAAAAAAAGTTGGATTTGATGCCGATTTTCTTTCAAAATTGAATTTTTTTAAATGATTACACAGTCGTTGCAGGAGTAAAATAAAGAAAAAAATGATAGTTTTTTTGGCTTGAAAATGATGAAAAAAAGTTGGATTTGATACCGATTTTTCAAGTAACTAAGGATAATACAGTCTTATTTCTAAATTTTATGGCTCAAAAATTGAAATTTTTTTAAGCAATTATCCAGTCACCTGGAAGAGCGATACATGAAAAGAGAAAAAAAAATTTTGGCTTGGAAATATTGAAAAAAGTTGGATTTCATACTTATTATTCAAGCGTTATATAGCCTTTTAAAAAAAATTTACTGCTCAAAGTTCAAATTTTCAACAAATTATATAGCCAATCCTGGAGATGGTATAGCTGGCAAAACTTTAGAAGGCAAAATTTTGGTAAGGAATTATAGAAAAAAACTGGCTTTCAATACTGAATTTCTAGGATAAAAGCTATTTTTTTCAAGATTCGTCGTGTTATTTTCAATTTCTCCAGAGGTTACCCGGCCGTCTCGCCGCCTGGAGAAGCCCGAACTGACTGGAAAATCGTCAGGGCCGTCTCGGAGGTTCATTCTTCGAAATCTGGATCTGTACCTGAAGAAAATCGATTTTCAGGTCGCTGGCAAGACCCTTCCCTACAATGAGATCAAGGAGCTGCGCGCCAGAATGAGCGAGGTGAAAAATTGGATTTTTAGAATGAAAATTGAGAAAATGTCTAGATTGCCCCTCATTTGGTCCGTTATCGCGATTTCGAGCCGTCGAGCTTCTCCAAACAAGCCTTGGAACTGGCTCAGGTTGGATAGAGGGTTCAAAAAAAATTTCATAGCGGGGAAAATTAAGGAAAATCTATATGTTAAGATTTTTAATGTCAAGTGCAATGACGTCATTCAAGAATACTCTGTGGAGGACTCGCTCTCTGATTGGTTTATCGAGCCATTAGGGGCGGAGCTTGAGCGACCACTTGACATTCAAAATCTGAACAGACTATAACGTTTCCACGGTTTTTAGAGAAATTAGGCCTCAAAAAGATGAAAATACCTTGATTTATGCTATAGTAATGCATAGGGCCTGTTGATTTTCGAAAAAAAAAAATGAAAATATCAAGTGAAAATTGAGAAAAACGTATAAAAGTTGGTTTTCTCCATTTCCTACAGGAAAATTTAGAAAACTGTTGGATTAATTTTTGAAGAATGGATATTTTCAGTAGAGCACACATGAACCTTATCTTTGTGAAGAGAGTAAAAATCGCCTTTATAAGATTTGAGTTTGTATGATTTTCGTTGTGGTCCTGAATATCTGCTTGAAATTTTACGAAACTTTTTATTTTTCAAGGAAAATCCACCCAAAAGTCATTTTTTCCAAGCAGACCAAACACTTTTCGAAAATATAAAGCCTCTTTTTTACGCTCTGTCAACGAGAAATCCGCGTATTGATCTCATTTTTTCGGTATTTTTTAGATAAAAGGTGGAAAAAGATCCAGAGTTTATACTTAGAAACTTTTGGACCTTTTTTTTCTAAGATATTTAGAGCTTTTGGGAGATTCCAAGCTGTCTGAATTTATGAATTTATCATGTTTTTTAATCATTTTAATCATTTTCAATCAAACTAATCATTATGATATTTTTTTGATTGTCCATTTGCCTTTTTCAAGTATATTTTTCTCCTTCATAACGCATAAAGTGGGCGGAGCCTATCAAAAAGCTGCCGCTTCAAGATGTAAATGTCTTCTAGTTACTGTGAGATCAATACTAGGCTCCAGGAATAAACTTGAAATTGTTGTCATAAGATATTTTTGAAAACTTCGTAGGGTGTACCTTGAATAAAGAACCTTTATGGCCACTCCAAAATTTGACCTTCAGACGGGCTCGTCCTCGGAGAAGGAGCTGGTGCCCAAGCAACGCGACCTGCCCGACTATTACCAGACGAACGTCATCTCTCGCAACTCCCAACTCATGGCCGCCACCAAGAGAGCTGCTCTCGATGCTAGGGTATGATCATGTTCCCTCTAAGCATCAAAAAATGATAAACGAAAAAAAAATTGATGAAATGGATAGGTTATGATGTGAAAATGGAAAATGTACCAGTTGAACAAAAACATTAATTTTAGCTGTTCTGTTTCAAAACGTTGAAAATGAGGTTTTTGAAACTTGGATTGATTTTGAGAGGAATAGTCAGGAAAAGGCGCTAGGAAGGTCTTTTAGGAACCTTTTTGGAACCTTCTCCGAAAGTTACTTTTAGACTTTTCTCGTCTCTATAGAGCTTTTGAAAGGTGTAGTCCTGAAAAAACAGTTAAAAAGACTCCTATAGGGACCACTTGCGTCTCAGCGGTCAGACCCTGAACCCCTATAAGGACCACTTGAGACAATGTTGATTTTAGCGATTTTTCATTACAGCCCTACTTCCTTTTTCGCGACTTTAAACTGATTTTTTTCTCTGTTTCCTCCTCGTCTCTTGACGACCCTCTCATTTTGACGCACTATTTCCATTTTTGACTGACCTCACCGCAGAGGGAACAGGGAGACGCAGACAGGCAGAAAGTTTCAAGTTGCGGTGAACGGACTATACATAGGCAAAGTCCAAGTGACCTTTTGAAGAGCTTTTTTCGAAAATGCAAACGACAATTCTTTCATGCTCCTTTCTCTCATATTTTTAATAAAAAGGACTTTTTTTGGCTTCACCTTCTTTTTTTAGCGCGTTTTTATTTCGTTGAAATAGGCTTTTACCATGAAAAGACAGGAAAAGGGTATAGGAAGGTCTTTTGAAGGCCTTTTTGGAACCTTCTTCAAAAGTTACTTTTGGACTCGTCTCTATAGAGCTTTTGAAAGGTATAGTCCTGAGAAGCAGCTAAAAAGACCCTTATAGGGACCACTTGAGCTTTAGGGGTCACGCCCTATAACCCTAGAGTGACCACTTGAGACTTAGTGGTCACGCCCTAAAACCCTAGAGGGACCACTTAAGTTGAAGGGGCTGAGGGGTCAAACCTGAAACCCCTATAAGGGCCACTTGAGACTTAGTGGTCACGCCCTATAACCCTAGAAGGACCACTTGAATTTTACCCTTATATGAGACCCTGTTTTGTCCCTTCTAGGGGCTTTTTTCTTCTCTCTAACCCCTCTAGGGACCACTATGACCTTCCTAAGTTCGTTTTTTGTAGGAATATTTCAAAAATAAACAAGGCTCAGTTATGAAATTACTAAATTTTTCAACTAATATTTAAAATTCAATGAAAAAATACTGTATATACTGAGTGTCCACTAGATTTTTCTCAATTTTTCCTCTAAAAATCGATTTTTTCAGGAAAACCCCTACATGGAGCCGGCGGTGACGCAGGCTGCGGCCCGAGCTTGAAAAATGAGAAACTCTGACTCCACTTAAGTGGCCCCTAAGTTTTTAGACTCCCGTAGAGTGTACATCGTTTCGATTGTTTTTTTTCCAATTTTTGTTCTCGATTTTTTTTTTTCACGTGGAAAAGTAGCTGGTAGCAGTTGAGAAATCGCGAATTTTCCCCATTTTTTTTCTTGAATTTCCTTAGTTTCACCCCCATTACACGGTTAAGAATGATTTTTTTTTGTAAATTCTAGGCGAATTTGTTGTTTTTGAACTGGAAAAAGTGCTTTTTTTGGTCTTCTAAAGCATTAGATTGACGTTGGAGAGACTCCTTTTTACTTGAAAATAAATTTTTATTTCAAATTTTTTTATAAAAAGACGTGAAAAAAAAGAAGAATATCGACTGGAAGTGCTTTTAAAAGGGCTTTTTGAAAGAAAAAAATTAAAATTGAGGTTTTTTGGGTAAAAAAATGAACTGGAAACGCAACGAAAATGGAAATTTTTGATTGGCATTTCTCCATCAGGTTCACTCAATTTCAACCCCAAATCCAAAAAAATGCGAGAAAAAATGGCGAAATTTGAGCGAAAACCAGCTAAATCGACCTCCCTCACGCTGAGGAATACCCCGCTGCGCAAGTCGGAGCGAGTCGGGCGCGCGCAATCAAGGGGTCCACACGTCGCGTTGGCCTCTTCAGCTTTGCGCTGGGGCGATAACGTGACCAATGAGGCTCTGCCGAGGTGCGTTTATTGCTGGTTGAAAACTTTTCCCAATTGCCCGCGATGGCCTCTGAAACACGAGTGCCATACGCAATTTTTGAACGGCCTAAGAGGCCAGAATGACTGGAAATGGTTGGGGTGCGAAAACCTTGTCACTTTGAACCTTAAAAAGAGGCTTGAAATGAGTACCGAAAATCGCAAAACGAGACTAATAAAACAGTTTTTTCGAATTGATGACGTCATTTTCAGAAAATTCAATTAATGACGTCATAAAGGTCAAGAAGTTTCGAAAATTTGGTTGTCATTCTTTGAACATATGCATTTTTTGAATTTTCTCAAAAATCTGCCGTTATTTGGAATTTATGACGTCATTTTCGAAAAGTACAATAAATGACGTCATTAAGGTTGAGAAATTTCGAAAGTTTGGCTGTCATTCTTTGAACATATGCATTTTTTGAATTTTCTCGAAAACCTGCCGTTATTTGGAGTTTATGACGCCATAAAGGTCTAGAAACGTAATATGTACGGCTGTCATTTCTGTGAATTTATAATAATTTTTGAATTTATTCATAAATCTGCCGTTATTTTTAAAAAGTTATTGAACTAAAAAAACTTGGCAATGAATCCAATTACTTTTTTTAAAATAAGGTATTTGACCATTTTAAATATTTTTTTTTCTTTTTATATAATTTTATATCCGTAGAGTGAGCCTATGACGTCATGATTTCAAAAAAATTTACTTTTATTCACCGTTTTTTCGATCTTCCAATCTTCAAACTATACTTTTTTCTGTACTCAACGCTCAAAATGAACTCGAAAAAACGTTGCAAGGTCAATTTTTCCATCGACAATCGCACTTGAGAACTTCTTTCTCCGTTTCCGGGCCTTGGAAACAACCGAGGAAAAAAACTGGTAGAACGGTCACATACAATTGGGAAAAAGGGAAGCTCGAGTGCCTTTCACTACTTTCCGCCGTCGCTGAAAAAAAGGAAGTATATTTAGAAAAAAATTGAGAGTAAAGATGGAGGTTGCCCTTCGGAGGCTTCTTAAAGGCCTCTGCCGACCGTTTTTTGAGTAGATTTTTTTTTCCAAGAGTTTAGTTTTTTTTTGACAGGTTTTCTGCTGATTAGAGGGATAAAAAAATTGCAATATTTGAACTTTTTTTCTTTCAAAAATTTTTCTATCTGAAAACTGATAAGCCTATTTTTATTTCATTGTTTTTTTTCATTTTCTCGGTCCGAGTATTTCATTTTTCTATAAGTTTTCTGCCAAAAGAATAAAAGTTGAAACCCCCCCCCCCTTTTTTTTTTCAAACCGATGAGAGCTTTTTGGTCAAACAGCGTTACTTTTTTTCAAGAAGTTTATATAAAATTATTACGGTTTTTACTTTCATTCTTTCTTCTCTTCTCTGTCAAATATAACTGCTGGGTTCCCACCTATCCAATTTTCATACATTTACCTGAAAAAAATTTTTTTTTTTTTGAAAGTTGTTCAATTCAAGCTTCTAATTCTTGCTTTCAACCCTCAGGTATCTTAAACGTCGGAAAAAAACCTCACGAAATTCCAGACAAGTAATTCATTATAAGCCGAATCCCCTGGGACCACCTGGAAAAAACCAGTTTTTTGTTGGTTATAAGTAAATTTGATGGATTCGACGGGTCGGTGAAGAGTAAAAGCTTCTGGAGAGACAGAAAATCTTCAGAATTTGAGTTAAAATTAATCTCACGATTTTTCGAGTTTTGTTTATGTTAACCGTGTTATTGTACAATTTTCGCTACTTTTTGAAACCCTCCAGGGATCACTTCGCAACCCTGAAAAAATGTTCGGAATAGTTTACTACCGATGCTTTTTTCCCGGAATATTACGTTTTTATCATACCAAAGTTCAAAAACTCCTAAATGATCACTTCGATGTCTTGCCACGTTATTCAACGTCGATACCCTTCAGTGATAACTCCGCGATCTCTAAAAAACCAAGCTTTTTCGGAACATCATTGTTGATACGGAAAACTCTTAAGAGATCACTTACCTCGATGCCCTTTAGAAACCCTTGTTCCTGAGTTTTATGTCCTCTAGCTCAACTTTGGGCTTCGGAAGTTGAACCATGCTTCCAAGTTATTATGAAAGCTGTTTTTAGATGCTCCAGCTCATTTTCTCAGCTCTGATCCCTGTCCTAACAACCACGATCAATGTCTCAACCCAAAAAACCCCTTAAGGGACCACTTTTCTAAAGCAAGTTTTAGCTCACCTTTCCTACCAAGTATCATGAGTTTACAGTCCGAAGATTTGAAGAAAACCCCTAAGTGATCCCTCAAACTCACCATCCTTCTTAGATCAAACCCGAATTTTTCACTTTTTACGTCCTCCAGCTCAACTTTCGAACTTCAGAACTTGCACCCTACTTCCAAGCGGTTATGAATACTATTTTCAGATGCTCCAGCTCATTTTCCTAGTTTTTATCCCAGTCCTAACAGCCATGCCGAGCTGTTTCGACGCCGAAACGTCGAATTCGATCTTGGCCAAGCCTCTGACCTCACTTCGAGGCCTGACTTTGAACCAGTGCTTCACGGCGTGTTTGGAGATGCCCAGGGAGACTTGCAGGCGAGTTTTGAACGTAGTTTGGTCACTGGCCGCGTTTGGAATGTCTCGAAGCGACTTAGGCTATCAAAGCGCGCAAGTCGTTTTTGGTCGGGTGCAGGAAGCATTTGCGATTCCAAGTGGTATTGAAGAGTTGCTTCACGGCTGGCTTAAGGATCCTGATACGAAAATAATGAAGATAGTTTTTGATTAATGGAGAGCGCAGACAGGCCACGCCCCTTAGCGTCCCAAGCTAGCCGTGAATTGACTGTAGCTCCTAGACATTGTAGAAAACTGAATTCTCAAGATATTTAGCACTTCGAGCCATTCCAAGTGCGGCCACATTGTTAAGGGAAATCGATTGTGAAACCGTATTGCCCAGCCGCGTTTGGAATGACCCCCAAGGCGTTGGGAAGACTGTGATAATGCTTTAGGATGCGAAAGCACGCAAGTCGTTTCCGGTCGGGTGCAAGGAAGATTATTAATCCCATTGCTGTCACAGCTGCTCCACATTCATGTGGACTGAGTTCAGGATAGATGCAACTTTTGCTAATAGCAAGGATCCATCATTTACCGACCCAAAACGACTTGCGCGCGGAGGCATCATAATGCATGTGAGAAGCTTTTAGTCATTCCAAATGCGGCCACGGCGCTCCAAATTCATTCAAATTCAATATAATGCCGTGTTCAAAGTAATTTCCGCGAAATGCAAAATGGTCTCTGACCCTCCAAAATTTAGTTATTTTTCTCTTTCTCTGACGGCTATTTTGAATTTCGCGGAATCACTTTGAACACGGCATAAAACCTTTCTAGATCGATTACTTATGCGAAGCTGAAGTCGATATGCCAGTTGAATAGCAAGGACAAGACCCAGGCGAGGCTTGTCGCCAACCCAATGGCCGATTTCTACCAGCGGACCTGCTACGGTAACCATCTACAGTAACCGAGTCTCACTGTATCTTTAGACAAGCCCAGTATGGCTGTACTACGTGACGTCGCTACAGTGGACGCAGGCTGCTATGCGGCTACCAAGGGAAAGGTTTTTGGTTGAAATGGAATCCCATAAATGACCGTATTTTAAAGGTCCTCATCGGAATCGTGGACCAGCTGATGCAGGGAGTCCAATCGATCGAAGATTGCAAGGCCGCCTGTTCCAGCAGCCAGGAGAAGTTCGACATCACCTGCAAGAGCGCCATGTACTATCCGAAGGAGAAGGTTTGGGGGAAATGGCAAAAACATTAGTGGGATTGAACCAGGGACCTCTAGAGTGATGTTAGAGAGACTTAGCCACTAAACCAGAGTAACTCGGCGTCGGAGAGTTCGAATAATGGCAAAACAGTGGGTGGGATCGAACCAGCGTCCTTAAAATTTATAGAGGAAACACTAAACCGTTCGGCTAAGATATACGGATGAAATGGCAAAAACCTTAGTGGGATCGAACCTGGAACCTTTATAGTATCAGACAAGAGACTTAACCATCCGGTCAAGTTACATGGATGAAATGGCAAAAATCGTAGTGGGATTGAACCAGCAAAACTTAGATGGATAGAGTAGGCTCTAAACCATTCGGCCAAGGTACATGAGCTCCAAGAAGAGCGGAAAATGGCAAAAACCTCAGTGGGATTGAACCAGAGACCCTTAGAGTGATAAAGGAAACACTAAACCATTCGACCAAGGTTCATAGATGAGTTCCAAGAAAGACGAAAAAGGCAAAAATGCGAGTGGGATTGAACCAGAGACCTAGGCCAGAAGGTTATATAGTCGGCCGAAAAAAAATAATGGCAAGAACCTGATTGGGATCGAACCTGCGACCTTTTTAGTGTCAAGGAAGGCAGTTAGCCACTTGACCAAGGAAAAATTACATCTGGATTGGTCCTAAAAATGTCAAAAGGCGAAGTTTGAAAGGCATAGAAGAAAAATGGCAAAAATCCGAGTGGGATTAAACCAGAGACCTCTAGTTTGATAAACCAAAGGGTTATCCAGTCGGCTAAAACGGCTTCGTTTTTGATAGTGCGGAAAATGGCAAAAATCCGAGTGGGATCGAACCAGAGACCTCTAGTTTGATAAACCAAAGGGTTAGGCAGTCGGCTAAAACGTCTGCGTTTCTGTAAGTACGGAAAATGGCAAAAATCCGAGTGAGATTGAACCAGAGACCTCTGGAGCGTCAATGAAGCGTCTGAGCCACTCTACCAAAAGGCTATTATTATTATCAAGATCTTTTCAGGAATGCATTCTGGCCTCTCAATCTCGGGCCGATATTCCTGACCTTTTCATCGATGACGAAAAGTCAATTTACCTTGAGAACACCTGTATCGGCAAGGAGCGTTCCGACAAAGTCGTTGGGGTAACATGAGCAATAATTAGCTGTTCTGAGATATAATTTGCAGTTGAAGCCGTCAAGCGCTCTTCAAGGCTCTTCAAAGTTTGATAACTTCGATGGATCACATGTGAGTTTGAATAAAAGTGACGTCATTTGAAGGGATTATGACGTCATGTTTTAGGAGATTATGACGTCATTAAAGTCCAGACATTGACGTCATAGATGAAAAATTGAAGAAAGTCATTTTTCAGAGCGATTTTCGAGGAAAATCATCTAATTTTTGGATTTTCAGATCAAATCCACGACTCCCAAACCAAAATCAGCTGTGGCGCCAAAAACAAAACCATCACAGAGCATTTCCAGCGGAAATTCTGCACTGAATACTGTAAGCTTTGAATATTTTGAGCCGCATTTGGAATGGCTTTTTGGTCAGCAATCCGACCAGAAACTCATTAAAAATGCCGTATTTTATGGAAGATTCAGAATTTTTCTTGTCTATTGGATCGACTTCTGTATTTATTAGTTAAGAGCCATTCCAAATGCGACCAAGCTTGAATCCCGAAAGTTCTTCGCCGCATTTGGAATGGCTTTTTGGTAAGAAATCGGAACGGATGCCTATTTTAAGTGCGTTTTTCATGGAAAATCAGAGTTTTTCCTATATTTTTGAGTTGAAATCCATTCCAAACGCGACCAAACTTGAATTCCGGAAGATCTTGGCCGCATTTGAAATGGCTTTTTGGACAGAAATCCGACAGGAAACCTGTTCAAAATGCGCCTTTTTGACAGAAAAACACGTGGACTTTCGCATTATTTTTCGGTCTCTTCCCTGATTTTTAAATGAAATTAGAAACGGTAAAGCAGAAAAGAGAAAAGTTCATTTAACCATTCCAAATGCGGCCAGTCTTATTTTTCGTCGAGTTTTGAGTTACTTTTATTTTATTCCGAGGTTTGCTAGTTATTCTGATCGAATCATATCGAGAGCCATTACAAATGCGACCAAGGTTAAGAAATGAAAATTCTTGGCCGCATTTGGAATGGCTTTTTGAGCGAAAATCCGACAAGGAACCTATAAAAAAATGCGTTTTTTTAACAGAAAAAAATTAGATTTTTTTGGCCTTTTTCCCTGTTTTTTTCTAACAGAATTACCAACAGTAAAAACTGAATTTAACCATTCCAAATGCGACCAAAAATGGGATTCCTTCAAATTCTTATCGAATTTGGACTTTTTCCTCCCAAATCCTTATAAGCTTCCGGCTGAATTTACTATTTTGATAATGAGAGCCATTCCAAATGCGGCCAAACACGAATCCCGAAAATTCTTGGCCGCATTTGGAATGGCTTTTTTGTATCTTCACCTTTTTTGAAAATGAACAAAAACCAAAAATACGGTTTTTTGATCCTCCTCAGCAAAATTAACATTGGAGAAAATCGAAATGTAAAAATCTTTAAAAAAAAATTTTAGGACGCCAAACTAGAACTTTCGGGTTACGAAGCTCCATCCGAATCGGTTTCAAACGTCGGCCTCGTTGACATAATCAAATCTCCCACCACTACAACTACGACCACCACCACCACCACCACTCCCAAGCCAATCAATGCTAATGTAATTTTTGTAAATCTAAAAAAAAAATCAGGGATTTTTAAAGATAATCGACAATTACGCTGTGGAATCATCGCCGAAAACGGGATATGGACGCCGTTTGAGGGATATCCGCGTCAAAAAATGCTTCAAGTGAGTTTTAAATTTGAGCCATTCCAAGTGCGACCATATATACTTTGCACTTCGAAACTAAGAAGTGAGCCATTCCAAATGCGACCACAAAAATGAAAAGAAAGGTCTTAACAGGCTAATTACAAGTTTACATGGTCTTTGTGGCATTTTTGTTTTTCAATAATGAAAATTTTGTCGATTGAAACGCTTGAGCCATTCCAAGTGCGACCACGAAATCGAAAAAAAGGAGGTCTTAGCTGGCAAATTACAAGTTTTCGAGGTCCTAATGCAGACATTTTTGATTTTTAATATTGAAAAATCATTCGATTGAAACGCCTTGAGCCATTCCGAGTGCGACCAAAAATTCGAAAAGCGTTTTTTTTAAAAAGCTAATGCATTTTTCATGAGTTTACTTGGCTTTTTCAACTTAAAACTTAGATCTTTTCAAATAACGCGTCGCGACCGCAACGCTTCGAGCCATTCCAAGTGCGGCCGAAAACGAAAAATGTTCTTTTTGGACCACGGGATGCATTCTTCATGAGTTCCCGTGACGTATTCGATTTTAAACTTGAATCTTTTCAAAAAACGCGTCGCGACCGCAACGCTTCGAGCCATTCCAAGTGCGGCCGAAAACGAAAAATGTTCTTTTTGGACCACGGGATGCATTCTTCATGAGTTCCCGTGACGTATTCGATTTTAAACTTGAATCTTTTCAAAAAACGCGTCGCGACCGCAACGCTTCGAGCCATTCCAAATGCGACCAAATCTATGTAACTTACCAAAAAATGGTCAAGTTGCTTTTTTTCAACAAAACTTCCACGACTGGAAACTGCAATAAGTTGAGCCATTCCAAATGCGACCATTAAGTTTCGAATTACTGTAGAACCCTTAAATGGGTACTGATTCGACTACTATAGTGACCACTAGAAGATCTTACCCTAAATTGGCCTCTAAAGGTCTAATTTCTGATTGGTTCAAGTGCCTCTTTTTAAAAAATAAGCCATTCCAAGTGCGGCCATTCACGCAATTTTCCTTCCAGAGAGGTCCGACCAGTGCAAAAAATGGCGTCGTCACGGGTCGTCAAGGCATATTCCCTGGAGCAGTGTACCGACATGTGCCGGCTTTGCCAACACTGCCTCAAGTCGCGGAAATGTCGCTCCGTCGCATTCGATTTGTTGGTTTTTTTATTTTATTTAACGACGTCATTTCGATCCATTCGATGACTTCATAATTATGAAAAATTGAGAATACATCAATTTACTATTTATTCGAACATTTATATGGCCTAACTCAAAATTTTAACTGATGACGTCATAGAAAAATACAAACTATGACGTCAGTTCTACTCAGTGACGTCATAGAAGGATATAAAAATGACTTCACCCTAAAAAATCTACTCAATGACGTCAATCCCAATTTCATTTTTCCTGATAAAATGATAACTAAAAGATTAATGACGTCATTTTTATCTACTTGATGACGTCATGAAAGCTATGAGCTATAAAAATTGAAACTCCTATGGCCTAACTCAAAATTTAAACTGATGACGTCATAGAAAAATATGAAAAATGACGTCATTCTTAAAATCTGCTCAATGACTTCATTCTCAATTTCATTTCTTGATAAAATGAGGCTTTGAAAAATTTAATGACGTCATAGAAGAATATTAAAAATGACGTCATTCTCCGAAATATCTGGCATCTAAAACAAGGGTGATGACGTCACTTTTTCAAATTAAATGACGTCATTTGTTCAGATCTCGTGAGTTGTGCGGCCTCTCGACGTCACCAATGATCGATGGCGGCAAAATCGAAGATGACGTCATTTATCATAACCGCCTTGATTGTTGATTTTTCTTTCCATGTACATAGGATGTAAATAAAAAGAATATTTGAATGAACTTTTTTCCCGCCAAAACAAAAAGTCGATAAATATCCACTCTGACGTCTCTGCGCTCTGCTATTTTCACGTTTCTTGGACTTTGAGGCGAGAGAAAAGAGAGCGCAGACAGGTCAGAGTGTCACAAATCATTCAAGTCTTCTTTTTTTGCGGCGAGTTGCCGGAAACCATGGTCGGTTGGGCCTGAACGAACTGGGGCATGTAGATCGGGGCTTGTTGGAAAGCGACGGGTCTTTGAGGGATTTGGAGTACGGTAGGCGGGACGACTGAAATTTCTAGATACTGTAGGATAGCTGGGATTACGGTAGTAAGCTCACCAGGTCGCAGGACGGCTCCAGGGTAGGGTACGTAGGGATTGAAGTTGATCGCTCCTGCCTGGAAATTACGTTCATTCTCACTTTGAAATGCTTTTCCGAGAGATTAGGAGGGCGCAGACAAGTCAGAGATGGTGTGAATGACGGTTTATTCAATTTTTTCTCTAAATGAAGCGTTAGGTGTCTTTGAAGCCTTTGGAAAAATCTGAAGATTCGAAATTCCTTCTCAGAGACTTTAAAGGCGCAGTGACCTGAAAATTTCGTCTCGAGACCTTTTATGGCTTCTTTGACCTCTTGAACAAGGAATTTTGAACAGAATACTGTCACCTTATATTTTTGAATTTTTCTTCGAATAGTTCGATTTCAGTCTCTTGAAAATCTCTTATTAAAGGAGCACAGCAGAATATAATAGTATTATTAAAGGCGCATAGCTTCTCAGGAAGTATAAACAAGGCAAAATTCAGCGCATAGAGCCATTACGGTTGGCTTGAAGAATGAAAAAGGGTCCTGACACGATAAAAAAAAAGATAGTGCCTGGTTGGTGGAGAGCGCAGACAGGCCACGCCCCCTTAGCGTCTTAAGCTATAATCATCTTATTAAAGGCGCATAGCTTCTCGGGAAGTATGAGCAAGGCAAAATTCAGCGCATAGAGGCTTTACGGTTGGCTTGAAGAAGGAAAAAGGGTTCTGACACGATAATAAAAGAGACAGTACCTGGTTGGTGGAGAGCGCAGACAAGCCACGCCCCCTCCCAAGTTAGCCGTGAACCGACTATAGGAAGGCGAATCGCCAAAAATAAAAAAAATGCTTTTCAAAGCAAACCTGAGCCTGAGGTGACTGTGCGAGCATTTGAGGTTGATAATACTGGTATTGGAGGTACTGGGAATAGTCCATCACTTGTGGAGTTTGAGCTTTCTGGGCGAGCTGGGCTGACCGCATTCTGAAGCAATTTTTGGTCATGGGAGTGCCTATTTTTTAAAATGCAGCCGTAACATGTTTCGTGGACCTTTTGGAAAAGTCCTACTTAGAGAAAAGAGGGCACAGACAGGTCAGACAGTTTTAACAGCGTTCAGGCTAAAGCTTTCCGATGCCTCAACGCGCAAGTCGTTGTCGGTCGGTCGCGGCTTTTTAGCCATTCCAAATGCGACCATGGATTTATAGGTGCAGAGGGGGACTGTTAACACTCCGGTGGTCCCTAGAGGGTTCAGGGAAAAGGACAGCACCTCTAGAAGACAAACAGTGCTCCCTGAAGAGTTTAAATGGTCCCTATAGGGGTTCAGGATCTGATCCCTAAGCCGCTTAAGTAGTCCCTGTAGGGTCCTTTTTATTCGGATGTTACAGTTCAAATGACGTATAAGGACCACTAGAATGCTCCATTTCATCGTATTGCTCATGCTAAAGGAACAGGAGGGTAACCTTCAATATTTGCCCCTTAAGGGGCCACTCTGACGCTACTAAGCAAGACTAGAAAAGGTAGACAAACGAGTAAAAAGCAGGTAAATCGGCGTCCTCGATGAACTCGTAGCGACCACGGGCGGCGCAATCGACGACGAGAAGAACAAGAATCCAAATCCTCGGCATTCCCGTTGGATTCCTTGTTTCTCCAAACCCCCATTTATAGGTACTCGGATAAGTGAGGCACTCGAAAATCAACCGAAACCGTGACCTGACTTGTTTCTTGTCAAGAGGGGACGATTTTCAAACTTTTACAGGTATTTCCTGTCTTGGTGGAATGGCTTAGAACCGTGCATTTTGAACTACAACTTATTATCTGGCGTAAACCGTTTCAGGTCGGGCGCATCTTTGGGTAACTCAATGCAGCGTACCTTGAGCTCTAAGTCTAGAAATTTCGAGCCAGGATTTTTATTGGTCAAATTTGGAACGGCTCAGTACTGTGCATTTTGAACTACAAGTTACTATCTAGCGTAAACCGTTTGAAGTCGGTTGCATCTTTGGGGGACACTTTATGCAGGGTTCCTTGAGCTTTGAGGTATCAGAATTTCGAGCCAGGATTTTATTGGTCGCATTTGGAATGGCTTGAAGCGCCACAGTCGCATTGTGCTGAGGGCTACGACACCAAAAGATGGTTATGATGTTCTCTCATACCTCAAGGCGAAAACCGTTTTTAGTCCGGAACAGGTTTCCCTTGCTTTTAATCGATATCTACAAGACTTGGTCGCATTCGGAATTACACAGGACTGGGCGTTTTGACTTCAGAACTAGAAAACTGGTTCAGTGTGGCGTAAACAGTTTTAAGTCGGGCGCATCTTTGATTTTGAGCGAATAGTGTCCTTGAGCTTTGCGGTCTAGACAATCGAGACTTTTGGTCGCATTTGGAATGGCTCTGAGGTAGGCGAATTGACTTCAATGCTCAATAAACCCTTTTTGTCCACATTATATACTTTTTTCAGAAGGTTGAAACTACAAAAAATGCGACATTAAACCATTTCAAGCATGAATGAACCATTTTTCTTAACCTTCTGAACAAATTGTAAACTAGAAAACTCTTGACAAACTACAAAGAGAGCTTTGAAGAGCCAAAAAGCGCTGATTTCCGAGCTGTCACTCCACACAAAAAGTAGCTTTATCAGCGAAAAATCAAGTGATAAAAACGACGGCACCGACTCCGTAAACAACCCGTAGAATTGGCGATAAGTGAAACGAGGAAGTGGAAAATTTGAAAAAAAGGCCAAAAAATCAAACAGTATAGGGTGGAGGCGAGTATCGGAGCAGTTTCATTGTTTGGACCTCGAAGGAGTTGGGCCGCTTGGGCCACACGGCGACGACGCCGACGATCACGCCGAGGAGGAAGAAAATGATGACGAGGACGCCGACTGTGTTGGTGAATGATGACTCGGGAAAAATTGGTTGGACTGCTTGGGCCAGGAGTTGGGCCTGTAAGAGTTGGGCCATAGAAAAATGTCAAAAAAAAATGAGATTATGCCGAAAATTCACAGTGACGATTAGATTATATGTTCTGAAAGCATTATTTGACCAAAAATTTAATTTTTTGGGTAAGATTACATAGGAAGAAATAGCTTCATTTCAAAAAGCTTTCGCGCTCCAATGATAACTTTTAAAATTTGGTGATTTAAATAATTTTTTCAGAATCGAATGGGAAGTATTTACTAGGAAATGAGAGAAAAAGAAATATGAGCCGCAGAAAAAGATCGCTAGGCTTTTTTTCCGCTCCATGGATAAAACATGTTCGCTCCATGGATAAAAAAAGTTCAAAAAAAGTGTACTTTGATCTCTTTTTTTTAATCTCTGGTCCTTGGTCATTATTTTTAGCGAAAAAAATTAATTTTAAAAAAATTGGCCATGGAGCGCACAAGTTTGCAATTTTTTTGATTTTTTTCGCGGCTGTTTTTTTCCTATTTTGTTTTTTTAGTAGCCCTGAACTGAAATTTCATCAGGAATTTCATGAAATAGTTTATTTTTAATGATAATTTGAAATAATAATCAAAAAAAACTTTTAAAAACCTCACCTCAGCCAATTGACTCTGAGCGAAACTCATAGCGGCGTCTAGTAAATACTCGGAAAATCGAGAAAACTGGTCGTCGAAAGGATCACAAAACACTGATAAAATGTTAAGAGCCCCCTATTTATCAGTTTATCACTAGTAGACGGGTCCGTTTTTTTCTTGGCGTTTGATGATTACGCCAAAAAGGCGATAGTTTGGTTGACTTTTTGGACACTTTGATTGACTTGGGAAGTTGATTTTTTCGACTCTTTGTAGACTACAAAAAATCAATTTATCAGGCCAAATTTAAGAGCTTTCAAATATTCTAATACCTTTTTAAGTTACACGTTAATGAGTGTACTAGGAATCATCAAAATAAAAAAAAAGCAAAATAAAAAATTTCTCATTGGAGCGCACTTGCACTAAGAGATTCGGCTTTTTGGTGATTTTTTTTAAAAACGGCAGAGTGGACCCTAGAGGGGCCCATGAAGTTTTCCCTTGAGGACCACTCCGCCTCACCCTATAGGGGCCACTCAAGCTTGTAAAAGTGGCCACTCTAGGGGAGCCTGTCTACACAGTCTTTTCGACTTTCAAATCAAAAAATAACCCTAAGGCGACCACTCAAGCCCTAGGGGTCAGATCTCAAACTCCTATAGGGACTACTTGAGTTTTAACCCTTTAGGGAGCACTATTTCGTCCCTTATTGGGCTATTTTGTATCCTAACCCCTATAGAGGCCACTCCAGTGTTTGAAAAGGCATTTTGCAGCAAAGTTGCTCCACGGAGAAAAATCATCATTTTTTCGTAAATTTTATAAATTTCACCGTAATGAAAGCTTTCAATTAGAAATGAGTTTAGAAAATCGGACTCAAGTTTTTTTTTTTGGAATTGAGTAGATTACGGTAAGATTACGGTCACCGTGTTGAAAATGTTTTTTTTCTGGAATTTCGGTTCAAAAAATCGAAAATAAACAAATTTTAGCCTTATACTTTGTTTACTCAACAGAGAAAACCATTTGAAACCCCGAAAACCGGAAAAAATGATTCATTCTCGTACTTTTTCTCTCAAGAAAAGAAAAAAGTGTCGTCATATCGAAATGGAAAACGCGAAAAGCCTTTAATTGCCACCTTGAGAAAGGTATTCGCCCAAGGGGGAAACAACAGAAAACAGGTTGAATCTTGACTTTACAGCAGTTCTTTTTTCGCGGTACCCCCCGGTCACTCGGTTTTACCTTGGTTTTCTGTTTCATTTTTGGAATTTGATAGTTTACTTTGATGTTTTCTGTATTAACCAGTTATTGAATATAGATAAGAAGGTAAAAATGTAAAATTTCAATTTTGCAACGCCAGAGTGGTCCCTGGAGGGATTATGATAAGAAAAAAGTCTCTAGAGGGCTAAAATTCAAGTGGTCCCTATAGAGATTTTTGGTTTTATTCCTAAGCCTTTGAAGCTTCAGTGGCCCCTATAGTGGTCTTTTAATTTTTTCTTTTGATTTAAAAAGTAATCGTTTTCCAATTAACTTTTACACCACGATTACCTGAGACCAATTTTTGCCCCTCTAGGGACCACTCGCATGCCCCCTAGAGGGGTCACTAAGAAAAACCAGATTGGCCCCTTCTGCAAGCTTTAATGCCTTATATGGAAAACCAAGGCGTCCCTTGAGGGGTTTTTTAAAAATGCTCGGCCCCTCTAGTGACCACTCTGGCGTTTTTCCAAGCTTTTTTTTTCAGAAATGTGCTCAAAATTGATTTCCATACAAATCCTGATTATTTTCCTGCATTCAACCGTTGCTGACATTTATTTTGGTGGGTTTTTTTTATTTTTCAATTTTTTCTGTACAAAGATTAGTATCAAAAAAATGGAAAATTCAATAAAATAGGTTTCTCATTGGAGCGCACTTGTACTCCTAAACTCGGCCTTTTTTGGGATGAAAGAGTGGTCTCTAGGGTGGCAAGCGTAACGCTCTCGTAGTTTCACTTGAGGGGGCACTAAGACTTGAAAAAGTGGCCACTTTAGGGGATTATTTTAGAGGATTCTATAAGTTTTTCAAACTTTTCTATCTGGAGAAAGAGCTAAAAAAAACCCCTATAAGGACCACTCAAGCTCGAGGCTCAACCCCTATAGGGGCCACCAAAGCATTCAGCCCTCTAGGGAGCACTATAGGGACTTTTTTCTCGAACCCCTTTAGGGACCACTCTGGCGTTTCTAAGTATTTTTGGATTAAGTCGTCGATTTTCCAGATAAAAACTATGAAGACGTCGTTTCGACGATTTCAGCGGCTGAAAAAGTCGAAGTCCACGAACACGAACATGTTCATTATCACAAGCACGATCATTACAATGAGCCTATGGTATTTTTTTTTTTGAGATATTTGGTTCTTTTGATAATTGAATAAGGTAAATTTGTACCTATACAGTCTACTAACCATTGGAAATTTGACAGCTTCAAAAAAAAAAAAAATGATGAAAAATTTTTTTTCGCATTTTTCGCTCAAAAACAACCTAAAAAGCTTTCTAACTCTAAATTTTCATGTTATAATAAATCCTGAAGACCACGGTCGCATTTGGAATGGCTCTGCTTGATTTTTTTAACATTGCGCCCGACTTTTGACGGCTTACGCGCTTTTGCTTTTGGAAGCGTATGAAAACGCTGATTTTTTTCGAACTATCAAGCCATTCCAAATGCGGCCCAAAATTTTTTTATTTTTTTATTTTTTTCTGAATTAAATGCTTTAAATTAACAAAAAAAAAATGTTTAGCTCAGGAAAATTTTAAAAAAAACTAACAAAAGTCAATTTAACGTTTCAGAAATCCGCTCTTCTTCCCAGAAAAACGAGAAGCGTCGATGACGTCACGATTGACGTAATTAACAGCTAATTAATCAATAATTAACCTCCTTAACTCATTACAGAAGGTCGTGGAAAATTCCGTTGACGCGGAGAAATTCACAAAATCAGAAAAACTCCGAAATTCTCCAATTTCAAGGTCTCGTCGCTGGCCTGATTATCCTCCGTACACGTCTTATTATGCAAATGTGAGAATAACACCGTGGTTGAGTGGCTAACAATGCTGTTGTTGGGTATAGAGGTCCTTGGTTCGACTCCGGTCGAGGAAAAATGTATTTTGTCGTTTTTCTTTAACGATCTTTAGACTTTTCTTATACAAAACTTCTTCTGAGAGTTAGAAATTTGTTTAAACGCTTGGTGTAGTGGCTAAAAGGTCTGTATTTTGATAGGGTACTTCCTGGTTCGACTCCTGTCGAGGAAAAAGTTTTTTGCCATTTTTATTTGATGATTTAATAGATTATTTCTTATACCTAACTGCTTCTAACATGCTGAAAATTCTTAAAACGCTTGATAATGTAGCTAAGAGCATTTTAGTGGGAGAATGGGCTTCCTGGTTCGGTTCCTGTCGGCGGGAAAATTTTTTTGTCATTTTTATTTTATCATTTGTGATGGAAATTTTTCAATAGAACATTTTTAGCAATAAATAAGATTTTCATGTAAACAAAAGCTTCAAAAAAGCAGATAAAACGATGATACTGCATGGAGAGGTCTTTGGTTCGAGTCCTGTCGAGGGAAAGAATTTTGCCATTTTGAAAAAAAATTTCCAACCAAGCAAAGTCGTTTTCAAATAGTTGTAAAATTGACTTTCCTAATTTTTCAAAATATTTTCACTTTTTAGACAGCTTTTTTTAGGTAATAAGAAATTTAGAACATCTCAGGAACGAAATTTATGAACTGAATTAAGATTTTGCAATCAGGATTGAAGTTTGCCGGCGAAAATTGAAGAGAAAACAAATTTTCAGGCTTATCCAGGCTACGGCGGCTATCCGGGATACCTGACCCCGGCTTATAGCAACGGAGTTTTTCCCCTGCCTGGCGGATATTATCCGGGAAGCATCGTCGGTTCAGGATCCATGTGGGCGGCGAACGGAGGCCTCGTCGGCAATATTTTATCTTTTCTTGTTGGATAAATCGATTATTTTCCGTTGTTCATGTATAAAATCGTTATAAACCTTTGTTTTTGTGATTTTATCGAAATAAAGGAAGAAAGTTGAACTAAATACCTTGAAGATAAAGAAAATCCTTTTCAGATTTTCGAAAACGCAAAAGACTTGGACGAGCACGAAAAACGGCTTTAATAATTTCAAAAAACTACTGCTCTTTTGAAAACCCATGGAAATTATTGGAATAGAGAAAATGGCACAATTTCCTACAAAGTGAACAATTAGCATCCTATTTGAAGAATAAATAGAACTTTGAAAGCTAAAAACTGCAACTTTGAAAAAAAAAACCCCCACTTTTGTGCAAATTGTCGTGTCGGTGACCACGCCGGCGTTGGAATTTTTCGCGCGCGAAAGCAAATTTGACCCAAATTTCGAATCTGTCCTTTTCTTTTTTTTAAACTAATTCACGTGTATTTTCCTTCATTTCTTCATTTATTCCAGTGAACTGTACATAGGCGGCAACGTCACTGATGGAATTTCCTGTCGGCAAAGCCAAGAAAGGTTACTTTTACATGTTTTAAAAATTAAAAAAAAGTTTGCAGGAAAAAAATAGCCGAGCTGCGAAAAAAAGTGCCACAGAAGAGGATGTGCAAGCGGCGAAAAAGGTAGAATTAAGATTTTTATTAATTATTTTATGAAGATTCAAATTTTACAGAAGAGAAGAACGGAAAGCGAATCCTTTGCGGGTTTCGAACGGAACCAACGAAATAAGCTCGGATATTTCGTTTGTACATCCTTCAAGTTCAAAGGAAAACCGTAGAGAGAGTTTGAAAAGAAAAAAAAATGAAAAAACAATCGGAAAATAATTTAGTTTCCATCGATTCGTCTTTCCTTTCCTCCGAAGCGTCTTCCTCCTGTGGGGACGATGGAAAAACGGCGGATTGTCTCGAAGTTCAATCCTGTTGGCCTAAAAGTAAGGAAAATGTTCGAAAAAATAAAAATTATTTTGCAGTCGTTTTCTCGCATCGCGCCCGCACAAACCTCCTGTACAACGAAGGCTCTCCGGAGGCTAAATATGTGGATTCGGCTGAAGACGAATGTTTCTTGTGTCATAAAAAAGGGTTGGAATCGAACCCGTTGCTGTCCTGCCAAGGGTCTATGAATGGCGTTAAAAAACGCAAGTGCAAATCGATGTTCCACGTTAAATGTATCCAGGTTTGTGTTGAATAGTGTTATTTTCTTGAAAAAATGGTTTTCTTCTCGAATTATTTTCAAATCCGTATCCATTCAGGACCCATTTTTGGTGTTTAAAATTAAAAAATTGATGTTTTTGCTTGGAAAAAAAGTTTTAATGGAAAGGAAAAAGTTGAATTTTAGTCGTTTTTCTGCTTTTCTTAGCTCAGAACCTTTTCAGGCCTTTTTTGTATTGGATAGTGTTATTTTCTTGAAAAAATGCTTTTTTCAGTTTCTAAGGTAGTTTTTCTCGAAACCACCTTTTTCATTAATTTTTTCCAGGCGGGACCCATTTTTTAATAAATGAACTGCTTTTTGGAAATTTTTTTACACATTCAAATTTAGTTAATTTTCTTCTTTTCTCAGTTTCTCAATTTATTTTTCTCAAAATCTGTTAAAATTACTTTTTACATTGATTTTATCCATCCAGGACCTATTTTTGATCGTTAGAATCGTAAAAATTAGTATTTTGCATAGAAAAAATTTTTTTACTTGAAGTTTCATTGCACATTTTCAGCTTTAGAGTCATTATAAACGTTTCGAACCATCAAATTCCGCTCATAATATTAGTTTTTTCATCGTTTTAAGGCTCAAAATCTGACCAGTAGTTATAGAATTGATTCCTGGACATGATATAACTGTAGTTTAAAATAAAAATTGAATTTGATGTTGAAATTTTGAAAAATGGTTTATTTTGCTTGGAAAAAAAGTTTTTAACTTGAAGTATTATAGCTCATTTTTCAGCTTTAGAGTCATTAAAAGTGTTTCGAATCATCAATTTTTTTGTTCATAATAGTAGTTTTTTTCTTAGATTTCTAGTTCATTTCACTCAAAAATTTGTTTTAAAAATGAAATTTAAGGCTTTCTGATCGATTTTTTTAATTCATTTCATCGATCATATGGAATATTTTGAAGCAAGTAATTATTTTTAAAAAAATAAATTTTTTAGATTTTTCCTGTTTCTAAAAAAAGCTTTTTTTATCGATTCGTTTCAGTTTTTTTGGGTGGTTTGGCAAAAATCGGCAAAAAAATCAGAGTTTCTAAAATTTGCGTGAAAAAAAGATATATTTACTTTTACGTGAAACGTGTTTTTCGAATTTAGGAATTTTTTTGGAAATTACGTGAAAGAATTTTTTTGGAGTTTATGGAATAACATTTTTTTGTTTCAGTTTATTTGATATATGGCTTTTTTTGAAATCAAAACTAATCGATATATAAAATAAATACGTAAATAAATAAAATGAGTGCAAAAAAATAATCTAATTTTTGAAAAAAATTTAGTGAAAATGACGATTTTTTTGTTCAAAAATATTGCCTTATTTTTCAGTTTTTTTCTGTAGAAATGTCCCGATTTTTTTATATTTTTTTCAAAGTTTTTTTCTCATGAATCTATTTGGTAAGGAAAAATCGCATTTTTTTATATATACTGATTGAAAAAAATTTTTACATAACTGTGCGAAAAAAATCCGTTCTTTATCTCGATTTCACAGCAAAAAATTAGTTTTTTTGCTAAATTTTTCCGCGATATTTGAATTTATCTCTGGCTCTCCAAAATCCAGTTGTCTTTCTCTTTCTGACGGCCTTTTTCAAATTTGTTTTTTTCAAATGAAATAGTAAAAAAATTTTTGAAAAAAATTCAGTGAACATGACGATTTTTTTCTGTTCAAAATATGGCTTAAATCCCAGTTTTTTTCCTGAGAATTTTTTTCGATTTTTTTATTTTTCTGAATAGTCATTAATTTCCTTTGAAGAACTACAACGGCGGCGACTATTGTTATGACTATGTCCGGGCCCCCGAAGGCCAAGGCTTAATTCTGTGTCCCCTGCATCACTGTGACGCGTGTTATGCGAATCGACGACGGCAATCCGCCTTTGAAGGTTCCTTTTTCATCTTTTTATTCATTTTAGAATCTTCAAACGGGTCCCTAAAAGTTCCAGGAAAAAAAGCAGTCCCTATAGGCGTCTTTCAATTTTTTGTTATGATTTGAAAGAAGTTAGCGACGTGTTTTTGAATAAAAGAACATATTTTGTGCTTAGGAACGCCAGAGTGATTCCTCTAGGGGTTTAAGACCTGATCCAAAGGACCTCCAAGCTCAAGTGGTCCCTATAGGGTTCTAAATTTTTTTCCAGAAGAAAAAGACTTTTTATAATTTTTTTCAGGTGAAAAAAACGCGATTTTACTTCATTTTTTTGAGCTAAAAATGCAGTTTTACCCAGTTTTTTTAAATGAAAAAAACATTATTTTACTTGATTTTTTTAAAGTGAAAAAAAGGATTTTTTTATTGGAATTTTTCAAGTGAAAAAAATAGAATTTTTCCCAGAAAAATTTTTAAAGAAAAAAATCAAACTTTATCCGTTTTTTTCAGTAAAAAAATTAAAATTTCACCCAGTTTTTTTGATAGAAAAAAATTTTTTAGCTAATTTTACAAGTAAAAAAATGAAATTTCATTCAGTTTTTTTCTAAGGAAAAAAAGCGGTTTTTCAAATTTTTTTCAAGTAGATAATGTAATTTTTACACAGTTTTCCATTGTGAAAAGTCAATTTTACCCAATTTTTTTGAGATGAAAAAAATGCATTTTTTTAATTAATTTTTCAAAGTTTAAAACGAAATTTTTATCCGATTTTCCAGTAGAAAAAAATGCAATTTTTTTCCTAATTATTTAAGTTAAAAGTGCGATTTTTATTCAGTTTTTTTAATGGAAAAAAATTTTTTTAGCTGATTTTACAAGTGAAAAAAATGAAATTTCATACAGTTATATTAAGGAAAAAAACGGGGGTTTTTTTCAAAATTTTCAAGTAGATAATGCATTCTTACTCAATTTTTCAATAGAAAAATGCATTTTGTCTTGAGTTTTTAAGTGAAAAATGCATTTTTATCCGATTTTACAGTAGAAAAATGCAATTTTACCCGAATTTTCAAGTGAAATATTGCAATCTAACCTAATTTTTTAAGTGAAAAATGAAATATCGCCCATTTTTCTAGTAGAAAAATGCAATTTACCCGAATTTGTAAGGGAAAAACTCACATTTCCCTAATAAACTGTCCATTTTTCCCAGGAAATCTGCTGGAATGCATCTCGTGTAACCGAGCTTTCCACTCGGTGAATTGTTTGCCCGCTGGCGGGATCAAGATCAATATCAACGTTGTTGAAGGCCCTGAAAAGGTAAAGTCATCTAGGAAAAGCCCCAAGAAATGAGCTTTTTTCCAGTACAAGGGTAGTTTTATCGTCTGTCCGGCACACGCAAAGCTGCCGTCACTGGGAAGGCCCCACCTGACCATTTGTTGCGAATGCGAGAAAGGTGAGAAACGGGAATGTCTTATAGAGAAAATAAGGCTTTTAAAAATGGATTTTTTTAAAAAAAACATTTTTTTCAGGCTTCAAATTGATTGATTATGAAAAAAAGTGGGTTTTAAGAGGTTTTTGGCCGAAAAAAAAATAAATAAAAAAAATTTTATATTTTTTTGGGCTTAAAAGAGATTTTTTTGACGTAGAAAATAGGCTCTTTTTGAGATTTGTTACCTAAAAAAAGGATTGTAAGTGTCTAAAAATGAATTTTTTTAGGCTTTAAATGATATGATTTTTTTGGAGTTGAGGCTATTTTTAAAAGGTTTTTTTGCCGAAAAAAATCGAATAAATAGATAAAAAAATTCATATTTTTTTGGGGCTTTAAAGAGATTTCTCTTCTGGGAAAATAGGCTTTTTTTGAGATTTTTTTGCTGAAAAAATGGAATGAAATCATTAAAATATTTTTTTCTAGGCTTCAGAAATGATTAAAAAAATTGGGAAAAAAATCAGCATTTTTTTGAGCTTGGTTGCCGAAAAAAATCTAATTAAAAGCATTAATTTTTTTCAGACTTGAAAAAAATACATTTTTTTGAAGAAAAAAATAGGATTTTATTGAGATTAGACGTCGGGAAAATCGAATAAAAAAAGGTTAAAATCTTTTTCTAAGCTTTGAAAAATTTTATTTTTTTGGAGGAAAAAAACAGGTTTATTTTGAGATTTTTTTGCTGAAAAAAATTGAATAAAAAAAGGTTAAAATTTTTTGGGCTTCAAAAATGATAAATTTCGGAAGAATATAGAGTTTTTTGTGCCGAAAAAAATTGAATTTCAGGTTTTTTTGGCTTCAAAACGTACTGTTTTTTGGAGAAAACAGGCTTTTTTTCTTGAGAAATTAGAAATTTTGTTGAAAAAAAGAAGAAATGAAGTTTTTGATTTTTTTAGATTTATAGTTTATTTTTGTTGAAAAAAAAAAAAAAACTAGTTTATTAATTTTTTTATGGGCTGAAAAATTGGATAGGAAGCCCATTTTTAATATAGTTTTCTCAAAGAAATTTTGAAAAAAATATTTTTTTTTGCAGACGACGGGGAGCTGGAGGAGTGTCACACCTGTGTCCGTTCCTACCATCCGAAATGCCGACTGATCGAATTCCTCGACGGCCAACCCATTCCCAAGAATCGCTGCGAGTCCTGCGCCCATCAGGAAACCATCCGAATCAATCGATACGCCTTGGCGAAATTCAAAAATTTGTCAGTTTTTGAAAAAAACCTCTTTTTGTTGCTTAAAAGCTGAAGCTTGTAAAAGTAGGAAAAGCTGAAAATCTTGATTTTCCCCTTTTTTTTGGCTTGAAATACGAGAAAAAGGTCCAACTTCTTCGTTTTTTTAATGAATTTGTCACTAGAAAAAAATAATTTAATGGAAAAAAAGACTTTTTAAGTTCAAAATTATCCTTTTTTTGCATAAATTTATGAGTTTAGAGGTTAAATTTGACCAATTTTTTTATGATTTTTTTCTGGGTTTTTGTAATTGAAAAAGAAGCTGAAAAATGGCTGAAAAAAATTACATGAAATTTTGAAATTTCTTTTTTTGCTTGAAATAAAAAGTACGCGAAAAATGGCTTATATAGATGAAAAAAAGGTCCAGCTTTGTCAAACTTGAATAAACTGTCAGTAGAAAAATAATTTAATGGAAAAAAAAGACTTTTAAGTTCAAAATTGTCCTTTTTGCATAATTTTATAAGTTTGAAGGTTAAATTTAACCAGTTTTTTTATGATTTTTTTCTGGGTTTTCTAATGGAAAAGAAGCTGAAAAAAATGGTTGTAAAAGTATGTTTTTCCCTATAAAATACTGAAATTTTGAAATTTCTTTTGCCTAAAAAAAGAGAAAAAAAGTGGATTTTCTAGTTGAAAAAAAGGTCCAAGTTTGTTTTTTTCGGAAAAAAAGGATTGAAAAGGATAAATTTCCCCTTTTTTTGGAAAATGAGAAAACAGATTTTTTGATTTGTAAGCGGTTTTTTATGTTCCAAGATTGGTTTAGCTTGAATTTTTGGGTGCAATTTCAGACCAAGTTTCAAGATTTACCTGGGTTTTTAATGTTAAAAAAATGCTGTAAAAGTTAATTTTCACCATAAGAAATAACGTGGAAAGTTTTGAATTTCCCTCTTTTTTTGACCTTTTCTCGGTGGAGCATAGTTGCCTTTTTGGTCTTTTTTTTCTCAACAGTTATACTTTTTGCTCAATCTTTTCACTAAAGACGAGATTTTTTTTCTAAAATGATGGATTTTTGCTCGGAAATCGATAATTTTTTCAGGTTTTATCCCTGCCAAGTTGTCGAATGGGACAAGTATCCGCAGAAGAAGGATTCGTGAGTTTTTTTCAGGTTTTTTTGAAAAAAAGAATGAGACAGAGTTGAAATTGAAGCATTTTTTTCAAATTTTTTTGAGTTTTTCGTGGTCAAAATTTGATAAAAAAATTTTAGTTTTTTTCTGGGTTTTAGTAGTCAAATTTTTGATAGAGAATTAACGATTTTTTTAGAGAAATTTGTCGATTTTTTTCAGGCGATTTGGAAAGTTTTATATACTGGGAAAAATTCCCTCTAGCGTCCACTTGAGTAATTTTTCGAGCAATAATTGGATAGGGCCCTGAAGTGGCCACTATAGTAGCTTTCAGGCGTCTATTAGTACTTTTTGAGCTTCTAAAGAGGCCTCTTAGGCCACTAACTGGACTACTAAAGCGGCCACTAAAGCGTCAAAACCCTAAAGGGGCCACTAAGATTTAGACACTAAAGTGGTCACTTATTTGACTACTGTAGTGGTCACTAAAGTAGTTTTCAGTGGCCCAGTAGTGCTACTTAGACCCCTAAAGAGGCCTCTTAGTTTTGGTCACTTAAGGGGCCACTAACTGGACTACTATAGTGGCCACTAGTACTTCAAAACCCTTAAGAGACCCCTTCAACTTCAGAAAAAAATAAGTAATTTCCAGACGATTTGGAAAACTTGGATTTACGGCCGTAGAATGGGCGGGACCCAAAAAAGAGAAATCGATAATCCCGATCAATGCCCTCGTCCCGCTTTTCGACAGTTCCTTCGATCTCTATTCGAAGAAGATCAAGTTGAACGAGGACGAGTTTGAAGGTACCTTTTGGGCTTACCAGAAGGGAAATTAATCCATTTTGATGTTTCAGCCTGGAAGGAAATGATCGACGACCTGGAGGAACCCCAGTGGCCCCACCCCTACAAGACGGTCCGACGACAAATTGTGGTCCTTATTCACGTTTTTTTTTAAAGAAAATATTAACAAAAATCGATTTTTAATGCATTATTTCGAAGCTAAATTCAGGAAAATGTGCCAAAAAAGTAATTTTTCAACCGAAAAAATTATGAAAGTAGCTTTTTTCCGCTCGAAAATCTGATGAAAAAGAAGATTTTTGACACACAAATTCGATTGAAGTTGGTCCAGATTGTTTCATTTTTGAGCTGAATTCGGGTAAATAAGCGGAAAAGCGTTATTTTAGCTCAAAAAAATTTTTTGCATAGAAAACGTGATCAAAATCTTTTCAGAGTGCATTATTTTTTTGATCTAAAGTTATAAAAAAATGTTTTCCCTCAGAAAACGATGTTTTTAAAAAAATATTAAAAAAATTTTTCGAATCAGTTTCAGGCCGAATTCTCGAAACATTGCCCATTTTTTTAAATTTTTCAAAGAAAATTATGCCTAAAAAAACATAACAAATATATCAAATTCTCGGGATTTTTTTAAAGAATTTTTTTCGAGGAGAATTTTTTTGACCGATTTTTACAAGATTTTTTTATGTTTCAAATAAACCTTGTTTGAGAATTGAACTGTTTATTTTTATTAAATAAAAAACTGCGATGTCAATATTTCATTTTTGGAGTCTTGTGGAGCGGAAAAGTCTGTTTGGAAAACTAGGCCATGCCGCAATTTTGCTCCCCGGAACAATTCAGATCACAAAAAAAATTTCAAGTTCGAAGTGAGGAGCATGTATCCCATATCCCAGAAAAATGATTAAGAAAAAGAAAAAAAATCTGAATTTCAAAGAGTTCCATGGAGCGAACTCTCGGCGTGGCCTAGTTTTCCAAACCGACCGACTTTTTCAGCATGAAATTTCAATTTTCCAATCTTTTTTTGGGATTTTTTTGATCAAAATAAGCCTAATGTTGGTTTTCAGGCTTCGGTCTACTACAACAAGGAGCTGAAGAAGAACCTTCCAGTGGAGGATGTTCTGCGGTGTGATTGCAAAATCGGCGTCAAAAATCGATGTGGAGATCAATCTTGCAGCAATCGACAAACCGACATGGAGTGCCCTGCGGTAACTTTTTTTTGGATTGAAGGAAAGAAGATAGTTCTGTCTAGTGGCCACTTAAGAGATTCACCGAGGGCACTGAAGGGACCACTTGAAAAAAAAAACCCATGGAAGCCACTATTCCGCTTCTTAGTGACCACTATAGTATCAGTTAGACTTCCAAAGAGGACACTAGAGTGGCCACTTAAACTTAAAAACCCTGAAGTGTCTACTTGAAGAAAAAAGTGAAATTTTGGAACAAAGGTTGGACTGTAGAGCTTTTCCGGATATTTTCCATTTTAGCCACTTAAGTGACCACTAATGCGAATACTGAAGGGGTCACTAGAACTAAAAACCCTTAAGAGTCCACTCGAAGAAAAAAAAAAAAGGATAAAGTTTGAACCAAATGAACTTTTTCGGACATTTTCCATTTTAGCCACTTAAGTAACCACTTATGCGACTACTGTAGGGGTCACTAGAATTTAAAAACCCTAAAATGGCCACTTGAAGAAAAAAATAAAAATTTTAACTTTTTCGGACATTTTCCAGAAGATGACTAGAGTTTCCAAAGGTTTTGAGAATAAAATGATTTTCGGATAAATTTTAGGAATGTTCTGAAAATCCCGGCGGCTGTCATAATCGAGACGTTTCTTCGAAAACCCCGTGTCCCGATATCGAACGAAAAAAGACGAAAACGCGAGGTTATGGCGTTTTTGCCACGAAAAATATCCCCAAGGTGATTGGAATCAAAGAAAAAAGAAACCAAAAAAAAAAATAATTTCAGGGCACTTTTATCGCCGAATACGCCGGAGAGATCATCAACGCCGAAGAGTGTGCCCGACGGGTCAATTTAATCAAAATCGCCCGAGATTCCGAAGCCCAACTCTACATGATGTCCCTGAACGCCGTGAAAACGGTCGACGCCGCCCGGGCTGGGAATATTGCCAGGTGCGCTTTTTTGAGTGAGGGTGCGCGATTTTTTGGGGATTGTGCGCGATTTTGCGAGGTTGTTGCGCGATTATGAAGGGTTGGTGCGCTTTTTTGAGGGGTTGGTGCACTTTTTGGAAATTTGCAGTTTGATCTTTTGTGACACTGGTGCGCGATTTTGAAGAGGTGGCGCGCAATTTTTGGGGTCGCCGCTATTTTGAGGGGTTGGTGCGCGGTTTTGAAGGAGTGTGCTCTATTTTAAGGGGTTGGAACTCGATTCGGCGGGGATATGTAGCGATTGTTCATAGGTATTGGCCCGCATTTTTTTGAATAATCAAGGCGCAATTTTTTGGAGCAGGTGCGCTTTTTGGAGGGGTAGGAGCGCGTAGATATTAAAGAAAACGCGATTTTCGTAAAAATCTAGCTAGAAAACAGAGAAAACTTTTAAAATTATCGTGTGGAAGTATTGCAGGGTGCGCTTGTTTGAGGGGCAGGAGCGCGATTTTTGGAGGTAGGTGCGCTTTTTGAAGGGGTTCGTGCACGATTTTTGGAGAGCGGAGAAAACCTTCACGTGCCTTTTTTTTTTGAAACTATATTGAATCATCAAAATGGTCTACGCCTTTAAACTTGGCTGACAAGTAATTAAACAAAAAAAAAATTCAGACTTTATTAATTTTCGAAATTTTTGAGCACATTTTCATGATTTTTCTTTTTTTGTAGATACGTGAACCATTCGTGCGACCCGAATTGCATAATTCGGATGGTGAAGATCGTTTTCAACGACGGCGAGGGCAAACGGATGGGCCGATACGATGATCGGGTGGCCCTGTACGCCAAGAAAGATATCCAATCAGGTCTTGCAACGAAAATATCCCGGAAAAAACGAGCGATTTTGAAGGCGAAGAACTGACTTTTACGTATAATATGTTCGGCAAGGAGTTGGCCCTGCCGGAGTGTCGATGTGGCGCCGACAATTGCAGCGGAAGTTTGAAGGGACGATCTCCGCAGGTTTGTTTGGGGGTGGGTACCAGAAAATGCTATGAAAATATGGGAAATATAGTCAAAAATTGATTGAATTGGTTGAAAAAAACGGATTTTTTGATATAGTTCCTGGAAAAAATGGGTAATTTTGTCGTTTTTATAAGAGAATGTGATCAAAAAAACGACTGATTAAATTGAAAAAAAAAGGTTTTTTTTTTATGATAAAGGTTCAGAAAAGTTGTATTTAGGTCGTTTTTTCAACTTTACAAGGTTTTTTGAATATAGTTTCAGAAAAAACCGGTTAGAAGGTCGTTTTTATGTGAAATTATGATGAAAAAAATGAATGGTTAGGTTGAAAAAAAGGTTTTTTTGATATGGGTAGAAATTCAAGGTTCAATAAAGTTTATTTATGACAGAAAAAAAGGTGATAAGCTGTCGAAAAAGCATATTTTTTGGTTTAGGAAAAAAAAAATTGGGTTACGACCTTCTTATGGGAAAATGTAGTCAAATTGATTTCATTGATTTGGTTGAAAAAAAAACAGGGTTTTTTGATATAGTTCCTGAAAAAAAAAAATGGGTAAATTGGTCGCTTTTAAGCAAGGATATGATTAAAAATTACTGATTAGGTTGAAAAATGGGGTTGTTTTTGAATGGGTAGAAAAAAAATTGGGTTTAACGGTCGCTTTTAAGCAAGGATTTGATAGGAAAAGATTGGATAGGTGAAAAAAAAAGTTTTTTTCGTAAAGGTCCAGAAAAACTAGTCTGAAAGGTCGTTTTATGCAAGAATATGATGAAGAATGACTAGTTGGGTTGAAAAAATTGTTTTTTTTTACCTAGTTCAAGAAAAACGGAATGAAAATGTCGTTATTATGGAAAATTTGATCAAAAAAAGATGGATTAGAGCGAAAAAAATTAGGTTTTTTGATATTGAAATGAAAAAAACTGTGTTAAAAAAAGTCGTTATTATGAGAAATTTTGGTCAAAAAAAGATTCATTAGGTTGAAAAAAATAGGTTTCTTTTTGATGAAGATAGAAATTTTAGGTTTAATAAATGGTTAATAAGAACAAAAAAAAGGTGAGAATTTGCCGATTTGGGGAAAAAAATTGAGTAAAAAAGGACTTTACTATGTGAAAATGAGATCAAAAGTTATGATTAGGTGAAAAAAAATAAATTTTTTTCAGACATAGGTCAAGAAAACCGAATGAATGGGTCGTTATTTATGGGAAAATGTGATTAAAAATTGATTGGTTAGGTTGAAAAATGGGTTTTTTTTATATGAGTACAAATTTAGGGTACATAAAAGGTTTATTATGACAGAAAAAAGGTGCAAAGTTGTCGAAAAAGACTTTTTCTTTCAGAAAAAGAAGGACTGTGTGAAAAATTTGATCAAAAAGACTGATTGTGTTGAAAAAAATAGGTTTATTTCAATAAAGGTAGAAATTAAGGGTTCAACAAAGGTTTATTATGGCAGGAAAAAGGTGAAAAATTGTCGAAAAGGCATATTTTTTTATGGCTTTGGGAAAAAAATTGGGTAAAAGGTCGCTTCTATGTGAAAATATTATCGAAAATGACTGATTAGGTTTACAAAAAAAAAAAAGGGTTTTTCTTTTGGAAAAGGTAGGATATTAGGGAACCCAGAAGTTTAATTATGACAGAAAAAAGGTGCAAAGTTGTCGAAAAAGGACTTTTTTGTTTTACAAAAGCTTTGAAAGATCGGTTTTATGGGAAAATAAGATCAAAAATTGATTGATTTTGTTGAGAAAACATGGTTTTTTTAGTATAGGTACAGAAAAGTTGGATGAAAAGGTGAAAAATTTGATCAAAAAATACAAATTGGGTTGGAAAATCAGGAATTTTTTTGATGTAGTTAGAAATTTGAGGCACAAAAAAGGTTAAACATGACAGGAAAAAAAAGGTGAAAAGTTGAGAAAGTTGGCTGAGTTTGATTTTTGAGAGAAATAGTTCAATCATGAGTTTTCTTGTTCCCATGCAATAATTTCAGGATTCGAAAGACTCGAGTAACGATTCTCTGGCGAATTCTCCGCCTCCTGTCGGCCGGAAAAGGAGTCGAACTTCCAGTACTGGTGCTCCGTCGGCGAAATATGCAAGAAATGGTGAATACCGTGACAAAAATGATGAAAAAAGGGCTTAAAATGACATAAAATCTCTCCAAATAATTGTACTTAAGAACGCCAGAGTGGTCCCTAGAGAGGCAAATTTAGGACCACTTAACCGCCCCCTATAGGGGACACTAAGGCTCGCAAAAGTGATCACTTCAGGAAAGCATGCTAGTGATCCCTATAGGTTCTTTCATCAAATCATAATAATTGTTTAAAACCCCTATAGGGACCACTTAAGAGACCTCAAACCCCTATAGGGACTATCGAAGATTTATCCCTAAAGGGAGCACTTTTTCTGACCCTCAGACGCTGTTTTTCTCCATTGCTAGTGCTAGAGGCGAAGCTGGAAATGTTTAGTGGGCACTTTAGGGTTTTCGACGTTTTAGTGGTCACTATAGTGGTCGATTAAGTGGTCACTTAAGTGGCTAAAGGCCTTTTCAGAAGTCTAATATTACTTGGCCACTACAAACTACTATAGTAACCACTAAAAACAAAACTTGTGGTTTCTACAGAGGTGGTTTAAGTGGCCACTTCAGGGTTCCAAAGTTTGAGAGGTCACTTAAGTGGCTGGAACTTAGTGGCCCCTTTAGAAGTCCAAGAGGTACTATAGACCACTAATAACTACTATAGTGGCCACTAAAACGGAAAATAGTGGCCCCTATAGAGGTTATTTTAGTGGCCACTTTAGGGTCCTCTCCCAGTAGCCCTGGAGGGACCTCTTAAGTGACCACTAGAATTTTTTGCTTATTAGAAAGCTGAAAATTCCCGATTTTCCAGGCGGCTCTCGAAATTCGACGTCTTCTCAGAAAAAGAACAAATCCGGATCTCAAAATCATCAACAGGTGAAGAATTTTCAAAAATAATCGGCCCCGCCCCTCGCAAAAAAAAAATAATTCGGATTATAATATTTCTGTCATTTATTCAATAATTAATTTATTCACTGACTTTCTCGATTCTGTCATTTATTAGAACTAATTTTTTTCCTTCTTCTTCTTCTTCTTATTTCTATCTTTCTTTTTATTTTTTTATCCCTCCCCATCTCTCTCACTTCTTGTTTCGTTCCAAATAAACCTTTTTTTCCCGATTGTTGCATGTGTGTAGTTTGATCGCAGTGCAAAGGACTGGAAATTGTACTTTTTTCTCAATTTTTCGAATTTTTTCTGACCTTTTTCCTCGTTCAGATGCCCACTGACTGGCCTCAACAGCAGCAACATCGAAATCCGGTATTTTTCAATTTTTTTTAAGGCCTTTTTTGAGAGATTCTTGGTGGAAATGGCTTTATTACGGCGTTTTTGAAGGAAAAATGACTTTTTTTCCGATTTTTTAATGGCTATAATAAGCCTATTTGAAAGAATATTAGTGAAAATGGCCATTTTTTTGACATTTTTTTGAAGGAAATTTTTTTAGTAAAAGTGACTTTTTTTCTGATTTTTTTAATGGTTATAATAGGCTTTTTTTGGATGAAAAACTCATTAACAAATGATTTTTTTCACTTTTTTTGAGTGATTTTTTTCAGTATTTTTTTCAAAGGAAAGCTCAATAAAAACGGCTTTTTTTCAAGCTTTTTTGGAAAAAAATGGCTTTTTCGTCTTTAAATAATGAAAATAGGCCTTCTGAAAAAAATTATTTTTTTCCGATTTTTTTGACTGAAAATAGGACCTTTAAGTAGAGATTAAGTCAGAAAAAAATGACTATTTTTCCGGTTTTTGAAATGATTTTTTTCAGAGAGAAGGGGCTTTTTCAACCTTGTGAGAAAAAAATTGTGTGTGAAAAATGCTTTTTTTGCCTTCCGAAAAAAATTACCATTTTTTTACGGTTTTTTTGACTGGAAATATGACCTTTTTTTGTAGATAAAGTCAGAAAAATGGCCTTTTTTTCGGTTTTGGTGTTGGAATTTCGGCCTTTTCCGAACAATATTTAGCGAAAATATGTTTTCATATTATAAAAATAGGCTTCTTTTGAAGAAATTTCTATTAAAAATGGCGTTTTTTCGGTTTTTGAGTGGGATTTCGGCCTGTTATAAGAAAAATAAATTTTGATCCGTTTTGAAATGATGTAAAAAGGCTATTTTCGAAGAAAAATTCAGTGAATATTCTTCTTTTTCTCAATTTTTGAGTAAGTTCCGCTTTTGCAAAAAAAAAAGTCGGTGAAAAATAATTTTTTTTAATTTTTACTTGATGAAAATTGGATGTTTTTTTGAAGAGAAACTCGAAAAAAATGGCTTTTTTTCGATTTATGAGGGAAATTCCAGCTTTTTCGAATCAGAATTTAAAAAAACTTGGTAAATTCCGATTTTGAGCTAATTTATCCGTAGAGCGCGTTTGGTGTCGTTTTTTTGAAAAATTTTTTTGGAACCGATTTCCTTCGTATTTTTTTGAAGGAATTTTTAAATGAAAATGGATTTTTTTAAAATGTAAATTTTTCAGGATCACCAGCAGGGATCTTCGGCCCATTTTGAATGGGCCACGATCAGTCCCAAGTTGGTTTTTTATCCAGAAAAGGGGAAAAAATTTTTTTAGTCCAAAAAAAGTAGAAATTGAAAGATCTTGATGAGCTCAATATGGCTTAGAAACGCTAGAGGGGTCCCTTGAAACATCCTCTTTAGGGACCACCTCAATTTTCCCTCTAGGGGTCACTTAAGCTCACAAAAATGGCCTAGGGAAGCCTACCAGAAGTACTAGGCAAACAAAATTTGGAAGGCCGCTTTAGGGACCACTTGAGTTTCAAGCGCTTAGGGATCAGACTCTGAACCCCTCTAGGGAGCACTAAATAGGGAATTTTTGTCCCTAACCCCTGTAGGGACCACTCTAGGGTTCCTGAGAGGCTCCTGTATGCTGCTTCATGTTATAATCGATTCTTAAGATTTTGGGGCTTACTGGAAAAAAGCTCTAGGGGCCCCTTAAGTGGTTCCTTAAGAGACCTTGGAGAGGACACTAAAGTGACCACTAAGCCACTCCTTTAGAAGCGTCTAAGTTGTCACTATAGTAGTTTTTAGGCGTCTAATACTACCACTTAGGCCACTAAATTTCAGCCACTTAAGTAGTCACTAATTTGACTTCTATAGTGGCCACTAAGCCGTCGATACCCTAAAGTGACCACTCAAAATTTTCCCTAGAAATTTGAAGAAGTGTGAAATTTGGACTTTTCCTTGCATTTCCAAAAAAAAAAATCGATAAATTTGGAGGGCGTCGTCCAAGTGCAGCTCCGCGATCAGTACGGACGTGAAATGATGCCCGTCTACCGAAACGCGCCCCCGGAAGTCCTGCATCACCTCCGCGAGTACGAGAGATGGCTCCAGGAGCAGTCGCAAATGTTCTGGCGCCCGGCGCTTTTGCCGCCGCCCGGACCGCCCAGTAGACAGCTCTCAATCCTGCCGCCACCACCGGTCGCCCCCGCCGCGCCACAACCTGAGCGACCGCAGGCGCGACGCTGGTCCCCGACTTCCAGCATCGCCTCCGAGGCCGACACCTCCTTCGGCTTCAATCCGCCCGTCGACAACGTCAAGCCCAAGGTGATTGGAGACAGAAAAAGCCGCAAAAGTGACGGTATATATCGCGAAAGTCTCGCATTTGCCTAGACATGATATCGCATGTTCTTTGGCGTGGGGATTTCCTTGGCGCGACCTCGAATTCACCTCAGCGTAACCTCCCGGACAGTGAAATTAAAAAATACGAAAGGGCTGGCGGTACAACGACGATATCGCAAAAGTCCCACGCCGCTCTCGCATTTCCTAAGCGCGATATCGCGTTTTTCTCGGAGCGACATCACGTTTTGCATTTTCAATTTTTTTTTTTTGAGTGTTTGTGTAAAGCCAGAGAAATGCGATATCGCGGCTAGAAAAATGCGAAAGCAAGGGCGGGATTTTCTGCGATTTTGGCTGGTGGTACATTAACGATATCGCGAAAGTACCGCGCCGGTCTCGCATTTCCTACGCGATATCGCATTTTTTCGGCGCGGTATCGTATTTTCTCGGAGCGACATCGCATTTTGTAAGTTTTTCAATGTTTTGAGTGTTTGAGTGAAGCGAGAGAAATGCGATATCGCGACTACAAAAATGCGAACGCGACTACAGAGCGAGATTTTTGCGATATCGTATCAGTAAGAGTGTTTTTGACCATTTTTTCAGTAGAAATCCTCCCCTTCAATTTCCGATTTTCAGCCGGGAACTTCAAGGAAACGGGCTTCCAACACGACCGGATGGCGCCCGCGAACGCCGTCTTTCCCGATGCCGATCCCCTGGCCGGTGGCCTCGTCGACCCCCCGCAGAAGTCCTTCCAAGTCTCCCAGCCGGGAGCCGACCGCCAAAAGAGTTCCGTCTCGAGTCCGTTCGAAGTCTCCGCCCGTCTTGTCGCTGGCTCATCTCCCGGCTGGCAAGGCGAGCAGGTCCAAGAAGGCTCCCGTAAGTGCTTTTTTGGGGTCTACAACAGATTGTTTGAAGGCCAGGGTGTTTTTTGAGAGGAGCTTTTAAAGGCGCAGCATGTTTTTGTAAGAGAGGGTCCAGGAAGGAGCATTTTTAGAATGCGCTATTAAAGGCACAGCACGTTTTTGAAAGGGAAGGTTCATAGCTTCCGCAAGCGCTCAGGTTTTTTACTTTGGTTTGAAAGATTTTTAGAATAAGCTATTAAAGGCGCAGCGCTCAACTTCTCTTCGAGACCTGATTCGACAATTAAGGGCACCGTGAATAGGGTTTAAAGGCGCAGCGAGTTTACCTATTAAAGGCACAGAAAGAGCGCTAATTTCACAAAGGAAGGCGCTTCTTCTAGTTGAGAAAGAAAGATGTCGAATTTTTCAAAGGCGCAGAGTGTTTCTAGGATGCGTTATTAAAGGCGCAGACTTTTTTTTAGAATGCACTATTAAAGGCGCAACATGTTTTTAGAGTTGTCAATGAAGAAGCGGTGTTATCTAAAGGTAACTGATGACGTTCAAAAAAGCTCCTGAAATATAAATTTGAAGGCGCAGCACTCAGTTTCAATCTTTCCTTCAAGACCCATTGCGGAGATTGAAAGGACAGAGAGCTATAAGAAACAAAGTTTAAAGGCGCAGCAATTCACGGATAAATATATTCTCTTCGAGACCCTTTCATGGCTAATTTCACTATTAAAGGTACAGCGAATCTCAAAAAAAGCTTTTAAAGGCGTAGAGTGTTAGAGTTCACCTATTAAAGGCGCATAACGGCTTCTGAACTCATTATTAAAGGCGCAGTTCGTTCTGATGCTAATATTTGAAGCGCACAGGGTTATAATTCACCTTTTGAAGGCGCATCAATGGCCTGAATTCCGTATTAAAGGCGCAGAGTACCATAATTAGACTTTTAAAGGCGCGGCACATCATCTCAATTCATTATTAAAGGCACAGGTTCTTAGCGTCTCTAACATGAGCGATGCTGAGCCACGGTTTTCAGAACAAGCCAACAGCTCCTGCCAGCCGAAGCAATGCCAGGAAAGCTGCGGTGGAACCTGTGAGCGAACAGGAAAAGAGCACTGATGTGAGCTAATATGAGCAACACGAAGCAATGATGATCAAAAGTTTTCAGTCTATTCCGAGGCCTCCTCGTGGCAAAGAAACGGCTCCCAGTTCGAGGACAAAAGTTTGTTAGATGAGCTAACATGAGCAATGACCAGAAGTTTTCAGCCAACTCCAAGATCTTCTCGTGGACGTTCGGTAGGCAAGAAAGAAGCGGCTCCCAATTTGAAAGAAAATGTTTCTGATGTGAGATAACATAAGCAATAACCAGACGTTTTTAGCCGCTCCCAAGGCCTCCTCGTGGACGTTCGGTAGGCAAGAAAGAAGCGGCTCCGAATCCGAATGAAGAAATTGAAGAGGATGTTTGTTACATGAGATAACATGAGCAATAATCAGGCGTTTTTAGTCAACTCCGAGACCTCCTCGTATGCCAAGCAAAAGAGACATCAGCTCGAAAGGAAAGGTTTGCTAAATGAGCTAATATGAGCAACACTGAGACGTTTTCAGTCAGCCCCAAAGCTTCCTCGTGGACGCTCGGTAGCCAAGAAAGAAGCGACCCCCAATTTGGAGGAAAAAGTCGGTGGAATGAGATAACATGAGCAACATGCAATAATTAAGGTTGCCTCGGTTAGACGTCGCTCTGGTCGTTCTGTCAAGCCAACAACTCGTTATCAGGTTCCTCCCGGAGAAGAGGTGAGCTAACATGAGCAATGATGAGTTATAATTAGAAATGTTTGCAAATCGAGGCTTTTTTGGTGGAATTCGGATCGTTTCAGGATTTATGCTTTTTCTAGAACCGATGGTGTTATTATTAGCTGATATGAGCAATCATGAGAAAAATTGTGGAAAATGATTTTGAGATAATGGAGAAACTTTGGAATAGAAAGTGTTGAGTTGATTTCGGGTGTTAGTGAGCTAACATGAGCAATAAGAAGTTTTCAGGTTGCTCCGGCGAAACGACGTCGCTCTGCTAGTTCAGCCAAACCAACGCCGAGGAAACAGGCTCCTCGAGAAGAGGAAGATGAAGTGAGCTAACATGAGCAATAATGAGAAAAAATACTTCTTCATTGAGATTAGGCTATTTTGTGTGTATGTGTGTGTATTTTCAATGGGAGAAAAAGAAGTAAGCTAACATGAGCAATTATGAGTCAAATATTGAAAATGCTCAGTTGTAATTCAATGAATCTATCTTTAGTAACATTGAGCTAACATGAGCAATTAGCAATTTTCCAGGATACTCCGATGAAAATTCGTCGATCTGGTACTTCGGCCAAGCCGACACCTCAGATTCAAGCTCCTCCTCCTCCAGCAGTAGAAGTGGGTATTGTGAGCTAACATGAGCAATAATTAGCTAAGATTAGGAGAGGTTGAGAGACCTATAAGAAAGTTGTCATATGCCGCTAGAATGAGCTGAAATGAGCAATAATACGTGTGACAGAAGCAGAATTGAAACTCCAGAGTGGTCCTACGGAAGCAGCCGCAAACGATTTTGAAGATTCCCTATAGGGACCACTCTACCTCAACTTAAAGAAGCACTGAAGCTTGCAAAAGTGGTCACTCTAGGGGAGCATGCTAGTGATTCCTATATGTCTTTTCGATTATCAACGCAAAAAAAAGGATAGAGCACTACAGGGACCACTTGAGCTTCAGGAGCTTAGGGTTCCGACGCCAAACCCTATAGGGGCCACCTGAGGTCTAGGCGGCACTAATTTGGTCCCTATAGGGTTTTTTCCCCGCCTAACCACTCTAGGGGCCGCTCGGCTGATTCAAACTTTTAAGACTCAAAAATATTCATTTTCCATGCCTTTTTTGGAACTCTCATCACATGGTAAAATGACTTTTCTTTTAAAATTATAATGAGCTAACCTGAGCAACATGAATAATTTTCAGCTCACTCCACCGCAGTCTTCGCGCCGTGGCGCCCGTGCCCGCCAGGTCCGCAAAGTCTTTTCTCCTTGAAATATTATGATTTTTCCGTTTTTTGTTTTTTCAAATCGTCGATTTTTTCCTTCATGTTCTTTGTTGTACAGGAAAGAATACTCGTGAAGAATGAGAATTTCCCTTTAGGGATTACTTTTTCTTTTGTAAAGAAAGTTTCTGTTTCAAACTGTCATTTTTTGCCTTATCTTGCTCGTTTTTATGTTTTTCTCTTGGTTGATGAAGGAAATCATGGCCGCGAAAAATGAGGCAATGGTGCTCTATTGAGAAATCTCGAACTTTTGAACATTTTTGATTTTTTTGAAGTGGTTCAAGGTCATAAAAATGAGTTTTTGACTGTAGGAAAAAAAAGCCACGTAAATTGAGGCAATAGCGCTCTATTGAGAAATCTAGTTTTTTTCTTAACTTTCTGGATTTTTTTGAAGTGGTCCAAGGTCATAAAAATGAGTTTCCTACTGTAGGAAAAAATAGCCGCGGAAAATAAGGCAATGGTGCTCTATTGAGAAAATGAATAATTTTTCAACTCTCTTTGAATTTTTTTTGAACTGGTTCAAAATTATAAAAAAATGAATATTCGACTGTAGGAAGAAATAGCCGCGGAAATTGAGGCTATGGTGCTCTATTGAGAAAATGAATTTTTTTTTCTTAAGAATGACGTTTTTTTTCTGAACCTCACCTTTTTTCTTGTTTCTCACTTTTTTTTCTCATTTTTGTTCCCTCTAGCTGTTTTTTTGTGTCTGATATTAACAATGTGTTGCTCATTCTAACCAAAAATTGTACCCAAAGCAATTTTTTCCCAAATTCTTTGTGTCTTGATCTCATTTTCATGCAGGAAAATGTTACAGGGTTTTTTTTTCCACTGGTTTTTTCGAGATTTGTGTATTTATTGGTTACTTTCCTCGATCTCCAAATACTCGTTTATTGCTCATCTTAGCCGTTTTGAAGCTCGTGGTTTTTTTTTGATTTTAGAAGATCTTTCTGAATTTTTTCCACGGTTCAAGGGGCTTTATTTGTTCGTCTTCAAGATGTTTATGTCAAAGATATTATAAATATTTTATTTCAGGTGTTTTTTTTGACACGGAAACTTCAGAAAACTCGGCCATAGTGGTCCCTAGAGGGGCGATCTTTTGGACTTTTGGAGGTACCCCTCTAGGGACCGCTCAAGCTTTAGAAGCCAAGGGGTCAGATCCTGAATCCCTTTAGGGACCACTAAAGCTTGGAAAAAGGTCTTTTTAATTTTCTGATCAGAAAAAAAAAATTAAAAAACCCCTATAGGGACCACTCAAGCTTTAGGAGCTCAGTGTTCACAACCCTGTAGGGACCGCTTGAGTTTCACCCCTCTAGGGAGCACTCTTTCGTCCTAAATTATGGGCTGTCTTTCCCTAATCCCTCTAGGGACCACTTTTTCTTGAAGTTCAAAAAGCTTTCGCGCCCTATCGAAGCGTTCCAGCGGAGCGTCGTACTAAAATATTGATCTTTCAATTTTTTTTTTGTTTCTTCTTGTTTTTTGATGGGTTTTGAACATGGTTCTGTGGCCGATCGCGGAGATATGAATTTTATCTCGATATAATCCCCTTATCAATCGATAAATCAATAAAATATGACGTGAATCAATCGATTCGAAATGTCGCATTTCTCCTCATCATCGTCATTTTCGGATGCAGCAGCATTGCAAGGATTCGCCTAATATGTGGGTTTTTTCGATTTTTTGAAAAATTTTGATCTTAAGCTTGGAAATTCCGTTAAAATCTTGTACATAATCGTGGAAAAAAAGCTGTTTTATTTCATTTTTTGATTTTTTGAAAAAGTTACCTTGAAAAAAGCCGAAATTTCCATGAAAATTTGCTCATTTCTTGGATTTTATCGTACTATATTAGTTCCAGAAGTCCAAATTCAGTAAAAATCATGATTTTCAGGAGAAAAGTGGTCCTTCAAGGGGCGCCAAGTCACATGGAACGTGTCGGTCGGATTCTTCTCGCCCAGCGGAAAGATGCCGATTTTAGGTGGTTTTCCTGTTTCAAAATGGGGTTTTTATGCATTTTTCAATGATAAAAGGCTTTTGAAGAAATTTTTTGACCCGGAAACTTCAGAAAACTCAGCCATAGTGGTCCTTATAGGGGCACTTGGAGGGACCCCTCTAGGGATCACTAAGCTTGAAAAAGTGGCCACTCTAGGGGGCACGCTAGTCGTCTCTATACTTCACTTTAAAATCTGGGAAATCACTATAGGGACCACTTAAGTCTTAGGGCTTAGACTCTGAATCCCTAAAGGGACCACTTGAATTTCACCCCTCTAGGGACCACTCTTTTGTGGGACTGTTTTTCCCTCTAGGGCCCACTCTGGCGTTCCGAAGAATCTTCATATTCTGTAAACCTTTTCAAAAATTCATTTTCTCACTTTTCTACTAATAAAGCTATCGTGGTTGTACTGTAACGTGAAGCTACAGTAACCCTACAGTAGACCCAGAATACTGTAACCTTGAATTACAGTGCCTGCGACTTGAGAATCGAGCTCGACGGCGGCTTCGAACTCGTCCATTCGGCCGTCATTGGTGCCCATTCGGCCAGATTTTCCTCGGTTTTGATAGTTACAGTACCTCGAGACCGTAACCTGGAGTACTGTAGATCTTCTCGCACACTCGGCCACCGTACGCTCCCTACGATATGACGAATTTCAGCCCGAGAAGCGCCCAGAAGGTCATCGATTGGATGTACTCGGGAGAGGTAAAGAGATGGGTATTTAGAAAAAACGCCCTTAAGTGCCCGTTAGAACCCTTGAGTGCCCATAAGCGCCCTTAAGCGCCCTAAGTGCCCAATAGCGCCCTCAAGTACCCGTTAGAAGCCTTAAATGCCCTGCATAACTTTGTAATGCCCGTCAGCACCTTTAAACGCCCGTCAGCGCCCTTAAGTGCCCGTCGGAACCCTCAAGTGCCCGTAAAAACCCTTAAGTGCCCGGAAGCGCCCTCAAGTGCCCGTGAGCCTCCTTAAGTGCCCGAAAACGCCCTTGAGTGCCCGTCAGAACCCTAAATTGCGCGTCAGAACCCTTAAGTGCCCGTCAGCACCCCTGAGTGCCCGTCAGAACCCTAAATTGCCCGTCAGAACCCTTAAGTGCCCGTCAGCACCCCTGAGTGGTCGTCAGAACCCTAAAGTGCCCGTCAGAACCCTTAAGTGCCCGTCAGCACCCTTAATTGCCCGTCAGCGCCCTTAAGTACCCGTTAGAGCCCTTAAGTGCCCGTTAGCACCCTTGAATGCCCGGAAGCGCCCTCAAGTGCCTATCAGCACCTTTAAATGCCCATCAAAACTCTTGGGTGCCCGTCAGCGCCCTTTAGTGCCTGTCAAAACCTCAAAGTGCCCGTCAGAAACCCTAAGTGCCCGTCAGCATCTTGAGTGCCCGTCAGTACCCTGTAAAGCCCGTAAGTACCCTTGAGTGCCCGTCAGCGCCCTTAAGTGCCCTTCAGCACTCTTAAGTGCCCGTCAGAACCCTTGGATGCTCATAAGCGCCCTCAAGTGCCCGAAAGCGGCTTTAAATACCCGTCAGAAGCCCTAAGTGCCCTTCACAACTTTGTAGTGCCCGTCAGAACCCTTGAGTGCCCGTCGGAACCTTCAAGCGCCCGTTAGAGCCCTTAAGTGCCCGTCAGCGCCCTTGAGTGCCCGTTAAAAACCCTTGGGTGTCCTTCAGCATCCTTGAATGCCCGTTAGAGCTTGAGTTAAAAATAACGGATCTTTCAGATGCAACTCAACGCCGAGACTCTCCGTGACGACCTTCTGGTGGCAGCTCACCTGAGAGCCTCATTTCTGCTTCGCCAAATCGAGCATCACCTGAAGAAGCTGGCCGACGTCGGTCACGTCATCTTTGCCCTCAACATTGCCTCTACGGAAGGCGCCATGGTTCAGAAGGAATCCTGGGAGAAGAAAATGAAGATCTTCAGGTGACCGAAGAGACGATGGCTCATCTGATGCTGGCTCTGCACGATTCGCTGGAGACGACTTCGTTGACCCAACTCAAGCCGGCCGCCGCTCGGGCCATCGCCACCAACTCGCTCCTGCCGGCCTGCAAGAAGACGTCACTGATCAACGCCCTGGTCGGCTGGAGCCGTGGACAGAGGCCCGACGTCGTCCAAGACGTCTTCAGTCGGGTAGTCATCCGTGACGTCAAGATGGACGACGTGGCGAGGTTGAGACGCGGATTGGTTCGGGTGAGGAGTTTAGTGGGCACTTTAGGGGTTTGACGTTTTAGGGGCCACTTAAGTGGCAAAAAATGATGGCCTCTTTAGTCTAAAGACTTTAGAAGTCTGAGAGGTACTACTAGAGCCCTAAAACCACTATAGCAGTTACTTTGACGCGTAGTGGTTTCTTAAGAGGCAGTTTTAGTGATCACTTTAGTGTTTTTGAGAATTTTTTTGAAATAAAAAAAGAGCTTTTTTTCGGAAATTCATGCAGGTTTTGGTACTTACAGGAAATCCTAAATTTTTTTATTCATTTATTTCAGGTTCTGCTCGATCCCCACAACACTGGACGACCTGTGGTTGGTTTTGACCGCGAAAATAAGGTCTTTTTTTCTGTAAAATTCGAAGGTTTTTTTGAGAATTTGCCATGAAAATGAGACGTTGAGGAATTTCTGAAATGAAAAAAATGAGGAATTTCGAAGAATTGCATGTTTTTTTGGAGATTTTTTTGAGAAACATTTGAGATTTTTTTCAAAATTTTTTTCTTGAAACTGAGAGTTTTTTTCGAAGAACTTGAAGTTTCTTGACAAATTTTTTTCTTGCGAGATCAAGATATTTTTTTGAAAAAAATTCAGTTTTGAGCAATTTCAACCTGAAATTATTCAAAAAAATCAACAGGTTAGAAAAAAATTTTTTTGCAAATTAGAATTTTTTTCGCTAAGAAATGGGAAAAAAATTTAAAAAGTTGAAAAAAATTGGAAAAGCGTAGTTTTTTTCACCCTTTGACCAGTGAAAAAAATGATGTAAAAATTTCTGATTTTTGTGATTTTTTCTTTTTTGAGTTGATTTAGAGGCCAAAATTTGAACTTTCAACACTTAAACCCAATTTTTTTCCGAGTTTCAGCTCACCCTTCACATTGAGAATCCACAAGAAGCCGATGAGAATAAGTTTGTTTTGAAATTGTGATTTTTTGTGCTTTTTTCGGAGCGAAATGAGCCAAAAAATGTCATTTTTTAATCCGTTCAGAGCATTTTTCGTTGTGAATTTAAAATTTTTTCCAAACATTTTTTTTTTGATTTGAGAAAAATCTAGCTCATTTTAACCTTCAACTTCACTCAAGAATATTTGCTCCCTCAAAAACCCAAATTAATCATGAGTTCCAGGGTTGAACCGACGGCTAGCCCTTCAGAGGTGAATTTTTTTGATTTTTTTAAAAATTTTTTTCAAAAAGTTATTTTTTTCAGTCCTCATCCGACAGCAATACTGAGCTACTGAAGGAAGATTCGTCGAGGTATTTTTTTTTTTGATAAATTTTAATTAAGAAGGCCAGAGTGGTCCCTAGAGGGGCCTTTGAAAATTTCCCTCTAGGGACCACTTCACCTTCCCCTATAGGGAACACTAGACCTTGCAGAAGTGGCCACTCTAGGGGAGCATGCTAGTGGTTCTATACGTCTTTTTAACTGTCCTCAAGAAAAAATAAAATATCCCTATAGGGACCACTCAAGCGCCGCTATGAGACGTACCCTAAACCCCTATAGGAACCACTTGAATTTTACCCCTTCAGGGTGCACCTTTTTGACCCTATAGAGGCTGTTTATCTCCCTCACTCCTCTAGGGACCACTCTGGCGTTTTTCAGTGCGCTCTAAGGAACCGTCTCTTTTATTGGTTAGCCACGCCCCCTTTTCCACAGATTTTCGCGGCTCAAACAGTTGAAATTTTGGTACACTTTGAATATTATGGCAAATATTCTCATGACTTCAAAATGAGTATTTTTGGATTTTAGATTTTATCGATTTTATTGATTTTTTTCTGAAATTTCAGAGCTTCGACCCCGACCTCCACGGCTTCGTCTTCTTCGGAAGTCCGGTGAGAATTTTAATGTCTGAAACTCTCTCATGTTTACATGCTATTTCCACTCCTGTGAGAGAGAAGAGGGCGCAGACACGTCAGACATTTTTCAGGCCCACCCCACCGACCCGGGTTCAAATCGATGTCGGCTCAAGGCAGCCCAAAACTCGACATGGAGGGCCCTGGTCAGTAACTTCAGAGTGGTCCCTAAAGGGGTTGGGAGAAAAACAGCCCTTATTTGGGGCAATGAAGGGGTCCCTAGAGGGCTTAGTCCCTATAGGGGTTGAAATCTGACGCCTAAGGCCTGAGTGGCCCCTTTAGTGGTCTTGAAAGATGTATAGGAACTACACCCCTAGAGTGACCACTTTAAAAAACTTTAATTTCCCTTCAGGAGAGGTAAGGGCTCTAAAATTGCTATAGGGACCACTAAAGGGCCTCAAGGTTGCTTTAGGGACCACTCTGGCCTTTTTTTGAGAAAATACCTTTTTTCTCCCGATTTTTGTTTTTCTTCAACAGTTTTCCATTAGAGAAATTATTGATCAAGGATTTTTTTGGTGAAATTTGGATTACGGTGAGCATTTTTGTGCACACACATACTTTGTATGTTTTGGCGCGAGTTTAAAAAAACGGAGGATAAGTGGTCCCTCTAGGGACCCCTCGGATTTAAATTTTGAAAAAAAGCCGCGACGCGACCGCAAACGCATCTGGAACCATTCCAAAAAATTTTCAAAAAAAAATTTTCCAGCCCCTACACCCGTAGTGAAGTGGAGCTGATCAACGGCATGCCGAATCCTTTCGAGTTTGCTCAAATTTTCAATTTAATCGATAATTTTTTGTTTTTGCAGCTCGACCTCGGACCTCTCGTCACGGTATGACGTCATTTTTGGCTACTGTATTCAAAGTTTTACTGGATTATTTTTCAGGACCGCTTCTGATAGCCACACGAAACTGGAAGGTGAAGTAGTCCACCCGCGAGTTGGGCCTCCGATGTGATTTTTTGAGAGAGAACCGCGACGCGACCGCAAACGCTCCACTGAGTTTTTCGAAAAATGGAAATTTTTTGATAATATTTTCACCGTATTTCGTTCAGTTTACAGTAGAAACCGCGACGCGACCGCAACGCGTGTGGCTTTTTTTGGGTCCGAGATTAAATTTTTTCAATTTTTTTTGATACTTACATAGGCAAAGTCGGAAAGGTTGGAAAAGGCTCCATAGAAATTTTCCTTATAGGATGGAGAAGGCTCCCTTTTTGCACCCTTTTTGCAGCCTTTTGGAAGCCTTTTTGCTGCCTTTTTGCACCCTTTTTGCAGCCTTTTTGCAGCCTTTTTGCACACTTTTTGCACCCTTTTTGCAGCCTTTTTGCAGCCTTTTTGCACACTTTTTGCACCCTGTTTGCTGCCTTTTTGCTGCCTTTTTGCTGCCTTTTTGCAGCCTTTTTGCGACCTTTTTTCAGCCTTTTGGAAGCCTTTTTGCTGCCTTTTTGCACCCTTTTTGCAGCCTTTTTGCAGCCTTTTTGCACACTTTTTGCACCCTTTTTGCAGCCGTTTTGCAGCCTTTTTGCTGCCTTTTTGCAGCCTTTTTGCAGCCTTTTTGCACCCTGTTTGCTGCCTTTTTGCAGCCTTTTTGCTGCCTTTTTGCAGCCTTTTTGCGACCTTTTTGCAGCCTTTTTTCACCCTTTTTGCTGCCTTTTTGTTGCCTGGAAAAAAGCTGCTGTAGTGAACAGAAAACTGGTCCCTAGAGGGCTAAAACTTGGGTGGTCACTATAGTGATATTTGCCTCCTCTAGGGACCACTCTGGCGTTACAAATTTAAGAAATGTGTTCTAGCGATGATAACTGTTTCAAGAGTTTTATTTATACTTTTGTAAGTTTTCTCAGATTTACTCATTTCGTCAAACACTTCAGTTAGTAGTGTATCCAAATATTTTTCAAATTTCATTTTTTTTTTTTTGATTTGTTTTCAATTCCAGAAGATTCTCGAAAAGCGAGGTCAGCATGATCCGAGCCATTCCCGATCCGTTTGGGTTAATTTTTTTTTTCAATATTGTTTCAAAGTTTTTGTAAATTTTAGCCCTGACCCAACTAGAAGCCCGAGTGCTCCGCCCAACCGCCCGGAAAGTCCCAATCGTGAGAAACCACGAGTTTTTGTGAGGTTGGTTGGAAAATGCACGGAAGAGCTCATTAAGTCAGGAAAATGCGCTCTAGTGAAAACTTTGGCAAAAAAGAGGCGTGGCCAGCCAATCACTGACTTTTCCGCTGGAGCGCACTTTCGTTGAAATTTATTGATTTTTTCTCGAGTTTTCGTGAAGTTTGTGAAAAAAAGCCAGCAAGTGAAGTCAGCAAGTTTGCTCCAGTGAACACTTTGGCGAAAAAGGGGCGTGGCCAGCCAATCAGGGCTTTTGTTCGCTGGAGCGCGTTTTCGTCGAAACTTATCGATTTTTTCTCGAGTTTTTGTCAAGATTTTTATAAAATAACTGGGAACGGTTTATTCAATTCAGCAAGTGCGCTCCACTGAACACTTTCGCAAACAAGGGGCGTGGTCAGCCAATTAGAGCCTTTGTTCGCTGGAGCGCGCTTTCGTTGAAACCTATCGATTTTTTCTTGAGTTTTCGTGAAGTTTGTGAAAAAAGCCAGCAAGTGAAGTCAGCAAGTGCGCTCCCATGAACACTTTGGCAAAAAGGGGCGTGTCCGGCCAATCAGAGCCTTTGTCCGCTGGAGCGCGTTTCCATTGTGTTTTATTGATTTTCTGCGTTTTTTCAGGGCTCCTGACGGCTTCCAACAATATCATAGCGTTGGTTTGGGTCCTAATCGGTCAGTTTTTGAGAAAAATCCATTGGTCGCATTTGGAATGGCTCGAAGGGGCGGGGTTTAGATCAAACTCTCCTTGAAACATATGAGGGGCCGTTTACCTCCCCTATAGAGGCCCTGAAGCTTTCAAAAGTGGCCACTCTAATTTGTCTTTTTAGTTTTGAATATTTAAAAAAATTAAAACAAAACCCTGTAGGGATCACTTGAGCTTGAGGGGATTTAGGGTCAGATTTTAAACCCCTGTAGGGACGACTCTGGCGTACCTATTTGCCGATTGCAGTTACCTGTACACCCAAAGCGAAGCCGAGGACATTCAAGCCATTCCGGACGTTTTTTCGAGGTTATTGATTTTTCTCGATTATCGATTGATTTATTGATTTTTTTTTTTAGTGGTTCCCGGCCCACTAGCCCCTGCGTTTCCTCCGTCGAATCCGCCTACGCAAACGCCGTGAAACCTTCCGGATTCGTCACGATGCCTTATAATTGTATTATTGCGTCCATTTTTGTACATAGTCCATTCACCCCTAGCTTGAGGAAATAGTGCGCGGAAACTAGAGATTTAGACAAATTTGTCGCTTTTCTGTCCTCCTAACCTAGCTTATTTCTAGAAGGGTTTCCAAGCCAAAAATTCCGATCATAAATCCGAAAGTGGGCGTGGCTAGCAAATAGTAAAAGTAGTTCGCTGGAGCGCACTCTCCTCATGATTTTTCAAGGCTCAAAATTCTAAAAATTTGAAAATTTTCAGATCGTCCTGACTTTATCATCACCTCGTCGCAAATGAGCCCCGGGTAATTTTTTAGAATATTTAGTGACGTCATCACCGGAATGATGACGTCATTTTCAAAAGGATGACGTCATTTTGTTCAGGCCAAGAACGAATCATCACGGCTTACACAAGACGGCTTCAGAAGTCCTTGAACTCGAGAAAATCCCCCCAATGTTGGTTTTTTTTTCAAGATTCACTTACTTTTGCTCATTTTACCTCATTCTAGCAATCGATAACCGATTTAGTCACATCTATGGTTTCAAATCCGTATCGCTCATGTTATATCATTCTAGCGACTAATTACTAGTTCAAGCAGTCTGAAGATTTTTCCAAGAGTCCTTGTCATATTGCTCATGATACCTCATTCTAGCAATTGACCTCCAAGCAGTCCTCGGGTTTTTTTTTTCAAGTTTAACAGAAAACGTTACGTATTGCTCATGTTACCTCATTCTAGCAACTAATTACCGATTTCAGCAGTCAAACGCCCACGCGCCCAAATCGACAGGACTCTCCGAAAGCAGGTAAATTTTATTAAAAATCAAAAAGATGACGTCATTGAAAATCCTAATTTGGTGACGTCATGAATGAAAATTCCAGTTTTCGTGACGTCATAGAGCCCGAAGTTGATCAAAAATGAAGTCAATTTGTTTCCTAATGATCAATATGTCATCAAAACCGTTTTTCAAACTGATGACGTCATTTTTGATCATACAGAATGGTTAGAAGCTGTACAGAATATCATGACGTCACTATATTAAAACGGAAATTGAGCTTCCTGTTTGAAAAAATGTAGAATAGAAACTTTTGCTTTTTCTATGACGTCATTAGGGCGAGCCTGGAACGCGGCTTAATGACGTCATAAATCCCAAAATCTTTCCTTTTTCAGCCAAAATGTCGGTTCGCCTGTACCCCGTTTGAACGGCGACGACGCCTCGAACTCATTTTTTTTTTCCTTCGGCCATTTTTTTCCCCGCTTTTTGTCTTTTTTCGTGCTCGCGAAGTTTGTATTATTGAAGGATTTTTTCGGCTCAAAATAGCTTTTTTTTATTGGAAAACTTGCAGACTGTGAAAAAGAAAATGACTATGACGTCATAAAGGTTTTGAAGAATGACGTCATTTTTTCTCTCTGGTAGGGGTATGACGTCATCTTTCAGTCAAGCGTATGAAAACAATGACGTCATTGTTTCTAATCTCACCATTTACGTCACATGGAAAGGTTCTGTAGCTCGGAATCTGGCGCGGGATGGGCTATAACTTGAATCCTGACATGACGTCATAAAAGAGGCGGAGCTTCAACCAACTCTTATGATGTCATTACGGAGATTTCTATGACGTCAATTCAGAAAAAAAACCACGAATTTATTCGACTAATTTTTTTTGCCAATACAAATTAAACAGATAAAACAAACATTTTTGAATAAAATTAAATTATTTTTTGATGATCATCAAGCGAAATCACCTGTGGGTAGCCGTAACGCAAAACAAACATAGAAACAGTAAATTTCTCCATAAATTAGATTTAACAATGATTTATCGATTTTTTTTCTCATTTAAACAGTATCCATCATGTCGACGCCTTCCTGGGCCCGTTCTTCGCGCGTTTTTTCCTTGTTGAGCCGCCAGACCTTGAAAAAATCAAATGGAAAAATCGATAAAAAGAGATTTTTGAACACTTAAAATTCAGTCTTATCACTCAAAAATCGTCAAAAATCGATAAATTTACGACAAAACCAATTTTTCAGGGACTTTCAAGAGAGAAGAAAATCAATAATTACAAATTTTAGTCGAAGAATCGATGAAATGAAGGTGTCGATCACGAAAAAAATTTTTAGTCAAGGAAAAACTTTTTTTATTTTTACCAAAAAAATAGATAAAATGAGACTTTTTTTCTACAGAAAATTTGATAGAATGAGACTCTTGATCACGGAAAAAAATCGATAAAAAAACCTCAAATTACCAAAAAAATCGATAAAAAAAGAGATTTTTTTGTACACTCGAAAATTCGGACATCTTATCACCCAAAAATCGTCAAAAATCGATAAAATTGAGAATTTTATGACGAAAAAAACCGATTTAGGGGCTTTCAAGAGAAAAAGAAAATCGATAAAATACAAATTTTAGTCGAAAAATCGATAAAATGAGACTTTTTTCTACAGAAAAATCGATATGATGAGACTTTTGACCACGGAAAAAAATCGATAAAAAAACCTCAAATCCACGAAAAAAATTGATGAAATAAAGATTTTAATGCCGCCAAACTCTCTTGATTACGGGAAAATGGCAAAAGTTGAGCCACGAAAAATCAATAAAATGAAGTCTCACAAAAAATCGATAAAAAGAAGATTTTGGTTATGAAAAATCGATAAAATGAAGCTATTGATTATGTAAAAATCGATAAAATAAAGCTATTGATTACGGAAAAAATCGATAAAATGAAGCTATTGATTATGGAAAAATCGATAAAAACCTGAATATAAGACTCGGCAAGGACGATCATTTGGGGCAACATGTCCTTGACGTGCAAATCTTCCAATTCGAACCATTTTCCGGAGCCCTGAAAATCAAAAAATGCTTCTTGACTACGCCAGAGTGGTCTCTATAGGGGCCCTTGTAGGCTTCCCTTCAGGTTCATCGTAACTAGAGGAGGAATTTGAAAAAGTGGTCACTCTAGGGTTCCTATAAATCTTTTTCCCTTTCAAAGCAGGACAAGAAATCTAGAAACCCCTTTAGGGACCTCTTGAGCTCAGAGTCAGACTCTAAACCTCTATAGGGACCACTTTTTTCCCCTTTATAGGCCTTTGGTTTCCCCTAACCTCTATAGGGACCACTCTAGAGTTCTAAAGTTATCTTAGGGACCCTTGTAGGCTTCCCTTTACCTCCCCCTATAGGGACCACTAAATATTGGAAAAGTGGCCACTCTAGGGGAGCATGCTACTGATCCATATACGTCTATATATCTTCCAAAACAGAGCCGAAAAATTGAAAATCATTATAGGGAACCCTTGGGCTTCAGGGGTGAGGCTCTAAACCTCTACAGGAAAACCCTCTATTTCACCCCTATAGGGAACACTTTTTGTCCCTTATAGGTCATTTTACCCCCTAACCCCTATAGGGACCACTCTAGCGTTCTAAAGTTATCTTAGGGGCCCTTGAAGGCTTCCCTTTAGGGACCACTAAATATTGGAAAAGTGGCCACTCTAGGGGAGCATGCTACTGATCCATATACGTCTATATATCTTCCAAAACAGAGCCGAAAAATCGAAATGCCCTATAGGGAATCCTTGGGCTTCAGGGGTCAGGCTCTAAACCAGGAAAACCCTCATTTTTACCCCTATAGGGAGCACTTTTTTAGGCCCGTATAGGTCTTTTGTTTCCCCTAACCCCTATAGAGACCACTCTAGAGTTCTTAAGTTATCTTTGGGCCCCTTGTAGGCTTCCCTTTAGGGGCTTCTTTACCTCCCCCTATAGGGACCCCTTAAGCTTCAGGGGTCAGGCTCTAACCAGGAAAACCCTCAATTTTACCCCTGTAGGGACCGCTTCGAAAATGTGCTCGAGGGTGGCGTTGAACAAGTCTGGGGAAATTGTGTCCCCTTGACGCACTCCTTTCTGTATTCGAACTGGTACATCTTGTCCTCGAATTCTGACAGAGACTTCTGCTTCTTCGTAGATGTTTTTCAGAGTCATAACGATCTTCGAATGGACTCCAAACTCGCTGAGAGCCGTCCAGAGAGAGCCGAACTCCACAGAATCGAAGGCTTTCTTGTAGTCGACGAACATCAGGTACAAGGGGAACTTGTATTCCTGAGACTTCTGGATCATCTCGGTCACGACCAGGGTGTTTTCCGATGTCGAGAATCCGGATCGGAAACCAGTTTGCTCGATGGGTTGAGCAGCCTCTAGTTCACGCGTGGCTCTTCTTCGAAGTATCGAGGTGAACAATTTGTACACGACGGACAATAGTGCTACTGGTCGGTAGTTTCCTATGTCCAGGCAGTTTCCTTTCTTGTGGAGCAGTCGCACGACAGAGTCCGGCATAGATTGTGGAGCTCTTTCATTCGCGAGGCTTTCGTTGAACATCGTCACTAGGTGTGGAACGACGATATCTTCACATGGCTTTTCGCAAAGAAGATCGCTACGGGAGAAGACACATGGGCGAAGAAAATCGTGGAATGGCGACCATGGGAGAAAACGCGTGGAGTTGGACGACCCAAACCCCGTTGGCGAGATGACCTAAGAGCAGTTCTTGGCGAAAGATGGGCGACAGTTGCGCGAACCGACAAACATCTCTTCAAATATTCCATGATTCAGCAGATACAAGATTACTCTGAGGACTGAATAAATGTTAATGTAAATGTTAGGGACCGCTTTATTGTCCCCTATTGGTCATTTTTACCCCTCTAAACCCTATAGGGACCTCTGAATTGTTTGAAACCGAAGAACTCGTGGAATTCGTACCTGATGAACGAGTTGAACCCGGTAGCTTCCATCCTCGTATTTTCCCTCGTGGACGATATTCGCGACGAGATCATATGTCGTGAACTTGTGTGCGCCTTTAACATCGTCGGCAAGGCAATCGAATAAATCGACGTTGCTAAAAAGGTTCAGAAAATACTAAGGCTTTTTTTGCAAGTTCTAATATGCTCCATGGATAATTTATGAGTACTAATCGAGACTTCGGAAAATCTCAAAAAACTCCGCAAAAACGTATTGAAGGATTTATAATCTTGTTATAAATTCGTGTTATAAATTGCGCTCAAAAATTTTTTTTGCACTTTTCTCTAATCTCTCCTCTATCCCCTCACTCTCTCGCAGATGAGAAACCGACGGAAAAACTTGTAAGAAAAAGACTGCTAATGTACAGCGAAAAAATCACTAAAAAAAATAGATTTTTTCGAAAACTGTCACTTTTCATCAATAGAGCGCAATTGCTTCGAATTCGCCAATAATTTTTTTGCGCTTTTCTCTAATCTCTCCTCTAACCGTTCACTCTCTCGCAGATGAGAAATCGACGAAAAAAATTGTGAAAAAAGACTGCTAATGTACAGCGAAAAAATCACTAAAAAAAAATAGATTTTTTTCGAAAACTGTCACTTTTCATCAATAGAGCGCATTTGCTTCGAATTCGCCAATAATTTTTTTTGCACTTTTCTATGATCTCTCCTCGAACCCCTCACTCTCTGGCAGATAAGAAATCGGCGAAAAAATTTTCAAAAAAGGAGCAAGACTGTACAGCGACAAAACCACTAAAAAAAAATAAATTTTCCCGAAAACTGTCACTTTTTATCAATAGAGCGCATTTGCTTCATATCGCCAATAATTTTTTTTGCACTTTTCTCTAATCTCTCCTCTAACCCCTCACTCTCTCACAGATGAAAAATCGACGAAAAAATGTGTAAAAAAGAGAAAGACTGTACAGCGATACAACCACAAAATAAAAAATAGATTTTTTCGAAAACTGTCACTTTTTATCAATAAAGCGCATTTGCTTAGAATTCGCCAATAATTATTTTTTGCACTTTTCTCTAATCTCTCCTCTATCCCCTCACTCTCTCGCAGACGAGAAATCGACGAAAAAATGTGTAAAAAAAGACCGCTATTGTACAGCGAAAAAACCACTAAATAAAATTTTTTTTTGAAAACTAACACTTTTTATCAATAGAGCGCATTTGCTTCGAAATCGCCAATAATCGTTTTTTGGCATTGGGACGCATTTTCTGTGAGATTTTAACAAAAAAGCTCATTTTTCTCCAAATTCGATATTTTTTGTTCATTTTTCCATACGAAAAAGCGCTGAAAACATCGTTCTTCTTCAAATTTTTCATAATTTTCTGACGAAAAAGGCAAAAAACAAACATGATCGGGAAATTGACGATGGTCGGGTTCTTCTCAACGAACCACTGGTTCTTTTGGAACCGTTTGTAGGTGATGATGAGGAAATCGGGCAATTTCAACAGCTCGAAACGCTTCATGATGTTGTCCTTGTACGTTTTGTACTCCTGAAAAACGAGGAAAATTGAATTCTACTGATAAAAAAATCAGCTTTGAAGGTCAAAAACCTGGATTTTTTTTTTGAAGGAAACGGCAAAACCTCTAGTTTTTTTCTATTTTTTTCATAAAATCCATGTAAAAAAACACTTCAATTCCTATTGAAAAAAACTCAAAAAAACAACGAAAAAAATTCAAGAAAATCTGAAAATAAAGACAAAAAAATTTGCTGAAAAAAATCACGAATTTTTCAAAAAAATATTTTTTTAGGTGCTACCGTAACCTCTCTTTACCCTCACAAATTCGCTTCGAGACCCATCAAAACTTATAACTTCAATTTTTTTTTAGATTCAGTGACTAAAAAAATAAAAAAATCGTATAAAAAGCTCTCCAAAAAAACAACGAAAATTGGAAAAAAATTTGGAAATAAAGACTGGAACTCTATTAAAAAAATCATGAGTTTTTCCAAAAAAATAAAAAAAATATTTTTTTGCGACTACCGTAATCTCCTCTCATCCCTCCAAATTCGCTTCGAGGCCCGTCGAAACTTATAATTTCAACATTTTTTTGGCTTCTTTAAAAAAATGGCAAACTTTTTTTAATTTTTCCATGAAATTTGTGCGTAAAATGTTTTCAATTTCTAAAAAAAGTCGAGATCAAGAAAAAAATGATAAGAATTGGAAAAAAAGAAAAAGTTCATTGAAAAAAATAGAGAATTTTCTGGAAAATATGTTTTTTGCTACTACCGTACCCTCTCTTAATTCTTTCAAATTCGCTTCAAAAACCCAAATTGCTCAAAAAACAAACTTTCTTATTTTTTTAATGAAAATCATGTAAAAAAATATTCAAAAAAACAACGAAAAATTATGAAAAAAACTCGCTAAAAAATCACTTATTTTTCCAATATTTTTCCACTACCGTAACCTCCTCTCCTCTCCCCAAATTCGCTGCGAGACCCACCTTTTCGACCTGTCCGTTGAACTTTTCCAACAACACGTGCAGCGGCACCTGCGGGATGATGTTCTGCATTTGGACATCACTGGAAAAATATCGATTTTATTGATTTTTGAGCTTTTTTCTTACCGATACAACGGCGGTGGCGGCAAATCGAGGGTCAGGAACAAAAATGGCGATTCAGTGACGGTTTCTGAAGGGAAAAATGGTGAATTCCGTAATTTGGAAGCTCGGAAAAATAAATAGTAACATCATACAGATTGAAAATAATAAAAAACTCAAAAAAAGTCGCAAAAAAACTGGGAAAAGGAAGCTTTCTTTCGAAAATGTCTTCAAAAACTACTGAATCGATTTTTTTTTTCAAAAAAGGCTATAGTGCCTCTATGAAAATGGGATCGTCGCCACTTAAGGGGCCACTCCAAGAGCCCCTCTAGGGACTACTCTGAAGTTCCTAGCTGTTCAAACGTTCCCAAAATCTTAATTTTGAACGTTCCAAGGGGTCCTCATAGAATTCTGCTCTAGAGACCACTATAGGGGGCAATTTTAAGGACCCTAGAGAGGTCAAAAATTGTAGTGGTCCCTAGAGCGCTTTCTCAGCGGTCCTGAAGCTTCAGTGGTCCTTATACAAAAAAAAAATTTTTTTTTGCTTTTTTGAGACCCTATAGGGACCACTAAGAGAAAATTTCGGGGCTCGTTATTTGGACGCCTTAACACGCTGTCTCCGTTATTCTCAAAAATTTCTAAAAGCAACGGGTACAATAAAAAAAATATTTTTTGATTTCGACAAAACTTCATCCAGTGTGATAACCCATCATCAGAAATGCGGACCCAACTTTTTGAGCCATTTCCTTTTACTGTAGCCGGGTTACGGTAGGCAGGTGGGCACCTGCGTATCTCAGTATTTATGAGTTTTTATTAGGCAAGTGATATATCAATCGATAGGTAATTCAATTTTAGGAACTTTTACAGTACATACCATCATGGGTTACGGTGGGAAAAATTTTTGAGTTACGGTACTTTTTTTGTGTCTGCCGAGTCAGTTTTTTTCGACCACCATGAGCTTGAGCCAGGAGATCCATTCTTCCTAACTTCTCAAAAGATACCTTATGAGAAGCTGTACAAGCTGTTACTAGTTTGAAAAAATCCTAGGTGGACCATCATTTCGAAAAATCGCCTCGAAGGCGCGCAATCGTGGTCTTGCGGCGGCCAAGTGGGTGAAGTCCATGATGCCTGACGGCTCATTCTTCAGAGATCCATTCCAATCTTTGTTTTCATTTCACTAATAGACATCTATTATTGATTTTTATTTCAATTTGAGATGTTTTCGGGTTGACCATCATCTCGAAATTTCATTTTGAACCCAAATTTGGCCTAAAATGGCCGACTCGGCCTTTTTCACGGGATCCCTGACCCCGTATGTGACCGTTCTCAACTTTTTTTCCTTTCTTAAACATGAACAAGAGTGTCTGAACAACAGTTTTATAACAATCGGAAACCATCTTTGAGAGGACCATCATCTCGAAATATCGATTTTAACCTGAATTTGGCTTGAAAACTTTTTGGTTTTACCCTTTTCAATGAGATCATTGGTTCCCTCAATACAGATCTTGGCCCTTTTTAACTTTTTTTGAGAAACATGAACAAGAGTGAACTGAAACATAAAAAGTTTTATAACATGGACCATATTCGAGAAATGACCATACCTCGAAATACCCGACTTTTTAAACTGAAAATTTTGGCTTGAAAATCGAAATATTTTTGGTTTATTTCTTTTCAATGAAATTATTGGTTCACTAAAAATAGTCACAAGACGAATGTCTTGTTTTTTTAGGTATGAAAAAAATTTTGAAGATTTAGAACTACTATTTAGGTTATAATAAAAAAACATTTATAAAAAAATCACCTTGAAAGTGAAGTTTCAACCTCACCGGTAGTCAGAAAGACGAGTTTTTTTCTTTTTATGAAAAAAAATTTCTTGGTATTTCACATTTCTCATTTTTTTGATTAGCTGTTTTGAAAATAAATTGGCAGAATAGATTTCGATGTAAATGATAAAAAAACTTCAAATGGGGAAACTAAGCCGATATTTGAGTTCAAAATCGATATTTCGAGATGATGGTCCTCTCAAAAAGGGGTTCCGATTGTTATAAAACTGTTGTTCAGACACTATTGTTCATGTTTAAAAAAAGAAAAAAAGTTGAGAACGGTCACATACGGGGTCAGGGATCCCGTGAAAAAGGCCGAGTCGGCCATTTTAGGCCAAATTTGGGTTCAAAATGAAATTTCGAGATGATGGTCAACCCGAAAACATCTCAAATTGAAATAAAAATCAATAATAGATGTCTATTAGTGAAATGAAAACAAAGATTGGAATGGATCTCTGAAGAATGAGCCGTCAGGCATCATGGACTTCACCCACTTGGCCGCCGCAAGACCACGATTGCGCGCCTTCGAGGCGATTTTTCGAAATGATGGTCCACCTAGGATTTTTTCAAACTAGTAACAGCTTGTACAGCTTCTCATAAGGTATCTTTTTGAGAAGTTAGGAAGAATGGATCTCCTGGCTCAAGCTCATGGTGGTCGAAAAAAACTGACTCGGCAGACACAAAAAGTACCGTAACTCAAAAATTTTTCCCACCGTAACCCATGATGGTATGTACTGTAAAAGTTCCTAAAAATTGAATTACCTATCGATTGATATATCACTTGCCTAATAAAAAAACTCATAAATACTGAGATACGCAGGTGCCCACCTGCCTACCGTAACCCGGCTACAGTAAAAGGAAATGGCTCAAAAAGTTGGGTCCGCATTTCTGATGATGGGTTATCACACTGGATGAAGTTTTGTCGAAATCAAAAAATATTTTTTTTATTGTACCCGTTGTTTTTGAGAATAACGGAGACAGCGTGTTAAGGGTCCTACAGCCCCTAGAGGGACCACTCCGAATTTTCTCGAACTTTTGAGAAAAACTGTGATTTATTCAAATTTATACCTTTTTTCACCATTTGAAAATTTTAAAACCTCAAAAATCCCCTAAAAATCGATTATTCACCTTGATATTCGGGCATTTGGAGTTTCCGGACCTTCTCCTCCTCGGTATCTTCTGCCGGGACGACTTTCCTCGAATATTGTCGCATTTTGCCGCGGAACGTCCTCAAAATTCACAAAATACAAGGGAATTGGGGTACAAATCAACTTGTAAACGATCGAGGAATTGGTTTTTTGGTTTCCGTTCAACGCCGTGTGGAGGGTGTTCAACAGGAACGTCAGGTAGTCAGCGGCGTCGCCTGGGAAAAAAATTATAAGGCAAACTCAAGAGGATCTTTTCTTTTAGAATCAAGTGAAGAATTCGAGTATATCAATCAGAAAAGCGTAAAAACGATTTAAAATTGAAAGTTTGCGATGGAAAATGTGTAAAATTGAGTTCATAAAGTCCTTGCTCTCTATCAAAAACCTCCTGTATGAAAATGAAAGAAATTCTAAAAAAAAAATCGATTTTCCAAGATTTTACGGATTTGAGAAAACGATATTTTCACATTCAATTTTCGCGCTAATTTCACCACAGTATCATTCGTGTCGATATTTTATCGCGCATGTGACCGTGGTCCTTTAATAGCGCTATTAAAGGATCATCCGCGCTATTAAAGGAGCATCATCGCTTCAAAAATTGTGGCGTTTTCCGCACGCAAAAATCAAGCACAGAAGAAAAAAAAAGCTACAGTAATCACAGGTTTTTCTGTTCTACAAGACCGCAAGAACAAAGGTCTTGAAGCAAATTTTGGTATACGGTATTTCTTGCCAGATACTGTGGGAAACTGACTAGTTTAGAGGTACCTCCAGGACTTGGAAAGGACACTTAAGTGGCCACTAAGACCACCTCTAAAAAAAGCCTTTTTTTATATGGGAGGTTTTTTTAAAAAAATCTGGGAAAAACGTTACTCTTTCATTCAATTTTTCGCGCTAATTTCACCACAGTATCATTCGTGTCGAGATTTTATCGCGCATGTGACCATGGTCCTTTAATAGCGCTATTAAAGGATCATCCGCGCTATTAAAGGAGCATCATCGCTTCAAAAATTGTGGCGTTTTCCGCACACAAAAATCAAGAAGAAAAAAAGCTACAGTAATCACAGATTTTTGTGTTCTACAAGACCGCGAGAACAAAGGTCTTGAAGCGAAAGTTAGTATACGGTATTTTTTGCAAGATACTGTGGGAAACTGACTAGTTTAGAGGTACCTCCAGGACTTGGAAAGGACACTTAAGTGGCCACTAAGACCACCTCTAAAAAAAGCCTTTTTATATGGGAGGTTTTCTTTGAAAATAACTTTTCCAATTTTTTCCTTGCTATCAGAAGTGCAGATCGCAAAAGTGGCCCCTAGAGGGGACCTTTAAGAGTCTCGAAGATCGCTCCTTTAGGGAGCCCTCTAGAGTTCCTGAATACCCAAAAACCGACTCTGTTTGATGAACTGGAACTTTTTGTTGGAGCAGACGACGACGGCCTGGAGCATTTCGTGTGGCGAGACGTGTGTACGGAAAGCCCTCGGGTTCCACAATTTTCTGGAAAAACGTCAAAGTAATCTCCCTAAATGGCCTGAAAAACCTGATAACTTCACCAAATCTCATGGGCAGAAGGGTCAACTTGTCGCCGGGGGGTCTTCGAATATTCGCGTAATTTTCTTCTCGTAGGAAATAGTCACGAAGAGGTCCGACGTGGGAAAGAGCCTAAAAATGACATCGAAATTAAGGAAAAAGTGATAAAAATGTTCGTCTGGAGGGCTCTTCGCTAGAGGCCTCTTAAGGGGTCCCTTTACTACCTTCTATAGGGGCACTGAAGCTTTTTAAAAATTTTCACTCTAGTGCAGCATGCTAGTGAACCCTATAGGGGTCAATGAGGCTATAGGAGCTTGCGGGTCTCCTCTTAAACCCCTACAGAGACCAACTAATCTTTACCACTCTAGGGACCACTAATTCGCCCCTTGACGGGTTTTTCCTTTTCGCTAACCCCTCTAGTGACCACTCTGTCGTTCCTAGGCTCAAAATTTTCCTGAAAATCTTTACTCCCCCTATAGGGGCATTAAAACTTGCAAAAGTGGCCACTCTAGGGTGCATGCAACTGATCCTTATACGTCTGTCTAGCTTTCAAAACAGAACCAAAGAATTAAAAACCCCCATAGGGGCCACTTAAGCCTTTTAAGTCAGGTACCAACTATTCTCTACTACTCTAGGGACCATTATTTCGCCCCCTAGAGGGTCTTTACTTTCCCCTAACCCCTCTAGTGACTACTCCGACACTCCAAAGCTGTTTTTTGCTGAAAACCCTTACCTCCCCTCTAGGGGCATTAAAATACGGAAAAGTGGCCACTCTAGGGGAGCATGCTAGTGCTCCTTATACGTCTTTAAAGCTTTCAAAACCAGGGAACCAAGGAAATCAAAAACCCTATAGGGACCACTTAAGCTTCAAGTGCTAAAGAATTTCCAGAACCGCCATAGCCCTCTAGTGACCCCTATTTTGTTCCCTAAAGTGGCCTTTTTCTCCTAATCTCTTTAGTGAACGCTCTGCTGTCTCAATGTGTGTTTTTTTCATCCAAAATTTCTCTAAAATGATCAAGACGCCCATTCTCTTCCCCCTATAGGAGACGCGGAAGTGGTCACTCTAGGGGAGCATATTGGTGTTCTCTAAACGTCTTTTGGCTTTCAAATCAGAACCCGTGAAATCGAAGAACCCTATAGGAACCACTTAAGCTTCAAGTGCTCAAGGTTCTCCAGAACCTCCATAGCCCTCTCTTACCTCTTTAGGGGGCATTTAAGCTTTCAAAAGTGGCCACTCCAGGTGGGGGCACGCAAATTAAAAGACCCCTGTAGGGACGACTCAAGCTCTAGAGACTCTTGGGTCAGAATCTAAATTCCTAAAGGGACCACTTAATCTTCATCCCTACAGGGACCACTATTTCGGCCCCTAGGAAAATACCCCTATAGGGACCACTCAAGCTCTAGAGACTCTTGGGTCAATTCCTAAATCCCTAAAGAGACCACCTGATCTCTACCCCTCTAGGGACCACTATTCCGCCCCCTGGAGGGTCTATTTCTCTCCCAGCCCCTCTAGTGACCACTCTGGCGTTCCTAAGTAGTTTAAACACCTTTAAAACACCGAAACTGGTTGGAATTTTCAAAGGAATCCGAATTTTTTGCCATGAAATGACGCTTTTGAAAGCCCCCCTGAAACAATCACGGACATGAAGAACGACGTTGGAGTAGTCGTTGGCCTTGATGTTGTTCAGGCCGACGACGCCGGGGAAATACGTGACGTCATCGTAGGCTCGAGCCATTCTCGTCTGCTTATCCAACGTTCCGATCAACGCCTTCGTGTACGTCGGCTTCAGGACGTACTGCAAGGAATTTAGAATAGTTTACTGTTTCAAAAAATTCGGGGGTCCTTTTATGGCATATTTCAGTCAAAAGCTGAGGAAATCGAATAGTTTATGAATTTTTTTAAGCAAAAAAAATCCAAAAGTTAAATATTTCTATTCATTTTTAATTGAAATTGAATCAAAAAAATCGTTTCCAATCGAAAAAAAGCTAGAAAAATTCCTTTTTTTGTTTTTTTCTAGCCAACCATTTCCTCATAAAAAAATGACTATTTTTTTCAACTTTTTTTAGGATGAGTTAGTACAAAAAAACGTGACAAAAGAAACTACACCTTTCCATTTTTTTAATTAGATTTCAATCTGAAAGTGTAAAATTTGATCAGAAAAACTCCGAAAATACGCATTTTTCTGCGGATAAACTATGAAAATCCTATTTTTCAATGTAAAAAACGAAAAATTCGCAAAATATTTCTCAAAAAATTCAATAAAACGGCCTTATTTTTTTATCTCGAAATTGGAATATAACGAATAAAAATTGATATTTTCACTCTCCCAAATTTTTCATTTAAATGGACAAAAGTCAAAATCGCTACACCTACCTTTCCAGACAATTTTTACAAAAATCAACGAAAATTCATATCTTTTTGAGGAAATTTGTTTTTTTCTAAAAAAATTATAATCATTTTTTTCAAAAAAATCCCTGTACTCATACTCTTCAGATAACTTCAGAAAGCAAAAAAATTTATCATTTTTTTAAAGTAAAAAAATCCATTTTTTTACCTTCAAGGACGGGTCACTGATCTCATAGTTATCATGCAAATATTTAATTTCAAAAATCTCCAAGATCCCAATTTTTTTTAGAAAAATTTCCCAACATATAACGTAAATTCATTAACTTCAAGAAACCCGTATTTTAGGCAAAATGACCTCTTTTTGCCTCGAAAAAATAAAAATCCGCAAAATCCTTGATATCTACTTCAAATTTGAACATAAATTCTAGATAAACTGACAAAAAAATAATCCATTTTCAAGGTGAAAAAAACTCGCTTTTTTTCCTGAATTTTTTTCAAGTGAAAAAAATTACTTTATTTTATTTTTTTAAACCTTTTTTTCGATAATTATTTCATTTAAAAAAATGATTTTTCGACAATTTGAACCCTTTTTTTCATGTGGAAAGACGACTTCTCTCACAAGTTTTTTTATTAAGTGAAAATTTTTTTCACTTTTTTTACCTTGATATCCTCCAAGGACGGGTCACTGATTTCATAATTGTCAGGCAAGCAGTAGAATTTCAAAGTGGACAAGTTCAAGAAAAACACGATGATCCGTGTCCAGTGCATGCGTATACGCATGGGTGTTGGTTCCACGGCCCTAAAAATTCAAAAATAAATTAAAATAACTGCTAAAATCCGTTTTTTGATAGTCTTAATGATCTCAAAAAAATCTTCCAGCACTTAAAAATTCATTCAAAAAAATTTTTTTGGAAGGAAAAAAACGAAAAAAACTATTTCTAATCAAAAAAATTACGACTACTAGATCAATTTCTAAATTGAAAAAAATTGAAAAATGCTTAATATTGAAAAAAAAAATAAGGGAAAAATACTGTTTCTCGTTCAAAAAAATTGAGAAAATGCTGCTTGAAAAATAAAAAAATATTTTTTTCGTCCCTGAAAATGAACCTTAAAATTCAATTAAACTGCCAAAAAAATCTCTTCGCAGTTGAAAAATTTCCCTGAAATATTCACTAAATTTAACAGTTTTTTTCTTTGAAAAAAATGATAAAAAGAAGAACGTTTTTTTATAAATTTTTCGACTTGAAAAAAATATATTTCGCAACTTAAATATCATTAAATTGCTGAAAAAAATCAACAGAAATAATGAAAAACTTTTTAGGAAAAATTTTTAACCAAAAAAACAGGACGATTCGGAAAAAAACACTATAAGGGTCACTTAAATGGCTACTTGGAGAGGACCCTAAAGTGGCCACTAAACTATTTGGGGCCTTAGTGGCCACTATAGCAGTTTTGATAGTCTAGTAGTATCACTTAGGCTTCTAAAGAGGTCACTAATATTCAGCCACTCAAGTGGCCACTTATCCGACTACTATAGTGGCCACTAAAACGTCAGAACCCTAAAGTGGCCCCTAGAAGTTTTTCTAAGTTAATTTCGCTGGTTTCGGAGCAAATCTGAAACCGAAAAGTGATCTACGAACCTGGAAATATTTCCCGCAGACCATACAAGCGTAGACGTTCAAGTGCGACAATGAAACGGAGCACAATTTTTCGAAATCAAAGTCCAAAACGGATCTTGAAAAAGAAAAAATCAATAAATCGATTATTGATTGATTGGAAACCGATCGATAGTGTCCAAGTAGGGACAACTGCGGCTGGCTTTTTCTTCCTGAGCTTTTCGCATCGACCAGACCGGCTCGTCGTCGTCTTCCGGGTACTTTCCGGACTGAATTTCATTGGGAAATCGAGAAAAATTGATAGATCCATGTAAAACAAAGGCTAAACTGCTATTTTGAAAGAAAATGACTCTAAAAATTGGCAAATTCTTTGGAAAACCTTTACAGCGGCTTTTTTTTGTTTTCAAAGCGTTTTCCGGACTGTTAAATTGTTGGAAAAATCGAGAAAAAAATTGATAGATCCATGTAAAACAAACGACATTTTGAATTTTTTTCAGTTTTCAAACTTTTTTTAACTTCAAAAGGGCTTTCCGGGCTGAAATTCGTTGCAAAATATTCGAAAATTCAAAAAAACTCATGAAAAAAATGAGGGCTAAATTGAAATTTTTGTGGGAAAATGATCCTAAAAAAATGGTAATTCTTCTTTTTAAAAAAACCGGTTGAAAACAAATTTATTTATTTTTCTAAGCACTTTCCAGACTGAAAATCGTTGGAAAAAAAGTTCAGAAATTCGAAAAATTTCATGAAAAAAATGATGGTTTATTGTAATTTTTGAAAGAAAAATTACTCTAAAAATTTGGCAAATTCTCTGGAATAACCTTTTGAGAACAAATTTATTCATTCTTACAGCATTTTTTTCGGACTAAAATTCGTTGGAAAAAAAATTCAAAATATCGAAAAAAATGAATGTAAAATAAAAAGCTAAATTGCGATTTTTGTTGGAAATATACTCTGAAATTTGGCAAATTACCCTTTTTTCGTCGACTAAAACACTTTTTCGGATTGAAAATCGCTGCAAAAACTTTAAAAACTTCGAAAATGAGCATATTTTCGTGAAAAAAGGCCTAAAAACTTTCCAAATCATCAGAAAATTGTAAAAATACCTTTACACCTGAACAAAAATTTTTTTACCATCAATTCTTCTTCAATGAGTCGTTTCCTTTCCAGTTCCCTGGCCGTCAACGGCTTTGGCGGCTCTCGGACCTTAAAAAAATGGATTTTTTTAACGGAAAATATTCATTTCTGTCCAAATTTGCGACTAAAAAAATGAAATTTACAGCGGAAAAAAAGTTCAATTTTCGTGTCAAAATAATGATTTTGGAGCAAAAAAATAATCGATTTCTGTGCAATTTTGCAATGCAAAAAAATAATTTTTTTCAACAAAAAAATGTGAAATTTTTCTCCAAATCTGCATGAAAAAAACTGATTTTTTTCAACCAAAAAAATTAGATTTTTTTGTTGAAAATTGGGCCAAAAAAATAAATTTGTAAGCGAAAAAAATCTCAACGTCTTTTTGAAATTCGTGACAAAAAAACCAATTTCTCAAGCAAAAAAAGTTGAATTTCTGTTCAAATTTGCAACAAAACGCACCTCGCCCTCCTCGATTTCATTCCCATTTTTCCTCCTCCTTCACTTTTTTTCGATTCCGAGTGCTTTGACGACGATTTTTTTCCTTGTCCTAAATGAATTTTTTTATGGATATTTATTTTTTTAGAAAAAAAATCAAACCTTATCTCTATCACTTCGGCTGCTTTTTCTCCTTCTTGTGATCTTTTATCTTTATCGTCGCCGCGACGTTTTGGAGATCTTAAAATGATAAAAAAATGATCGAAATATGAAAATAGAGCGTTAATTAGTAAGGTAACAGGTAAGAAAAATTAAAAACCGAAAAAAATCCGTATTTCGAGCAAATTTTCAAAAGAAAACAATGAAAAAGGTATGAAAGAATACCTAAAAACTTGAGAAAAAAATCTAGGAAAATAAAAAAAATAATAATTGACCGAAAGCTCAAGATATTGAAGAAAAAATAAGATTTTAACTTGAAAAATTGCATTTTGAAAGAATTTTCCATGAAAAAGGTATCAAGAAAAACTTATAAACTTCTAAAAAATCTGAAAAATCAATTCAAAACCATAAAACAAGGTCCAGTCTTCAAAAAACCTTTGAAAAAAGAAAAAAAAAACTTTGGAACATCTCGTTTTTTACAAAACTACTATAAAAACACCCAGAAAAAAACCTATTTCAAAGTTTCGAAAAAAACGTTAAAATTATGTTAAACTGAAAAACGTATAAAATAAACGGTATTGGAGATTGTTTCAAGGATTAAAATCATCGGAAAATATTTTTTTATTCAGGTGGCTTTTAACTACAAAATCTCTATACCAAAAAAATTTCAACCATTTTTTTTTCGAAAAAACAAACCTCGAACTCCTCCTCCTGTCTTTATCCTTATCTTTCCGGGAACTTCTATCTTTTTCCCTTTCTCGATCTTTTTCCTTCTCTTTTTCACGATCCCGGTCAGATTTCCGGTCATCTCCTGAAAATTTGTCATAAAAATCCCAAATAAAAAAACGAACTAGAACTGCGTTCCTTCTTCTCATGGTCTTCACTATCGCGACGCGATTTTTTGCTCAAAGTGCCGTCTTCTGAAATAATAAACTTCAAAATAAGCTTTAAAATTGATTTTTCCACCATCATCCGCTTTTCTGGATCGTTTCGGGCGATGCTCCTCCTTTTTCTCGACTTCTTCCTCGTCGTGATGGCTTTTCCCATTGGATTTATGCGATGGGGAATGGTCAGCCATCTAAATATCCCGATAAATGAAAGCAAAATCTCGTGAAAAAAACGCGGAAAGCATCGAAAAACGGCAAAAATTGTTCAGAAAAAAAAAATAGACTTCAGTATCATTTTGAACATAAAAAGTTGACTTCAAAATTTCATCTCATTTGAAAAATATCTTATAAAGTTCAAATCTCTTCAGTTAATGAACGGTACGAGAAAAATAAAGATAAAAATAACAAGACAATTCGAAATTTTTAAATAAAGCGGGCTACGGTGGTCCAAATTTCCGTGAATGTGCATGCACGGAAGCCAGTCACCGTACACCAAAATGCAAAATTTCAGATTTTGCTCGTTTTGATGGGGTTTTTTGTTGTTTCATTCAATAAATATGGATAGAGTTGACAATGTTTATGAATAAACAACACGAAAAGCGAGAAAAAGTCTTTATTTCTTTAAAATCAGCCAAAAAAATCGTCGTCGCTGTCGTTGTTCAGGAAGGCGGCCGACATGCTCGGTTTGTTCACTTTTTTCGCGGGCATCGAGGGTTTTGGTTTGAATCCAACGAATTCGTCGTCACTGCTGCTGTCATGTCTCTTCGAGAGGTACTGAGAGAGGAGATTTGTCTCTTTTTTCGGCTCAGAGCTGAAAAATCTTCTTTTTTTATTTGTCGTGCAGGGAAAACCGTACATTTTGACGCTTTTCACAGGTTCGACGGGTTTTCTCGGCGTCTCATCGCTTTCCGAACTATTTCCGGGCTTTTGCCCGAGTAAATTCATCATTTGCGAGTAGGCGCTGGACGATTTGGCTGAAAAAAGGGACCCTTATTCAGAAAATTTTCAAATTCCGAAGAAACCTTCCTCTTTTTTCGCGACTTCAACTTTTTCCACTGGTTTTTGAGGAGCTGGAGGTTGAACCGGAGCTACTTCTTCATTTTGTTGAACTAATGGCTCAGGATTGCTCAGATTAACAACAGAAGGAATTGGGGCGGGAATTTGAACTTGAGGTTCACGGAGAATTCGAACGGAGGTCGGCTGGTTTTGAAGCGAAAATTGGGGCTCGGCCTGCCAAGACGGTGGGATTTTACCGGCTCGGATGTCTGAAAAGTCATTTTTCACGTTCCATGATCAATATCTGAGCGAAATTTAAATATTTAACCTTTAATAAAATTTCCAGAAAAAAAAAACTTTTAAGAAAATTAGCTTCAAGACTTTCAGAATGAAGGTTTAACACGTAAAAACAAAAAAAATAAGACACTTAAAAAATATAAAATTCACATAAAAATGTTTGGAAGCCAGCTAAAAGTGAAAAAAATTAGCCTTGGAGCGCAATTGCATCTCAAAAAAATGGCTTTTTTTCATAATTTTTATATAATATTTGTCTCTTTCATATGTACATTGGTGAGAAACTACTAGAAAAATCAATTTTCGAAATTTTCGCTTGTTTTCTCTGGCTCTCCTCATTTTAATTATCTTTTTCCCTCTCTGACCATTATTTTGAAAATCACTGCATTGAGCTTTCTTTTTTATTTAAACAGTTAACATTACAAAAAATTCAGTGCAATTTTCCGGATTTAGAAACGCCAGAGTGGTCCCTAGAGGGGCAACGTTAAGTGGCCTTGAAATTTCCCTCTAGGAACCCCTTGACATTCCCCAAGAGGAGCCACTGAAGCTTTTAATTGAGTATGACCACTCAAGGAGAGCACTAAAGTGGTCCCTATACGTATTTTTCCCTTTCGAATCAGAAAAAAAAACCAAAAAATCACTATAGGGACCTTTAAAGCTTCAGAGGCTTCAGAGGGACCAGACCCTAAATCCCTCTAGGGAGCACTATATGTAGGGACCGCAGACGAATTTTCAAAAAGTTTTTTTCTGCAATGAGCTTTGTATGGTTTGATAGCTGTTTCGATTTAAAACTCAGAACCGTTTAGTTTTTCGAAAAAGATTGAGGATGAAAAAAGTTATGACGAAAAATGTGGCGCGCCGCGCACCATTTTTTTAGTACTGAAATTTTGGTGTTATCCATTTTTGACATTTTTCTCGATTTTTCTTCTAGAACAAGTTTTGATACTGGTCTATTATGATGTAACAAATCATAATAGAGTGCTAAAATGATAAAAATTTGCTAGTTTGCCGAAAAAGTCGGTATTTTCCAGAAAACAAAAAACTGACGCTTGCAGGCATCGAACTCGCGACCTCAAAATGAAAAATCGGAGCGCACGCGCTGCGCCAAGCTGTTAGGTCTAGCGAGAGGAGCTTCCATCCGCCATACCCTTGAGCCGTATGGATAGCTTAGATTGCCTACTTCAAAAATAAAATTTTGAAGTAATTTAGCTATTTTTAACAGAGTATGTTGGCAAATTTTTTTACTCAAACTTTCCGTGGAATTTCCCTTCGAAAAAAACTGTTTTTATTAGTGCTTTTTTTGCCTCGTTTAACGATCGCTGCATTCAAACGGCCCCGTAAATTTTTTTGGCAAAGACGAATTTTTTTATTTTATTCTTTTTAATTGAAAGATTTTTTTACTAATAAATGTATATAATCGTTTAAAAAACCTGCGTTCGACCGTTTTCTGTGTGATAAACGCCGCTAATTTTATTCTCTATTTTCAAGAGCATTTTTGCGTATCAAACAACTTTTTCAAGCACAGATGCTGTGGAGAAAAATTTAAGTAAGCTCATGGTCTAAATTTTGAAAAAACAAAAACTCGATTATATTCGCTTATTAACGATATTTTGAATTATGACTTTCGGCACTCCCTAAAATTTTTGGCAAAGACGAATTTTTTTATTTTATTGTCTTAAAATTACCGTTACTTGAATCAAAAATCATTATTTTTAAAAAAAAAGAGTGACCTAAAAAAACGACCTGAAAAACACATGAAAAAAAGCAAAAAAACGACAAAATTTTTTTAGTTCCATTCACGTTTTTTTGTACGACATTCCGCGCGAACGCATCAAAAAAGCGTGAAATATTTTTTAAACGAAAGAGGAAGCTTTTCTGTACATGTGTGTCAAATTTTATAAGCCAGTTCCACATATTTTGCAACTACAACAAAATGAAAGTTGAAAACCAAAAAAAAGCCACTTTTTCTATCGCGAAAAGGGGCGTGGCTTTGCGGTCCCTAACTATATGATCCCCTAAAAGGGCTGCTTTCCCCTAGCGCCTATAGGGACCACTCTGACTTTCCTAAGGCACTCGCCATTGATAAGCTGCTCCCTCTGAGCCAACATCTTCTCGTCCTCAATTTGTTCCCTCGTCGGTGTCCTCGGCGGTTCGTAGGGACTAACTTCCAGATCCGATAGTTTCTGTCGGATATCTGACATTCCGTGGGTTGACGACTCGGCCAGCAGCATTTTGATAGGTTCTAAAAAAAAAAATGGGATAATTAGCCGTGGGGCGCAATTGCTTTTTGAAAATGGCCGTAGGGTTTTTTTTTTCGAAATTTTTTTCGTGTGGTTCTTGGATATAAAATAATATTTCAAAGAGAGGGAAAAACTAGAAAAAGTGCTATGTTTCAAGATGCAAGGACGCGAAAGCCGTTTCTAGTCGGTCGCAGTTTTTTTTTGCATGTCAAGTCATCAGAAGTAGTCATATGGTCCATTCATTTGACAAATAAGTGCGCCCGACTTTTAGCGACTTCTCCAATCCTATGTTGCAAGATACAGCCGCGCGCAAGTCGTTTCTAGTCGGTCAAGACTGTTCATGTTTTTTTCGCGTTTTACTGGCTATATGTCTTCAGAAGCATTACTAAGACCCTATTACTCTGCTTATAGTTGCGCCCGACTTTTAGCTACTTCTCCAATCTTATGTTACAAGATGCAATCGTGCGCAAGTCGTTTCTAGTCGGTCGCAGATTTTTTTTTCGCATGTCAAGTCATCAGAAGTAGTCATATGATCCATTCATTTGGCAAATAACTGCGCCCGACTTTCAGCGGTTTTTCTAATCCTATGTTTCAAGATACAAGGGCGCGCAAGCCGTTGCTAGTCGGTCGCCTTTGCTCAATTTTCGATACGCCTTGAGCCAGTCCAGACTCGTTTTTGAATAATATTTTGGATTTTTCCAACCGTTATTTGGAGCCTCGTTCGATTAAAAAAAACCCACGATGACTCGGCCGAGCCAATGAAGACGTTCGAAGGTACTCCTCTGTGCTTAGAGCCATCCGACTACCGCGCATCACTTGCAACTGGGCGGAGATTTCCTGGAGCCTTTTCCGAGTCCGACCCAGGTCGCTGTGAAGCAGAGGACCACTGAAAAAGCACTAAATTTGAATTTTCCAATCGATTAAGCCTTAAGAGTCCACTTAGGAGCGCTTCTTCTATAGGAGGCACTGAAGCTTGCAAAAGTGGCCACTCTAGGGGAGCATGCTGGCTATACTTCAGACCCCTATAGGGACCACTTAAGCTTTAGCTCCTTACCATGTCTCACCCTAAATCTCTACAGGGACCACTTGTTCTCTCAAGAGCCCTATTCCGTCCCCTAGAGGGCCTGTTTTTTCCTAACCCCTCTAGGGACCCCTCTGGCGTTTCTAAGAACCGATCAGACTTCATTTACTGTTTGAATAATCGACTTCGAGTTGATCCGACAGACCTCATCGGAATCTCACTGTAGAGATGAACTTGTCCTTGCTGCCGTGGGACTTGAACCCGGCGTTGATCAGAATCGACGTCCCATTGGTACTGAGAAGTCGCCAGGCGGTTCACGAGGCTTTCGTTCATATTCTGGATCGAAATTTCTCAAAAAGTAAAGCTTGGAACCCTTCCATTGATCTATTTTTTTTAGAGGAAAAAGAGTTTTTTTCATGTGCGCTCCATGGCTAATTACAATAGTGAAGAGGAAATAATTTACAAACAACTTTTTTTCTCATAAAATAACGAACGTGCAACAGGAAGATGAAAGAAAAAGGGCAAAAAACCCCGGAACCAACTTTCGAAATTCACATTTTCCTTATTAATTCTTACATATGCCCTCGATTTATCTATAAAAACGGTGAAGTTGGTGAGCAGTTTTGTAATTTTATCAGTAGAGCGCACATTCCCAAATATTTCGCGGCTTTTTTTTTCTCACTTTTCGTTTGAAAAATTTTCCATTTCTTCTTAATTTCTCAGCAAATCCTTACTGTCTGACCTGTCTAGGCCCTCTTCTCTCACAAGAGAATATCCTGGAAAAATGGAAAAAGCACGGAAAAATAAGAGGACAGGATAAAAAGACATTTTTCAATTAAAAAAAGCAAAAATTATACCTTTTTCAAACTTGAAAGTCGTAAAAGAAGGCTTCCACATCGGGTATTTACTTCGTAGGTAGGTCAAATAGGTGTCCTGGAATCCGAAAAATATCTGATTGTTATCATTGAGCTTTGAAAAATCGATAAATGATCCAAAAATAAGGCCAACCCGAGCAGCTTTCGCGTTTTTCAGCCGTCGTTCCATCGATTCGATCCGCTGCTCGATGTCTTCCAGGGCGTGATCGTCGTTTTTTCCGATCATTTATCGATTTTATCACTGAATATATCGATTGACAATCTATAAAAAGAAGTTCGAAAATCACAAAATTCATAAAGAAAAACATGAAAAAAATTCCACAAAAATAAGAGCCAGGTTCCCATGGAAACGCGCCCTTTTCCATTGGCGCCAATTCGAATTTTCCTCTTTTTTCAGGATCTCAATTCATTTTCTAACGATTTCTTGGTTTTTTAAGAATTTTCATCAGCCATTTTTACCAGGAATCTTTTTTTTCAGTCATTTTCTAGGATTTTTAAGCCTGTTTGTCATTTTTTTTTGGCTTGAACACGATTTTTTCGCTGCAATTGACTTTTTCCTTCATGATTCTACCGATTTCTGAAGAAAACACTAGTGGCCCCTTAAGAGGCTTCTTAAGGACTACTTGGAGGGGACGCCACTAAAATCACCTCTATAGGAGCCACTATTTTACGTCACAGTGGTCACTTTAGTAGCTTTAGTGGCATAGAAGTTCCGCTCAGACTTCTAAAGAAGCCACTATATTTTAGCCACTTAAGTGATCACTTGAATGGCTACTATAACGGCCCTAAAAACGTCAAAACCCTAAAGTGGGCCCTAAAAATTGTTCCGATGTTTTAGAAGGGTCGTGGGGATTTTTTTAAAAAAATTCATTAAAGTTTTTTTGAGTTTTGACTAAGTTTTTAAATCAAAAAAAATAAAGAAAAAAATGCCTTTTTTTAACTCGAAAAAAATCTCATATTTTCAATGGTTTTTGTTTTTTTAAATTGATATTCGATCAGTTTTTTTGAGGAGGAAATCTGAAAAAAATTTCGAGTTTTGACCATATTTGAAAGCAAAAAAACTAGAAAAAAAACCCTTTTTTTGCTTTGATTTCAGAAAAAAATCTTCAGAAAATAATGGTGAATGGTATTTCTTACGTTTCATAAGGATATCAATTAATGGGATTTTTTTTTCTATGTTCAAAAAAAGACTATTTCAGAGTTTTAAGCTCAAAAACAGCTTGAAATTATGCCCATTTCTCCCGAAAATCTCACAAGTTGGAGTTTGAAAAACTTCCAAATCTTTCTCCTAAGGAAATCCCACAAATCAAACTTAAATTCTTATCATTTCGAACAGTTTTATCACAAGAAGCAATGAAGAACCTTCGAAAAAGCCATTTTTTCAGAGTTTTAAGCTGAAAATCAGCTCGAATTTCTTTCAACATCCAGTTCAACGAACTTTCAAGGCTTCCTCCTTTGAAAATCCCACAAATCCCACCATTTCAACTGTAAATTCTTATCATTTCGAACAGTTTTATCACACAGGATGCGATGGAAAACTCTCGGCAGCCGGGGCCCATTGATTTTTTCCGCGACCAAATCAATCGATGTTTTTCTGGCTGCTGGGCCCCCCGCGCCGCCCCTTTTGCCCTACGTTTTTCATCGCTTCTCAGGTCTTGGAACTTTTTTTCTGCCCCCCCCCCCTTGATAAAATTTTGCTATAGTGAACCCTAGGATCTCCTTATTTCCTCGCCATTGGTTAAGTTTCTAAGTTAGGACGCTTCAAAAGCTTGAAACATCTGAAAATGTTTTTCTAAACCCCTTAAGTGGTCTCTAGAGTTTTCCCTGGTACCCTAGGAGATCCTGATTGCAGAGAAAAGAAAAATCTCAGTTTCGAATTTAAAAAAAAAAGTTCAAGCTCATATCGAGCCACCTTTTCGTCCAGTTTTCCCAACTTTTTCCGAAATTTCAATAAAATTCATTTTTCTCACGTCTAAAGATCCAGTCGGGACAAATTTGGCCAAAATCCAAAATTTTTCCCACGATTTTTCTCGATTTTTCAATAAATTTTTTTTTTTTTGTAAGGCAAAACCGTAAAACCTTCTGATAAGTCTTTAAAAAAATCCATAAACCTTTTTAAAATCAATTATAATTTTTTAGAGTTTCATGTCCATTTCTTTCTGAAAAAAATTCATTCAAAGGCCCGGTTTATAATGTCCGAGCCATTCCAAATGCGACCGCGAAACTCTCAACTTAAAGTGACTTTCAAGTTAAAAACCCTTAATATTTTTTTCCCATGAAAGGTTCCAAAAAAACCATATTTCTTAAAATTTCAAAGATTCTGACTCATTTTTGAACGGCTACAAGCTTCGCGGTAATTTTCAGCCATTCCAAACGCGGCCATTATTTTCTCAACTTGAAATTTATTTCTAAAATCAGGCCGTTCATTTTTTCTCATGAGATGGCTCCTAAAAATCTTGAAGTTTCTTAAGATTTCCGAATGGCTCAAAGTTTCAGCCATTCCAAATGCGACCAGACTATTTTTCATTGAAAGATCAACTTATTATACTATATCGTACTGAGAAAAACTTTTTTTTCACCTCTAAAAAATCCTCTTTTTTTCATTTTCTTCCAGATTTCTAGACGTTTCAAGCCATGAAAATTTCAAAAAAACCCTTTTTTTCTCTCAAAAATCTCTTTTTTTCTTTTTTTCTTCCAAATTTCGAGACATTTCAAGCCATCAAAAGCTCGAAAATTCCAATAGAATCGATCGAACTCGACTTTTTTTCGTCTGGTCCCTCCTCTCACGGCTGTTTATCGACAGCGCGCACCTCCCCCTCCAATCTCCGCCCATTTTCCCTTCCCTCTTCCTTTTTTTTCCGTTCGATTCGATCAAACTTTTTGAGGGGCTCTTATTGATTACCCGAAATGCGTTAAGGAAATCATAATTTTTTTAAAAAAATTCAAGAGAAAAAAATAATATTCTGGCCTTCAAAAAAAGCTTAAAAAGAGACGTTTATAGTAGGAAAATCTCGCTCAGAATAAAAAAATCAAAAAAATTTTCGAAATTTTCAAAAATTGCAATTTTAGCTGTAGTATGACAAAAAGGCTTCAAAAAAAATTGAAAAAAATAAATGAAACTATTGAAAACTCGAAAAAAATCGACTGGAATGCCCTGAAATTCAGAAAAAGTTAAAAAAAGTCTTTTTTTCGATCCCAAACTGAACTTGAAAAAAATGCAGCAAATTAACAAAATTCCGAAACTTTTTTTATAAATACTTTTTTTAAAATCATGTCTCCTCTTAAATAATTACTTTAGTTTCTATCCAAAGGTAAACAAAGAAAAATTTTTTTATTTGAAAAATCCTCGAAATAAATTTTTGGCGCATAAATTATCATTTTTCAAGCTTTTTTTGAGCTCTCAAAGAAAGTGAGAAATGCTTTCCGCTTTTCTGAAGAACGTCATCCAACTTTATTTATTAGGAAAAAACTTAAAACTTACCTTCAAATCCATGGAAAAGTAGAAATCGGAGCCGTTTTTCCGAAATTTCAATCCTTCGTTGTCGGTGGAGCGCACATGTCGCACAAATTTCTTATTTTTTTCGAAATTCATTTTTTTCGTTTTTTTCTAATATTTTTGTCGTTTTGCATCGAGTAGTGCGGAAAAGTCCTATGAACTATTTTGAAATTTCAGATCAATAAAATTGAAATATTCTCGAAGAGAATGGCGGCCATACAAGAAGAATTCCAAAATGTGGTTTTAAATGAAGGTTCGTTAAAAAATCGTAAAAAACATTCGAATATCGTTCAGTTTCATGAAATTCAAGAAGTATTGCTTTTGACAAGCTTATAAACCTTTTTATAGATGGAAAAATAATGACAAGGTCGCATCGGCGGTCGAAAAAGCCTTTAAAATACGCATCGCCTCAACCGGAGCCTATTATAACGATCAAAGAGGAAGTTATTGATGATACGGATCCGGATTTTGGTGGAAGTAAGTTTCTATTTGTTCAAAATCATGTAAAATTTATTTTTGAAGGCTTTTTCTCATAAGATTACTGGACTAAAAAGTTGAAAAAAATGAAGTTTTTTTCGCGATTTTTTTCAGTGAAATTTTTCTTAGTTCGGCTAATTTATTTTGAAATTTGAGGCGTAAAAGTATGAAGATAATTTTAAAAAATACATTTTTTTGTTTCAGGTGTTTCAAAACTGCCCAAAAAAAGTCCCTGATTTTTGGAGGATATCGGGACGAAATCCAGCCACGATGATGGCTGTATTGATTACGTGCTGATGGAGGTTAGTTTCAGGCTTTTTAAAAAAATTTAAAGCTTCCCGGAATTCATTTATCGGTTCAAATATAGCGAAAAAAAGTTATAATTTTCAAAAAATGCCTCAGAATCAAGTCGAAAAATGACATTTTTTTTCTTCTAATTTTTCAAAAAAATCCCAAAAAAATCCATAAAAAGCTTTTATATGATCATGAGAATCATATAAAAAATATTTTAAACTAAAAAAAGGAAAAAAAGATTTCCAGAAGCTCGGATTCAAAGGCAAACGTGTGGAAAGTGGCCCAACTCCGACATTACCTGAAGCTTCACGGGTTCCGCTTGGGCCGAAGAAAAAGTCGCCCAATCAGCGGCCCAAGCAGCCGCTTTTGGACCGGCGTGAACCGTTTGAGGTTAAGGAGGCCAGAGTGATCCCTATAGGGGTTAGGAGGAAAACAGACCTATAGGGGGGACAAAAAAGTGCTCAGAATAACGGGGAAATTCAAGGGGTCACTACGGGGTTTTAGGGTCTGATTCCTTAGCCGCTAAAGATCAAGTGGTCCCTATAGGAGTCTTTCAAGTTTTTTGTCTTATTTTAAAACGAGAAAACAGACTTGGTCAGACTCCGTTTGCAAGCTCTAGTGGCCCCTATAGGGGTTTCTGTGTCTTTCCAAGGGTTCTCCTCGAAGGGGGCGTGGCTTGTCTGCGCTCTCCACCAAACAAGCACTATTTCCTTTTTTTTAAAAATCGTGTCAGGACCCTTTATTAGATGGCACAAGCCAACAGTGAATCATCTGTAGCTTGAGACGCTAAGGGGCGTGGCCTGTCTGCACTCTCCTCCAATTAAGCACTATCTCCTCTCTCATCGTGTCAAGACCCATTTTTCGATGCCTCAAAAATCACCTATAAACTAGTAATTTTTTGTAGGAACGCAGAATTTTGGAGCATTCTCGTAGATTCAGTCAACTCGAGGCCTTGGATCGGGAATGGAAGGCTTCAAAAAGCCGGAAAACTCCGCCCCCTGGATCTTATGTCTACTTCAATAAGAAGGGTTCGTTTGGGATCTCTGAAGCCTCAAAACCCTTAAAGAGTCACTCAAGGCGATGCGGTCGCGTCGCGGTTTTCGGCGGGAAAAATGAAATTCAAATTTTAAAATAAAGAAATTTAGCATTCTATCACTATTCCAACTCGATTTTTGCACTATTAGTCGGTCGAAAAACTGAAAAAATCCTGAAATGATCACTTAAGGTCACTGCAGTAAAGCGTTGCGGTCGCGTCGCGTTTTTTTGGCGGGAAAAAAATAAAATTCAAATTTGAGAATGAAAAAAATGAGCATTTTATCATTTTTTTCTAACCTTTTTTTGTACTTAGAGCGAAAAAAATTATCAGAAAAAAAGGTGACCCGAAATTTGAATTTTCGTTTTTCCGCCAAAAAAACCGCGTCGCGACCGCAACGCGTGACTACCGTAGCTATTGACTTTTAAGTGACCTTTAATTTAATTAACGAGACAATTGGCGTAAGTTTAAGTCGAAATTTACATAAAATTAAAAAAATTTTTATGCGCTGTTTTTCGGAAATGGCACCATATAAAACAAAGGGAAAATGAAAATCCCCCTTCAAAATCAAAAAAATTGAGGATTTCCAGCGGAATACCGTAGCCCGGCTGGCCTCTACTCCACAAACGATCAACCGGCCGGCCATTTTGTCCGATATCCGGTCAGTTTTGATTCATTTCCTGTTGAAATTTTCCATTTTCTTCATTCCTTCTTCGAAAATTGTATGGTATTTTGTGATTTGTTGAATAAATCTTTGAAAAAAAAGGTTTTTCGAACCTTTTTCTGTGTTTTTTTCTTCTTGCGTTGATTATTTTCATTTCCAGGACTTTTTTTTGGACTTGGTATGCTAATTTTGGTATTTTTAACGTCAAAATATTTTTTAAATCGTATTTTTTTATGGTTTTTTTAAAAATCTTTTTTCCGAGTTTTTGAGCGTTAACAAGTTGGAAAAATTCCTAGGAGCCACTTTAGGGATTTGACGTTTTAGTGACCACTATAATAGTCGACTAAGCGGTCACTTAAGTGGCTAAAAATTCGAGGCCTCTTTAGAAGTCTAAATGGTACTACTAGAGCACTAAACTACTATAGTGACCACTAAGACGGGAAATAGTCTATAGAGATGGTTTAGTGGCCACTTAAGTGTCCTTTCCAAGTAGTTTTTGTGAAGCCTCTTAAGTAATCCCTAGAGTTTTTCACAGAAAGTCGAAAATCGGTCTTTTAAGATTTTTTTTTTCTCTTCTAAGTTTCAAGTCGAGTTTTATTGTCTTGTTGCTCTGAAACTTCATTTTTTTTTTCTAGACAACTTTTTTCAAATTCATGCCTTTCAGAATTGTGAGGATGTCATTAGAAAGACTGAAGAGGTGGCAATTTTTAGATTTTTTGATAATTAGCACCTTTTCTTTGAAAGGAAGACTCATTAAAAAGATTTTTTTCGATTTTTAGAGACTAAAAGGCTTAGAAATCACTCAAAATGTCGCTTTGAATCTAGATCTTTACGCAAAAAAGAAGAAATTTCGATTTCTAGCGAGGTTAACCCTAGATTACAACAGAATAAGCTAAAAAAAACCTGATTTTTTTTTTTGAAAGTTCAGAGACTTATGAGTATCCCTAGAGCGCTTAAGAAGCCCCTTAGAAGCTTCAGAGTGGTCCCTACAGGGGCAAATTTCTTTTCAAGTTTCTTCTCCCACTTTAGGGGCCACTAGAGCTTGCAAAATGGCCACTCTAGGGGTCCCTATACGTCCTATATAAAACATAAAGACCACTAGAGGGACCACTCAAGCTTCAGGGGCTTAGAGGGACCACCTACCCCTATAGGGGGCACTTTTTTGTACCCTATACCCTATAAGGACCACTCTGGCGTTCCTAAGTCAAGTTATATTCAATTTTAACATCCAGGAAGGCTTTCTAACTTTAATTTACGACAGCTTGAGCTGAAGACCTTCTGGGGACCACTTTAATGACGTCAGAACTTTTAAGTGATCCCTAGAATCCGGTTTTTACCGAGGTCCTAAAAGCTTTCTCCTCGGACGTTCCGGACGCTTCTGGGCGATTCTAGGGATCACTTAAGAGCGCTGAGGCTACTAAAGTGGTCACTAGAAATGCCGTCCGATTCGCGTCCTCAGACCTTGGTAACGCGAACGGGACGCGAATCGGACGTGTCGGGGCATTTCTAGTGACCACTTTAGTAGCCTCAGAACTCTTAAGGGATCCTTAGAATCGCCCAGAAACGTCCGGAGCACGCCCGTTTCGCGTTACCAATGTCCGAGTCGTTTGAATATCCTCTAAATATTTATCCATAGAGCGCAAAAGCCTCTTCCATTCAAAAAGCTCTATCTTGAGAAAAAAAAAGATGGGCTTTGATATATACTTTAACTGAAGCGAAGAAAGGCCAACTGAAGCCCTGGCAACGGTCCAACCTCTCTCGAATTTCCCTTATCTCTCACTTCTTCATCTTCTTCCTTCTTCTTCTGGGAAAGTGCGAATGCTCCTTTTTCCTTCTTTCGCAGAGCTTTTATCAGAAATTTTAGTTATAATAGAGCTGATTAAGGCTATTTATCGCTTGATCAGCCTAGAAAAGTTCAAAAAATAGGTTTTTCAGTGCAAAATTTGGACTAAAGAACGGATCGACTTTTTCAAAACTCCAGGATTTGAAAAAGAGAATTTGAATTATAACGCCTAAAAGAGCCTCAGATTATCCGTGGAGCGCAAAAAAGTTCTTGCCCAATCTTTTTGGCGGCTTTTTTTTATTGGCTCCTTTTTGAAATTGTTTCTTGCCGCGAGAATTATTTTTGTCCCTCAATTTCTAAGAGCTTTTTTTTTTAATTATCCATGGAGCGCAAAAAAAAGGCGTAGCTAATATTTTTGACGGCTGTTTTTCTTTTTTGGAACTGTTTGAACTTTTCTTGGGGTCAGGCTTTTTTTGAGCTTTAGCTATCAATTTCTATTCTTTTTGTTTGTTTCCCACGATCTTTTAAGTTCTTCCGTCTTCAAGAAGCTCCGATTATCCATGGAGCGCAAACTGTCTGTTTTTCGTGGCCGTTTTTGTTCGGAACTTAAATTTGAATTTGTTTACGGTCAGGTTTTTTTTGAGCCCTTTCTATCAAGTTTTACAGCTTTTTCTTATTTTCCACAACCTTCCAAGTCCATCCGTAGGCTTTCAAGAAGCTCCGATTACCCATGGAGCGCAAAATATCGGTTTTTCGCGGCTGTTTTTTGTTTGGAACGGTAAATTTGAATTCTATTGAAGTCAAGTTTTTTTTGATTTCCTTTTATCAAGTTTCAAGCTTTTGATCATAGCTTACAACTTTCGAATTTCTTCTGCAGCACTCCAAAAGGTTTTGATTATCCATGGAGCGCAAAATATCTGTTTTTCGCGGCTGTTTTTTGTTCAGACCAGTAAGTAGGAATTTTTGAGCCTTTTTAGCTCTTCCTATCAAATTCTTCGAGTTTTTTTTGGTTTTTCACAATCCTCTAAGCTCTTCTGTCTTCATGAAGCTACGATTATCCATGGAGCGCAAGATATCTGTTTTTCGCGGCCGTTTTTTTTGGAACAGTTCATTTGTATTTTTAGGTTTTTTGAGCTCTTTTATCGAATTTTACAAATTTTTTTGGTTTTTCACAATCTTCCAAATATTCCCGTTTTCAAAAAGCTTTGATTGTCCATGGAGCGCAAGTTATCTGTTTTTCGCGGCTGTTTTTTCCATGTCGTGTGAGTCTAAAGCCCTGATAGGGGCCTTTTCGACCTGCCGCTATCTTTCGGTTGGAAAGAGAGCAAAAAGCGCGGAAGAAGAAGAAGAAGACGGGAAAGAGGACGGACTGGGCCGCGCCCCACATACACAGCACTCGAAAAGAGCACGCGAACGGAGAGACGCAGAGACAGGGCCGAGACGGCCCCGCAGCGATTAGAGGCGTCGCCCCTCCGCCAGTCTCCCGCGCCTCTCCGCCTCCACACCCGAAGGCCTTCCCCCATCGATTCGGCCGGCCGGCCCTCCGAGTCTTATTTTTTCATTTTTCGACCCTTTTCAATCAAAACTCCCACACGGAGGTCATTTTTTTGGCTCAGAATTTCTTGGAATTCTCTCAGATTACTCCTTGATGTACCAGATTAAGATCCTGAAAAATTTCAACCTGAAAAGGTCCCTAGTTTTTGCCTCTTTTTGGATTTTTTAAGCTTTTTTTTGGTCTTCAGGAGGTTAAAAATGTGGAAAATGTTGAAAATTGTCGATTATTTCTTCTTTATTTTTTGACCTCCCGTGATTTTTCGAATTTTTAGGCTCTCCATGGATTATTTCCTGTATACTTGGACGTTTCTTAATGAAAATTCCCACACGGAGGTCATTTTTTGGCTCGGAATTTCCTGGAATTCTCTCAGATTACTCCTTGATGTACCAGATCAAGATCCTGAAAATTTCAACCTAAAAAGGTCCCTAGTTTTTGCCTCTTTTTGGATTTTTTAAGCTTTTTTTTTGGTCTTCAGGGGGTTAAAAATGTGCAGACTGTTGAAAATTGTTGATTATTTCTTCTTTATTTTTTGATCTCCCGCGATTTTTTCGAATTTTTGGGCTCTCCAGAGACTATTTTCATTTCAGGACTGTAGATTTGGACAACTTGGGTCAATAAAAACCAGGAAAGTTGCTTGAAAAATGGGCGGAGCTTTATAAATTAAGGAAATTGATAGATTTTGCCATTTTTTCGGCCTTTTTTTGGACGGAATAAGCTTTTTTTGACCTTCAGGAGGTTAAAAAAATGTGGAAAATGTTGAAAATTGTTGATTATTTATTTTTTTATTTTTTTGATCTCCTGCGAATTTTTCTCGTTTTTTGGACTCTCCATGGTCGATTCCATTTCAGGACCTATATATGAACATCTTGGGTCTTTAAAAAAACCTGGAAAAATTGCTTGAAAAAAATGGGCGGAGCCTTATAAATTGAGGAAATTAATAAATTTTTGCCATTTTTTTCGGTCTTTTTTTAAACTTTACAAGCTTTTTTTGACCTTCAGGTGGTTAAAAATGTGGAAAATGTTGAAAATTGTTGATTATTCCTTCTTTATTTTTTGACCTCCCGCGATTTTTTTCGAATTTTTGGACTCTCCATGGATTATTCCATTTCAGGACTGTATACTTGGACGTTTTTTAATCAAAGGAGGTCATTTTGTGGCTCAGAATTTTCTGGAATTCTCTCAGATTACTCCTTGATGTACCAGATTAAGATCTTGAAAGTTTCAACCTGAAAAAATCACTAGTTTTTGAAAAAAGAGGCCCCAAAGTCGGTTTTTTCGAAATTTGGGCCTTTCTTCCTCGAAAATTGGCAGTTTTTCAAGGCTTAGGTTTTCAGGATGTCTGATAAATAGATAAAAGGCTTTATTTATTTTTATTAAGAGTATAATAATGACTTCTAGTTGATTATAATAATCTAGAATCGATTTATAAATCGCCTACATGTGAATTTGTTCAAAGAAATACTGGTGAATTTTTCGAACTTTTTTTGAATTTTTTTGAGGTTTTTTTCGATATTCCTGGAGCTTAACATGACTTTTTAAAGTGGGGCTTAATCCGAACCCCCCAAGCCAGAAGTAACATTAAAAAAATCAAAGTTTTTTTGGATAAAATAGCATAATTTTTCCAAATTCGAACCTTTAAAAGTCATTATTTCTCCTCTCGGCTAATTTTTCAAAAAAATCTCCTTTTTTTAAGTTTTTCAACAGTACCTCTTCTATATTCAAAGCGAACATGAACAATTTTTGATTTTTCGCCTCCAGAAATCGTCTTTTTTTGCCCCTTCCTCGTCGTTTTTTGGCCCCGGTCCAAGACCAGTCCCCCCCGGTTTCCGTTTGCCTTTTTTTCCTCAGCTTGTTCGGAGCTTGTTCCCGATCCCCGGGCCTTGTTTCTAGCCTTTTTGAACGATTTTTCAAGGCTTCATTCTGGATTTAGGATGGAAAAAAAGTAGCCTTTTTCTATGAAAAAAATAAAGTTTGAAAAATTTTTTTGAAGGCCTGAAAAAAATTTGATTTTTTTATAAATTCCTATAGATCAAATGAATCAAAAATGATCGAAAATTGAAAAAAATGGTCGAAAAAAACTTCTCAAATTTTGAAAAAAAGTTATAAAAAAACGTGACAAGTTTTTGACGCTAATTTTTGACGCCCCTTCTTCAATTTTTTTGGCCTTTTTTTCAGTAATTTTGCAAAATTTATTGGGTCTCGACACGATTTTTCAACCTTTTTTTCATACTGTAGGTAAATGAAAAAAAGTACCTTTTAGCTTCGATTTTTTTAAATATTTTTAATAATTTTTCCCAGTGGAATCAATAAAAAAATGTCTCTTTTCTAAGCTTCTCCCCATTTTTTTGTTTATGTTTTCACTCTTTTCTGCCCTTTTTTTGGCATTGGTAAACTATAATTTTTCGGCTTTTTCTGTTTAAAATTTTTCATGAAATAGTGTGATAAATTCCTTTTTCAATTTTGAACTTTCTAATTCTTTATTTTTCAAAATGTGTGTGTCAAAAAAATGGAAAAAGCCTTGAAAATTTGAAGATCTTTCCATATTTTTCGATCTATTTTTTTGACTTTTTTTAGCTTTTTTTGTTTTAATTATGAAATTTTTTTGACTTTCAAAGTGATGAAGATGTGAAAAATCACGCGTAAAAATTTAATTTTTGATTTTTTTCTGATCGATTTTTTTCCGAATTTTTTTGGGCTTTTTCATGGACTATTCCATTTCAGGACTGTATATTTGAACCCATTGGGTCTTTAAAAACCTGGAAAATTACTTGGAAAATGGGCGGAGCCTTATAAATTAAAGAAATTGATAGATTTTTGCCATTTTTTTCGGTCTTTTTTTAAACTTTATAAGCTTTTTTTGACTTTCAGGGATTGAAAATGTGGAAACTGTTGAAAATGGTTGAATATTTCTTCGTTTTTTTTTGACCTCCTGCAAATTTTTTTTTCGATTTTTGGCGCTTCATGGACTGTTCCATTTCAAGACTATATATTTGAACCCCTTGGGTCTTTAAAAACAAGAAAAATTACTTGAAAAATGGGCGGAGCTTGGAGAACTTGAAAGATTTTGCAGTGAAAATTTTTTATTTTTTCTTATTTTTTTTTGATCTTTTGCCGATTTTTTCGGATTTTTAAGCTTCTCATGACCTTTTTCATTTCAGGACTGTATATCTGGACAACTTAGGTCCTTGAAAACCTTGGAATTTACTTGAAAAGGGGGCGGAGTCTTACAAATTGAGGAAATCGATAGATTTTGCAATTTTTTCGGTCTTTTTTTGGACTTTATAAGCTTTTTTTGACCTTAAGGGGGTCAAAATGTGGAAATTTATGGAAATTATTGATTATTTTCTCTTTTTTTTTATCTTCCGCGATTTTTCTGAGTTTTTACACTCTCCATGGACTATTTCATTTCTTTTTTTGATTTCCCGCGAAATTTTCTCCTTTTCGGACTCCCTATGGACTATTCCATTTCAGGACTGTATACTTGGACAACTTGGGTCTATAAAAACCTCGAAATTCACTTGAAAAATGGAAGAAACGAGTCGATCTACGTCACCGGAGCCGACGATGACGTCAATAAGTTCGGTGGCAGCGGCGGCGGCTCCGTCGACGACGCCTTCTGTCATGTATTCTGCGATCAACAAGGGCAAATCCGTCGTTTGGAATCACATCGTGATGGCCGAGGACGGCAACAAGGCCACCTGCCGTCATTGCAGCAGCGAGTTCGCGATTAAAGGTTCATTTTGGGGGAGAAGCTTGGATTTCTGACTTTGTCTGCGTCTCTTTTCTCTCATCGTAGCGAGAAGTTAGAGATCCGGAAAACAAGAGACGCAGAGAAGTCAGAGATTCTCAAGCGGTAGAAGCTAAAACACAAAAAATTAAAAAACCGATTTTTCGACTTGTTCCTGTCACGATTTGGAGCCGTCTGACTTCTCTGCGTCTCTTTTCTCTCCTCGCAGTAAGAAACTAGAGATTGGGGGAAACGAGAGACGCAGAGAAATCAGAGATTCCGGCGGATTTTTTTGAACCTTTTTTTTAATCTATATTAAAGGAGCATGTCCAAATTTCATAAAAGGTCTCGAAGCGAAAAGTCTTTTGCTTTTTTTAATATCTAACCGAAGATTTTGGAAACTATACTGTAGTTTCGACCTCCAGACGATAAAAACCACTTAAGGGATCAATTATAGTTGAAAAACTGTGCTCGAGAATGCCGAAGTGGTCCCTAGAGGGGCTTGAGAATAAAATGCCACGACTTGGAACCGTCTGACTTCTCTGCGTCTCTTTTGTCTCATTGGAAAAAGTGACAGCAAGAGATCCGAGAAACGAGAGACGCAGAGAAATCAGAGATTCTCGCGGATTTTTTTCAATTTATTGAGCTTCATGTAGACTTTTGTTAAAGGAGCATGATCCAATTTCAAAAAGGTCTTGAAGCGAAAAGCCGTTTTTTGCGTTTTTCAGTACCTAACCGAAGATTTTTGCAAACTATACTGTAGTTTCAACCTTCAGACGATGAAAAACACTTAAAGGATCACTTTCGAAAAACTGTCCTCAGCAAAGCTAGAGTGGCCCCTAGAAACAGCTTCTATAGTGGACGGAGTAACGATTCCTAAAAGACAAATGAGTTAGTGGTCCCTATAGGGATGACGCATAAAGCTCCGTAAAGCTCAAGTGGCCCTCTAGTGGTTTTTTTTTGAATTTTGTAAAGAGTTATGATCCCCTAAAGCGGCCACTTCTGCAAGATTTAGCGTCCCAAAGCAGGATCCACCCCTCTAGGGACCACTTTGACGTCCTAAGTACAGTACCGCTCAAAAGTCTATTAAGTTTTGGTTTTTTGGGGATATCTCAGCGAGTACTTATCCGATTTATATATAACTTTCAGGGATAATGTAAAATATACTTTGAAACATATACGGTATACAAAGACATGTCCGCAATGACTGTGACGCGTTTTAGGCATTTTTTATTGAATTCCATTTTTTTTGTTTTTTATGCTTTTATTTTTTTATTTATTTTTTTATTAAATTTTTTTAAAATTAATAATGTTGCCATATGATTTTTTTCATGTTTTTCAGACATGGGAAGAACCTTTGGAAAAAAGAATTTGACTGATAACGACAAAAGAGCCATCGTTGTGGGTCGTCAAAATGGACTGACCATGATGACGTTGGCAGGAATGTTCGGCGTGACAGAGGCGGGCATTTCTCAGTTCCTAAAGCGTCAGAAAGCTCAAGATGGCTCTACTAACAGCCAACGCACTGGAAGACCACGTGTCACTGATCGTAATGGCGATAGAAACATTTTGAAGACGTCTAGAACCAATCCAAGACTCACTGCCCCTGCGATCAGACGGGAAGTTTTCTTGAATTCGCCATCTCCGCCATCCGTCTCGACCGTGAAACGACGTCTGAATGCTGCTGGAATCATGGGAAGACGTCCAGTGAAGAAACCGCTGATTTCTGAAAAGAATCGAGCCGCCAGGGTGAAGTGGGCGAAGGAGCATCTCAACTGGACCCGTCAAGACTGGAACAAGATTCTGTGGTCCGACGAAAGCAAGTTCCTCCTCTTCGGGAGTGACGGAATTCAGTGGGTTCGTAGACCAATTGGGTCCAGATATCATCCGAAATACCAATTACCCACCGTGAAACATGGTGGAGGTTCTTGCATGGTGTGGGGCGCCTTCTCTGGAAGTGGCATCGGACCGCTTCATCGCGTGAACGGCATCATGGACAAGCACGTCTACAAAGACATTCTCCAGAACCAGATGTTGCCGCACTTGAGAGCCATGGGCCGTGGGAGTGTTTATCACCAGGATAACGATCCCAAGCACACTTCACTGTTCGTCAAGGTGAGAAAATTGACAAGTAATTCGTATGGTTATGAAACTCAAGACTGGTTCAAGAGCCGTCGGGTCAATGTCATGGGGTGGCCAAGTCAATCTCCGGACCTGAACCCGATCGAACATCTCTGGGAAGAGTTGGAGCGACGTTGTGCCAACAAAAGAGCCAAGAAATGCAACGAGAAGTTTGCTCAACTGCTGTCTGAATGGAATCAGATCCCCATGTCTACCATCGACACTTTGCTCAATTCTATGCAGAGAAGATGCCAGGCAGTGATTGACGCCAGGGGCTTCGCAACCAAGTACTAGGTCCCGAATATTGTTTTTAACAATGTTTTTGTGTTGATAAAAAAATTTTTTTGTTGAGCTATGATTTTTTTAATTGAAAATAGCAAAAATTCGTTTTTTCGAAAATTCGTTTTTTTCTCGAAAAAAATTATTATTTTTTTGAGCTAGCAACTTGAAATTTTGCCAGAACACGTATGTCTCTCTCAGAAAACTATGAAAAAAAATTTGAATCGATATCGCACTTCAAAAAAAATTTATCCCCAAAAAACCAAAACTTAATAGACTTTTGAGCGGTACTGTAGATGATTTACAATAAGCTGTCCAAAAGGACAAGTGGATCCTTTAGGGGTTTTTCTGAAAGTTGAAAAGACGTATGCCCCCCTAAAGTGGCCACTTTTGCAAGATTCAACTCCTCTAGGGACCACTTTGACGTCCTAAGTAGATGATTTACAAGAAGTAGACCAACGAGAAATGTCCTTCCAGGCGGCACCTCGGCCGTCCTCCGGCACCTGAAAGGCGTCCACGCCGCGGAAATCGAAAACGACCCGGGTGCTTATAAACCGACCGTGAGACGACGAATGAAAACCGGCATCGCTTCGACGAAAAAAGACGACGTCCCGACGCCGGAAGACCTCGTGACGACGCTGCTCCAGCACTGGAAGGCCGAACCCGACGCCGATGAGGGCAAAGAGAACGACGCCGGCGTCGTCGTCAAAACCGAAACGGATCAACGGGAGTTGAACGACCTGCTGGAGATGTTCGTCCAGTCGACCTCGCAGAGTGTCCCAGAAGATGTGTGTAATTTCTTGTCTGTTCATTGTCATATTTTTGTGGGTTACGGTATCCAAAAGTCTGCAATTTGTAGGGTACGGTATCCGAAAGTCTGCAACTTGTAGGGTACGGTATCCGAAAGTCTGCAACTTGTAGGGTACGGTATCCGAAAGTCTGCAATTTGTAGGGTACGGTATCCAAAGGTCTGCAATTTGTGGGGTACGGTATCCCAAATTCTGCAATTTGTAGGGTACGGTGTCCAAAAGTCTGCAATTTGTCGTGAAGTTAAGGACAGAGAAAAACGACTTGATATTGATGACGTCATTTCGAAAAAAAATGCGAAAAATGACGTCATTCTGGGCAAAATTCAAAAAAGTGGCGTCACTTCGGACTTTCAGCTACCGTACACCTTTTTCACTCTTTCTGTATTTTTTGTTTTTCTAATTTTGCTCTTTTTCTCCAGGTCTTTTTTTTTTCAATACCTTTTCCAGGTTTCGGTCCGATACGTCCCCAACGGGACCAATGGAGCCCGTTCAAGTGCCGAACCGACGAGGAAAAGACCGGCAGCCGAGGCTTCCGTCACTCCTGGACCTACTCCGGATAAGGGTGAGTTCTAAATAATGAACTTCGAAAATCGTAGAAATGTAGAAGAAATGTTTTTTTAGGGTGACAAAGGTTCCTTTTTGCGCCATTTTATCGGCTCTTATGCACCATTTTTTTTTGTCACTCCCTTTTTCCACCATTTTTTAAGCCTCTAAAATCCCGGAAGAAACGAAAGGATCGACAACGGGACTTATTTCGCTGCCTTTTTGCAGCCTTTTTGCAGCCTTTTTGCAGCCCTTTTGCAGCCTTTTTGCGGCCTTTTTGCAGCCTTTTCGGACCCCTCCTTTTTAGCGGCCATTATCCACCTTTCCGACTTCGCCCGAGTTTAGCAAAAACTAAAATTTCAAGAAAAAAAAAATCAAGCTATTGTTTTTCTTCCGAACTCTTAACTATCGATTGAAGTTTAATAAAAATCCCTCCTTTTTTCAAAAGTTTTTTTTTTGGGTAATCGAGGTGTTTTAGCGGTGTGTCGTTCGAAAAAAATGTATTCGTTCTTTTCTCCTGGGTAAATTTTGAGTGGCCACTTTAGGGTCTTAGCGTTTAGTGGCTACTATAGTGCTCAAATAAGTGGCCACTTGAGAGGTTAACGTTTAGTGGCCTCTTTAGAAGCCTAAGAGTTCCTAGAACACTTAAAACTGCTATAGGGACCACTAAGAAGCAAAATAGTGGTTTTTAAAAGAGTGGTTTTAGTGACCTCTTTAGTGTCATCTAAGTCACTACAAAAAAAAAATTTAAAAAAATTTATGTATATCATGTCAGACAGGTTTCAAATCAATGAAGTCACTTTTCTGAAAATTATTTTATGACGTCATTTTCTATTTTCCAGCGAAACGGTACCAGACCTCCATGGCCTCCCGGGCCTCCCCGCCGGCCCTCGTTCAGAATGGCTTTGGCGCCGGGATCTCCATGTACCCCGGCGACGAGGAAATCCGGGAACTCACCAAGAGATCCCTCCAGGCGACCATTGAGAGGGTTCGTTTGATTTGAAGCATTTTTAAGGTAATAAGGGTGCTTCAAAGTTTGAAATTGACTGTATTTGTTGAAAAAATAATGATTTTTAAGCTTTTTGAGCAAAAAATGATGAGTATTTGGGCATTTTTGAAAGGATATTGAAAAAGGATAGTCATTTTAAATTAATCAAGAGAAGATTTTAGGAAAAAAAAAGAGGGAAAAAAAGAGTTAGAAAGCAAAAAAATTGGCTGTATTTGTTGAGAAAAATAAGAATTTTTTTAACGCCTGTGAGAAAAAAACCGATGGATTTTTTTGATATTTTTTTCGAAGAAATTTTTTTCCTTTTTTTCAAATTTTTTTCGAAGTCAATACTCACTTGAACAGTTTTGGAATGAAATTAGAAAAAAAAACAGAAAAAAACGGTTTTTAGAGCCCAAAATCGCGTCAATCTGTTGAAAAATTAGCCATTTTTGGGGTTTTTAGCCACTTAAGAGGTCCCTCAAAGACTTGGGGAGGACAGTGGCCACTTGAAAAAATATCTACAGAAGCCATTATTTTGCGTCTAAGTGGCCACTATAGTAGTTTTAAGAGGTCTAATGAGACTTCTAATGAGGCCCCCTAATGTTTAGCCACTATAGTGGCCTCTTAAATGAAAAAACCCTAAAGTGGCAACTTAACTTGTTAAGACGTTCCTTAAAGACTAATTGGGGAGGACACTGAAGTGGCCACTATAGTAGTTTTTAGCGGTCTAGTAGTAGTAATGAGACTTCTAAAGAGGCCACTTGAACGTTAAAACCCTAAAGTGACAACTATAAATTTTCACATTATCCGTTTGAACCCTAAAGAGTTCACTTGGATTTTTTCAAGCTTTCAAAAAATTTTTTTTTTCAGGAAGAAGCGATGACGCAGTACTACCGCATGAAGACGAAATACGTCGAAATGCAGATCCAAACAAATCGTTAATTAATTTGTTTTCTAACTTTTTTATCTAGAGCTAACCTATTAACCGACATATCACCTCAGAACCGATTATATCGCCAATTTGTTGTTTTTTTATGTTCCATTGACTACGGGTCATTTTTCTGTACCTTACCCCTGTAAAATCAATGAATTCGTTGACAAACCTGGAAGGAGTTTTTGAAGATCTAAAAGCGCCCAACCATTACCGACTTGCGCGTAGTAGCATCGAAAACCAGTAGATGAGCTATTTTTCGAACCGCAACGCGACCGCGTCGCTTTGAGCCATTCTAAGTGCGGTCTGAAAATGGGTGGTCTTGGAATGGTTTGACGGGTTTTTTCAATGAGCGCCCAACCATTAACGACTTGCGCGTGGTGCCACGGAGAAGAGCTTTATTGAACCGCAACGCGACCGCGACGCTTTGAGCCATTCCACGTGCAATGAAGAGGCCTCGGAATGGCTAGAAAGGTGATTTTATAGCGCGACAGACCAGAAACGACTTGCGCATGATAGCATCGAGAAATTTTTTATGAGCTGCATTTATTGAGCCGCAACGCGACCGCGACGCTTTGAGCCATTCCAAGTGCGGTCAAGGCATTACAAAGATCTCTGAAGGATTCCGTCTGTAGGAAGAATTTTCAAATTGTTTCGACTCAAGTAGTCCCTTGAGGGCTAGGCCAAATTAGCCGGGAATCAGAAAAAAGGCAAATCATTTTTTATTTATGTGATAATCCCTCAAGGTAGACATTTTTTTCTCAATTTTTTTCCTCTCAAGTGATCCCTTGAGAGCTGAGCCCAATTAAGTTGGGCTTTCCTATCCGCGGCACCTGAAAGAAGGCAAATTATTTGAATAAAAAATATATTATCCGGCCTTCCGGCAAATTGGTCCCTGTTCGATCGTGTCGGCTGCACTTCAAAGAGCCTTCCGACAGAAATGGCCGTGTTTCGAGCCGCCATTCGAGGACGATTTCTCGGTTCGAATGTCGCCAGTATTTGAAGAAAATAAGAGATGAAACGCACGGTTTGGTTTTCGGCTTGGTTTGATACGAAAAATGTGGAGTTTGAGCTCAAAATATATGTTTAAACATAACTAACAACGTTCAAGAGGTCAATGGATCGACTCCTCTCCACGTTTTTCTCATTTTTGCCATTTTTTCTCGAGCTCTCATCTCCTTTTCCCTGTTCCGCAAGGCTAACTCAACAGGCAAAGTACCTCATAGCTCAATGGTTAGGGAGCTACTATGACGTTCAAGAAGGTCAATGGTTCGACTTCCCTCCACGCTTTGCTCATTTTTGCCATTATCGCTCACGTTTCTGCAAACATCTTCTAGCCCAGTCACTACCCAGGAAATTTTGAGGGGACCCTTCAGGGTTTTTAAGGGATCACTAGAGGGTCAAACGCCTTTCAATATCAACGAAACTATGAAAAAGGCCCCATAGCTTAAAACTAGTAAGCTAGCATACTAGAGTTCTCAAAACCGAACGTTCAAAAAAATGACCGTTTGAAAAAAAATGAACTTTTTTTCATTTTTTTCGATAGTTTAGGATATATCATTTTTCAAACGTTCAACCAAAAAAAGTTCGAAAATCGTTTTTCTTATAATAATGAACGTTTGCTTTTCACATAAAAACGGACGTTCGTTTTTTTGAACGAACTGTTTTGAAATGGAAAATGAACGTTCATTTTTTGAACGAACTTTTTGGAAATGGAAAATGAACGTTCACTTTTTGAACGAACTGTTTTGAAATGGAAAATGAACGTTCATTTTTTGAACGAACTTTTTGGAAATGGAAAATGAACGTTCGTTTTTTTGAACGAACTGTTTTGAAATGGAAAATGAACGTTCATTTTTTGAACGAACTGTTTTGAAATGGAAAATGAACGTTCATTTTTTGAACGAACTTTTTTGAAATGGAAAATGAACGTTCATTTTTTTGAACGAACTGTTTTGAAATGGAAAATGAACGTTCACTTTTTTGAACGAACTGTTTTGAAAATGGAAAAATGAACGTTCATTTTTTTGAACGAACTTTTTGAAAATGGAAAAATGAACGTTCATTTTTTTGAACGAACTTTTTTGAAAATGGAAAAATGAACGTTCATTTTTTTGAACGAACTTTTTTGAAAATGGAAAAAAATGAACGTTCATTTTTTTGAACGAACTTTTTGAAAATGAAAAATGAACGTTCATTTTTGAAACGAACTTTTTTTGAAAATGAAAAAAATGAACGTTCATTTTTTTGAACGAACTTTTTTGAAAATGAAAAATGAACGTTCATTTTTTTGAACGAACTTTTTGAAAATGAAAAAAATGAACGTTCATTTTTGAACGAACTTTTTTTGAAAATGAAAAAAATGAACGTTCATTTTTTTGAACGAACTTTTTGAAAATGAAAAAAATGAACGTTCATTTTTTTGAACGAACTTTTTAAAATGAAAAATGAACGTTCATTTTTGAAACGAACTTTTTGAAAATGAAAAAAATGAACGTTCATTTTTTTGAAACGAACTTTTTGAAAATGAAAAATGAACGTTCATTTTTGAACGAACTTTTTGAAAATGAAAAAAATGAACGTTCATTTTTTGAACGAACTTTTTGAAAATGAAAAAAATGAACGTTCATTTTTTTGAACGAACTTTTTGAAAATGAAAAAAATGAACGTTCATTTTTTTGAACGAACTTTTTGAAAAATGAAAAATGAACGTTCATTTTTTTGAAACGAACTTTTTGAAAATGAAAAAAATGAACGTTCATTTTTTTGAACGAACTTTTTGAAAATGAAAAAAATGAACGTTCATTTTTTTGAACGAACTTTTTGAAAATGAAAAAAATGAACGTTCATTTTTTTGAACGAACTTTTTGAAAATGAAAAATGAACGTTCATTTTTTGAACGAACTTTTTGAAAATGAAAAATGAACGTTCATTTTTTTGAACGAACTTTTTGAAAATGAAAAAAATGAACGTTCATTTTTTTGAACGAACTTTTTGAAAATGAAAAAAATGAACGTTCATTTTTGAACGAACTTTTTGAAAATGAAAAAAATGAACGTTCATTTTTTTGAACGAACTTTTTGAAAATGAAAAAAATGAACGTTCATTTTTTTGAACGAACTTTTTGAAAATGAAAAAAATGAACGTTCATTTTTTTGAACGAACTTTTTGAAAATGAAAAATGAACGTTCATTTTTTTGAACGAACTTTTTGAAAATGAAAAAAATGAACGTTCATTTTTTTGAACGAACTTTTTGAAAATGAAAAAAATGAACGTTCATTTTTGAACGAACTTTTTTTGAAAATGAAAAAAATGAACGTTCATTTTTGAACGAACTTTTTTGAAAATGAAAAATGAACGTTCATTTTTTGAACGAACTTTTTGAAAATGAAAAATGAACGTTCATTTTTTTGAACGAACTTTTTGAAAATGAAAAATGAACGTTCATTTTTGAACGAACTTTTTGAAAATGAAAAAAATGAACGTTCATTTTTTTGAACGAACTTTTTTGAAAATGAAAAAAATGAACGTTCATTTTTTTGAAACGAACTTTTTGGAAAATGAAAAAAATGAACGTTCATTTTTTTGAACGAACTTTTGAAAATGAAAAAAATGAACGTTCATTTTTTTGAACGAACTTTTTGAAAATGGAAAAATGAACGTTCATTTTTTGAAACGAACTTTTTGAAAATGAAAAAAATGAACGTTCATTTTTGAACGAACTTTTTGAAAATGGAAAAAAATGAACGTTCATTTTTGAAACGAACTTTTTGAAAATGAAAAATGAACGTTCATTTTTTTGAAACGAACTTTTTGAAAATGAAAAATGAACGTTCATTTTTTTGAACGAACTTTTTGAAAATGAAAAAAATGAACGTTCATTTTTTTGAACGAACTTTTTGAAAATGAAAAAAATGAACGTTCATTTTTTTGAACGAACTTTTTGAAAATGAAAAATGAACGTTCATTTTTTTGAACGAACTTTTTGAAAATGAAAAATGAACGTTCATTTTTTTGAAACGAACTTTTTGAAAATGAAAAAAATGAACGTTCATTTTTTTGAACGAACTTTTTGAAAATGAAAAAAATGAACGTTCATTTTTGAACGAACTTTTTTGAAAATGAAAAAAATGAACGTTCATTTTTTGAACGAACTTTTTGAAAATGAAAAAAATGAACGTTCATTTTTTTGAACGAACTTTTTGAAAATGAAAAAAATGAACGTTCATTTTTTTGAAACGAACTTTTTGAAAATGAAAAAAATGAACGTTCATTTTTTTGAACGAACTTTTTGAAAATGAAAAAAATGAACGTTCATTTTTTTGAACGAACTTTTTTGAAAATGAAAAAAATGAACGTTCATTTTTTTGAACGAACTTTTTGAAAATGAAAAATGAACGTTCATTTTTTTGAACGAACTTTTTGGAAAATGAAAAAAATGAACGTTCATTTTTTTGAAACGAACTTTTTGAAAATGAAAAATGAACGTTCATTTTTTTGAACGAACTTTTTGAAAATGAAAAAAATGAACGTTCATTTTTTTGAAACGAACTTTTTGAAAATGAAAAAAATGAACGTTCATTTTTGAACGAACTTTTTGAAAATGAAAAAAATGAACGTTCATTTTTTGAACGAACTTTTTGAAAATGGAAAAATGAACGTTCATTTTTTTAAACGAACTTTTTGGAAAATGAAAAAAATGAACGTTCATTTTTGAACGAACTTTTTGAAAATGGAAAAATGAACGTTCATTTTTTTGAAACGAACTTTTTGAAAATGAAAAATGAACGTTCATTTTTTGAAACGAACTTTTTGAAAATGAAAAAAATGAACGTTCATTTTTTTGAACGAACTTTTTGAAAATGAAAAATGAACGTTCATTTTTGAAACGAACTTTTTGAAAATGAAAAAAATGAACGTTCATTTTTTTAAACGAACTTTTTGGAAAATGAAAAAAATGAACGTTCATTTTTTTGAACGAACTTTTTGAAAATGGAAAAAAATGAACGT